TATTATTATTATTATTATTATTATTGAACCAAGCTCTGCCAGGAGCTCCTCTGAAATGCAGGAAAGGGGAGATCGGAAGGCAGCACAAATTGCTCACAGAGGGTCCTCCCCCCCCCCCCAGCAATGAACAGGATTGACTTCTTCTTCCCCATTTCTGCATCTGGCTATATGAAAAGCTGCCCCTCACCTTGGCTAGAGTGGAAAAGGCTCTCTGTGTTGGGGTGTCACAGATGTGCTGTAGCCAAACCAACCTGCCTCCATGATCGGTGACATCATCTCCCGCCAACAAAGACCTGCAAACCAGGTTTCTTGCTGCCGCCGTTTTGCCACAGATCTCAGTGAAATCAGCCTGGTCAACAGGAGTGTCAAGATTGGCACCACCCCTTGCCCTCTGTGGTTAGGAGGGTTCAGGAAGGAGCAGGGCTTGGAGTGGCTTTGAAGCCCAGGTTTGCACCAATCCTGATAACCACCTCCATTCAAGTAGTCTTCAGCTGGTGGGTGGGTGTGTGAGGGGGGGGGCAAATGAGTGAGGCATCCTGCTAGCTCACAAGAAGACCAGAGGCCCTCTCCCAGCCTCACCTACCTGGTGATTGAACTCAGGGCAATGGCTCAAACTTCCAGGTTTCCATGGGAAACAATGGGGGCCCTGAAGGAACTCATTCTCCGCACTCTGTAGCAGCTGAAGGCCCCCCCCCCTCCTGCCAGGCAGCCAGCGGAGCTTCCTAGGCTGGAGCTCTGCACTTCCAAACTGGATTGCTACTGGTGTTAGGTAACGGTCAAATTATTCTGCAAAATGGCCACATACAGCATACTATTAGAATGGGAGACGAAAGATGAAGAGGTAAAATCAGTTATGAGTAAATGGGCACAAGATGTAGGTGACAACATCATGATGGAAGATTGGGAAAAATTATGGAAAACTGATTTAAAATTTACAGATTGTTCCCTATTGAAGGAGAATTACATGAAGATGATGTACAGATGGTACATGACACCAGTGCAGTTAGGGAAAATGTACAAAACTTGTTCAAATATATGTTGGAAGTGTAAGGAAAATGAAGGGACATTTTATCATATGTGGTGGGATTGTAATGTAATTTTTAAAAATTGGGAAATGATATACAACGAATTGAAGAAAATGTTCCATTTAACATTTGTTAAAAAACCTGAAGCATTTTTGTTAGGGATTGTAGGGAAAGATCTGCCAAAAAAGCTGAAAAACATCTTCTTGTATGTGACAACGGCCATGAGAGTTTTAATAGCACAAGGATGGAAGACTGAAGAAACCCCAACTAAAGAATCACAGCAAGAAAATTGATGGATTATGCAGAACTGGCAAAATTGACATATAAGCTACAGGACAAGGAAAACTGTGACTTTAAGGATGAATGGGAATTCCAACTCTACAGTTCTATGATTCTATGATTCTATGATTCACAAACCTTTTATTGATAATAATCAGCTAAATAGTTTGAGGATCTATACAACTTTGTAACATGCAGAAAACAGCATTCTTAGAGAAACCAAAGACTGGAACTGAGGGAAGCTGGGGGGTGGGGGTGGGTGGGTTTTGTGGGGGGGGGGAGGAAAAATGGGGGGGAAATAAGGATGATATGTTTCTGGATAATATGTTTTGTTTTAATTTTGAATAAAAAATAATGAAAAAAATTCTTCTGAAATTCCAAACTGCCCTGATTTGGATGCTTCTGAAAGCCTTGCTTCCCACTTGTGTATTGTGGTCCTTGACATTGAGAAGGAGGTTTGGATCTATAACTGGATGCCCTTTGGAATCAAGATGGTGCACTGACCCAAACTGCACTGATTTAAAGCAAGTTTGACAGGGAACTAACAGGGCTGTGCGCCGGATTAAACTGAGGTTCAGATTCTGAACCGAATACCAGTTGCCAGAAAGCGCAGGAGGTGAGATTGCTCCTCTTGGACTCAGGACCCATAGTGGGCATCTGGTTGGCCCCCGTGAGGACAGGATGAGACCTCCTTTGGGCCTGTCAGGTTTCCTCCCAGTCCCTCCTCTCCTCCCTGTCAAAAGCGAAAGTTGGCAGGCACCTGGGCACAAGCTCAAGGTGAGGGCAGGCACACAGCTCGGGCAGAACTTGGATTAAGGATTGTTACTGAAAAATAACTGTTATATAACAAATTGCAAATTGTGGAAAAATAAATGTTACACAGCAAAATATACAGGAAGTGCAAATGCTGGAGCCAGGTCAAGCCTACCGCAGGAGGTCACAGTGATCCTTCTCAACAAAATCCTGGCCCTTCCCAGCTCCATCTGGTACGCAGGATGAGACCCTCCCTGCCCGCAGACTGTCTCGCCAGAGTGGTGCATGCTCTGGTTATTTCCTGCTTGGACTACTGCAATGAGCTCTCCGTGGGGCTCCCTTTGAAGGTGACCTGGAAACTGCAATTAATCCAGAATACGGCAGCTAGACTGGTGACTGGGAGTGGCCGCTGAGACCACATAACACCGGTCCTGAAATGCCTACATTGGTTCCCAGTTTCTGAACACAATTCAAAGTGTTGGTGCTGATCGTTAAAGCTCTAAATGACCTTGGCCCAATATACCTGAAGGAGCATCTCCCATCAAATGTCAAGGAAATAAACAACTATCCGACTTTTAGAAGACATCTGAAGGCAGCCCTGTTTAGGGAAGCTTTTAATGTTTGATGTTTGATAGTCTGTTGGGAGCTGCCCAGAGTGGTTGGGGAAACCCAGCCAGATGGGCGGGGTATAAATAATAAATTCTTCTTCTTCTTCTTCTTCTTCTTCTTCTTCTTCTTCTTCTTCTTCTTCTTCTTCTTCTTCTTACTGTTCCCAATCCTAATCCTGAGGAAAGCCATCTAATTAGACTTAAATTAGATTTAGACCTGTTTTTAGGAGGTAATTTAATTATTGTTTGATTTTATACCAATGTTATATATCTGATGTTAGCCATCCAAGCACTCACAAAATTCCCTATGAAGGGGCCGGGCACCCACAAATTTTGGTGCCAGGGCCATGCACGCTGCATTGCACCCACAGCCCCGGGCACCCATGGTCACGGGGCCAAGCTGGCATAAATAACTTTGGAGTGCCACATTTAAGCCAGCTGGGTCTCTGTGTGATAATTGGAAGGAGCTGATGCTGCTTCCCATGTGGGCTGTTTTTGTTTTTTAAAAACAACAACAACCCCCGCCCCAGCCCTCTGACTTGTTATTTCCCCAGTTTTGGGAGGGAAAAGAGCCCAGTAAGAGCCCTGAAGGAAGGCCAGGCCAGTGGTCCATCTGGTCCAGCCTCCTGTTCTTGCAGTGGCCGGCCAGATGCCTCAGAGGGAAGCCCATAAGGAAACAGGACCGAAACACAGCAGCAGGACTCCCCCCACATGGGACACCCGGGAACCAGCATTCAGAGGCCCAGGGGAGGACAAACAGCCATTCTGTCTGGTAGCCAAGGCTGTTCTCCTTTATGAATGGTTTCCTATAAAGCATGTCAAAGTGATTTCACAATACAATCCAAAAACACAGGGAACAATTGCAGATATGAAAAGAATTACAAACCCAATACAGTTCCTGGCTGGGAGGTGCCAGGAGGTTTGTTGAAAGAGGGAATTCTTCACCTGGTGCCAAGAAGCCAAAAGAGACAGTGGATTGGAAGGTGGGCTGCAGATAGCAGGGTAGACGGGGCACAAGGCAGAAGGCCACCAGACTCTTTGTTTTCCTTTAAAAGGCAGTAAGCCAATTGGGAATCTATAAAGAAAGTTAGGGACGCGGGTGGCGCTGTGGGTTAAACCACAGAGCCTAGGGCTTGCCTATCAGGTTGGCGGTTCGAATCCCCACGATGGGGTGAGCTCCCGTTGTTCGGTCCCTGCTCCTGCCAACCTAGCAGTTCAAGAGCACGTCAAAGTGCAAGTAGATAAATAGGTACCCCTCTGGCAGGAAGGTAAATGGCGTTTCCGTGCGCTGCTCTGGTTCGCCAGAAGCGGCTTAGTCATGCTGGCCACATGACCCAGAAGCTGTACGCCGGCTCCCTCGGCCAGTAAAGCGAGATGAGCGCCGCAACCCCAGAGTTGTCCACGACTGGATCTAATGGTCAGGGGTCCCTTTCCTTTAAAGAAAGTTAGAAAGCAAACGTGAGCGCAAAGTTCTCAGGCTTCTTAGAGGCAGAAGCAGAGAAGCTGCTGGTGGGGAGGGTGAATGGGAGGAAGGAATGCTGACCATCCCCATCTGGGAATTTGGAGGGAGGGCATCCCAGGGCAACAGAAAACAACAACAGGAGAAGACCACAGTTGCTGAATGGGAGCCTGTTCTAAGGGTGGGGGCCCTCACACTGTAGGCCCAATTCTGACCTTGTGCAAAACAGACCTCATGTAAGACGCAGGTTAATAAAGTAATGAATTGCAAGGGCCTGCAGGTTAATTATTAATAATAATTTTATTATTTATATGCCACCCATGTGATTGGATTGCTTCAGCCACTCTGGGCGGCTCCCAACAAAATATTTAAAAAATCACAATTCCTGAACAACATGGTCCAGGGTCCCTGAGTCCTTCTGTTCCAGCTCACCCCCTGAGATCATCCGCCGTAGCATCACTGGTCATTCCACAAGTTCGCCAGACTCAGCTGATGGCAGTATAAAACTGAGCCTTTGGTGTCATTGACCAAGTCCTATGGAACTCTCTGCCACTGGAGATTCAGCAGACGCCTTCTGTGCCAAATTTTAAATGCCTGCTGAAACCTCTTCTTTTCCTCCAGGCCTAGGCAGGCAGCTAAAAATACAATCCCCACAATGATCAACGGAATATTGTTTCTAATTCTTTTGATTTTCACTTGTTTTCAACTTTTTATGATTTTACTGTATGGTTTTATATTGTTGTAAACTGTTTTGATATATTTCCATGGAACAGCAGTATACAAATACGTATTTTTAAAAAATAAAGAAATAAGCAAATAAAAAGATAAGGGCCGCTTGGCAGGTGGTCGAATATCTTTCCTGGTCGGGGTGGGGAGATGCGCAGATGCCTCTGCCAGCCCCTCCGCTCTCTTGGCACCGGTCTCCGCCGCGCCCACCCAGTTTGCGCAATTGACCGCCGCCCGGGCGCTATAAGAGGGCGGCCGCCGGCTCGACAGGGACATTCCCTTCCCGGCATCGAGGATGGCACACCGCTCGGTCTCTCTCGGCGGCCTGGCAGGCTTGGCGCTCCTGGGCGCCCTTCTTGCCCTCTCGCCAGCCTATTCGCTGGCGCTGGACGTCCAGAGTAAAAGCCAGACTCCGGCCAAGGTAGGGCCAGGCAGAGGCGAGCCAAGGAGGACGGGGCGGGCAGGCGGCCGCGCAAGTGGCGCCGGCTGCAGTCGGAGAGATCTCCGCATCTGGGCAGAGGGGCTTTGCGTGGTCTCAGCCTCGCTCTCCCCTCTGCGAAAGAGACCTGCGGCAGCGCCTCACCGGAGGGGCGGAAAACGAAGCCCCCGTCAGGGCGCGAAGGGAGCGGAGACGTCGGGGCGCCTGCCGGCGCGCTTGTGGAGCAGGGCGGGCTGCCGCTGGCTTCCTTTCCTCTGGTTTAAGGCTGCTTCTTTCGCAGGGTCTTAATTTCTGACATGCAGCTGCAACAGGCGCCTTGGAGGGGGTTGCTTCGGATGGGATTGGAAAATGTTGCGGGGAGGGAGGCAGTAAAAACTACAGGCTTTGTCGAGCGGGGAGCTGGAGCAGGCGCGATATTCACGGGCGCAAGGTGGCCACTGGGGTCTCCGCGCCCGTTTGCGTGCGGCCGAGGGGTCCCTCTCTGATCTGCTGGGGAGTCGCCTTTGGGGTTGGACTTGATGACCCTCTGGGGTCCCTTCCCCCTGTCCCTTCTCTGACCCGCTCCTCTCCGCAGTGCAACCTGGCGGGGACGTGGGTGAACGATCTGGGCTCCAAGATGGTCATCGGGACCACCAACGAGGACGGCCAGTTCTCGGGCTCCTACCTGACCGCCGTCTCGGCTACCACCGACGCCGCCATCCGGGAGTCGCCTCTGCACGGCAGGCAGCACCACACCAACCAGCGCGCCCAGCCCACCTTCGGCTGGACCGTCAGCTGGTCCTACTCCGGTAGGCGGGGGGGTGGGGCAGAGCCCCGCGGGGATAGAGAGGGGTCCGAGCAGCTCCGTGGACGGAGAAGGGAAGGGCCCCCAGTCGCCCTTCCCGGTCATGCGGTGGCTTCTCGGCCTTCGGCTGGCCAATCCGCCCCCATGCCGCCCCTGAAGACCCTCGCAGGGGAAGCAGAGCGGCCTCGGCGCCGGCCCACCGACCTCCCTCTCTCTGCCCCCTTGCAGACTCCACCGCCGTCTTCGTGGGGCAGTGCTTCGTGGACGAGAAGGGCGAGGAGACCCTGGAGACGACGTGGCTGCTGCGGGAGGAGGTGGCGACCCACGCCGACGACTGGAAGGCCAACCGGTAAGCGGCCCGAGGGCCGACTGGGAAGGGGGTCCCACTCCAGCCATTAAAACAGGCAGGCGAGACCCTCAAGGGGCGGAGGGGCGCCGTCGGGGCTGAGCATCAGTTCCCTCTCTTTCAGGATCAGGAGAAGTAGCTCTTCCTAGGAAGGCTCCCGCTCTCCCCTACGCTTCCAAGCAGATCTCAGGGGCCATTCAGCTCCCTCCGCCCCCGAGAAGCGGGGGGTGGGGCAAAACCCCCAGCTCGACTCCCATCGGTCTCCCTCCCAAAGAGGGTATCCCCACAATCCCCAAAACACAATCCTGCCAGAGGCCTCCAGGCACTCGCTTGACTTAGCCCAGTCCGCGAGAGCTCGGCGCTGAATTAGGCTCCGTCTCAAATCCGCTTTGCTATCGGCCAAAGAATGCCTTCAGCCTCTAACTAGGTAACTGCAGCCCATGATGCTCTCAGAATACGCTGCTTGCTTCCGAAGAATTCAATCTTAAATTTGCCCAAACTGGAGCGCGGGAGCCCTGCTTGCCTCACCTCTAACACGCATCCACGACTGGTCTTAATTTTATTTTAACCTAGGGGGGAAAAGAATACAACTGCTTACCAACCTTAGGTGATGTACACCTCCTCCCCAAGCAAGCAAGCAAGCAAGCAAGCAAGCAAGCAAGCAAGCAGCTAGACTAGCCGGACAGAACATCAACCGAACGAGGCGTCTGGCTAGCCTTCCCGCAACGAAAATGCTTTCAGCTGCCCACCTCCCGTTAGCAGGGAAGGCATTGGGAAGCCCAGAGATGCCGCGAGAGCGCGCGACTCCGACCCCTTGGGGAGGGAGCGCCATGCAAAATGGTCCAGGAGGCCTGTGGGGGGCGGGCCAGTCCTCTTGAGAAAGATGCGAAGAGCTTTGCAAATTCTTAGCCAAGCCCCGTGACGGCATTTCCAGGACCAGCCGCAAAGGGGGGCCTCGCCTCACACGGGGCTTAGGAGCAAGACCCTCTTGGAATTCCCCCGCCTGCAGGACGGCGACCAAGGCATCTTAAGAGCAAAAACAGCCCCCACCGCACCCGCAGAAGCCAGCAAAAGGTTCTCCGAGGCCAGTTCACAAAGGTGGCTCCAGGAGCCCCGTCAGCGGGGAGGACAGCCCCATCCAGGTCATGGCTATGGAAACTCCTCACCCAGAGAGCTTCCTCTATCCTGGGGGGATTCCAGCTGTTTATATTACCCCCCTCCCAGGTCTTAAGGGGGCTAGTGTCCTCTGCATCCTGATGGCACCACAGCCCAGAAGGTGGTCCTGCCAACCAAAGACCGCTTGGCTCGTCCCTCACAGAGCGGGAGCTCTTTCTGTGGTTTCGGGTTAGCCTAAGAGTTGCCGTCAGGGCAGAGAAGAGCTTTTGTGCCGCTAACAGCTGTGTGGCAGGCAGGAATCCAACAGGTTACTCCTTTTTACTATAGAAAAACACCAGGAAAGATTCGCCTTTTGTTATCTGTCAGGGAACTTGGTCCGTGAGTTAACAGCCCCTCAATTCCTCATCCCTGCCAGGGGCCAAAGAGGAGCCCCCCAGGTTGAAACTCCAGCTGCAGAGAATCCCCACCCCATCAGCCACTGGAGCCAGCTCCAGGGGGCCATGACAAGAATACATTTGTGGGTCTGGGCCCCCACAAAGTCAACGGGCAAAGTTGATGCCCTTCCTTGCAGGCCCCCACAATCTTCAGCAGACCTGGGACTGGAGCAGATAGGGACTGGCCTTCTCCCCACTGCCCGGCTCAATATCCCTTGGGGACAGGCCTACAAGTGACGCAGGGCTGCTGCAAACATCTCCCTCTGACTGGCTTGTGGGGAGGGGGGCTTACCCAACAGCAGGACAGCCCCCTCACTGCCTTGGGTGAAGAAATGGGGGCTGGCAGCTCTATGCCCCAGTCCACGCTTGCTTGCAAGGGGGCTGCCCGGGAGGCCATCTCTCGGCTCCTGGCCCATTCTGGTGCCACTGCTGAGGGCGCACGTGGAGGAAGAGGGCAAGGCTGGCAGCTCAAGGGGCCGTGGGCACAGGGAGGCTCATCCACGGACACTGAAGCCAGTCCTGGCACCCACAAGGCACCAAAATCAGTGAAGGGCATTTGCTGGACAATTCTCAGCCTCTCTCTCTCTCTTTCCTTGCAGGGTTGGCAAGAACGTCTTTGTACGTGTCAAATAAAAAGGAACCAGGATCCAGGCCTGCTTCTGCTACTCATGCGTAGGACCAGCTAGAAGATGGCTCCCCTCCCTCTGCACTCCACCAGGACTGCCCCTCTGGCCTCTTCTATGGGGAAGGACAAAAATCCCCCCTCAGGGGTTGCGTGTGTGTGCGTATATGTTGTGTGTCTTCCTTTCGGTCACTCCCCCACCAGCCTGCAGCCCCCCCTCCCGGTTTGGCCAAGGGTGGCTCAAGAAGGGCTCACCATTGCACTCGCTAGAGCAGGGGTCAGCAATCTAAGGCCTATGGGCCACAAGCGGCCCACGGGGGTTGTTTAACCAGCCCACGAGCAGCCCCCAAATTGAGCCGCCTGCTTGGTGAGTCCCCGCGCGCTGCGCTAAACCAACACAGTGCGAGGACTCCCTTCTGTGGCACCGGAAATCGCGTCTGCGCAGACTCTGGACATTGTGGCCGTGCACGCGCTCCGGCCCACGGAGGTTTCTCTGCTGGAGGGAACCAGCCCAGGCGAGGTAAACCTTGCCGACCCCTGCGCTAGAGAGGGCATTTGGTGGGGGAAACGTCTGATGCAGCGGTTGCCAATAGTTTATTCACTGTGCTTGCTCAGGGCTTTTTATTGGCCTTTCTGTATTCTTAAACTTTCTTTTAAATTCTCTGTCTCATGGGCTGATGACCAAAAAACCAATAAAGAAACTTTTCCACCATTGTCAATGAGAAATCACTCTCAAGGCTAGCCTACTATTTGCGTATTGGCATCCCAGAGGGGAGCCAGACCCCACCCCATGACCCCGGAGAAGGCCGAGGGGCAGGCACTCCCTGGAAACACAGAGGATCACTGGGGGGGGCAGGACGTTGATGCAGCCCCTCCCCGCATTTAGGGAACTATGCTGGGCCACAGACCCAACAGGCCAGGCAAGCCCCAGAAATGGCCAGGGGAGAGGGGGGTCTGCCCCACCCCCTAAAAGCACACCTGGAGCAACAGACATCCGCCCACAAAAATACACAGAGCGCCCCCCCATGCCAACAACTGTTTATTTTAAATTAAAATTATTCTGCATCTAAAAATAACTCTGGGGCAGCCCCCAGATTGTACAGAGCTTGATTGTGTGCAAATCAATCGTAGGAGAGAAAAGGGGGGGAAGCAGGTGGTGAAGGGCCCCTTCCTCTACCACCCCCTTGAAAATGGAGCACTGCTCCTCTTGTGAACTGGGGGCGGGGCGGGGCGGGGGCGGGCAGGGACACCTGCCACTGACCCCCAAGAGGAAAGGGCAGTCAGAAAGGGGGGGGGGCAGAGAAAGATCCTTCATACACACCGTGCAGCAACAAGACCCCCCCCGCCAGGGAGTGGCTCAGCCATGCAGGGCCCCCCCACATGCTTAAGAACACTAGGGGGGCCTTGCCCAACAGGGAGGTGGCAGCAGCCCCACCCACAGGCCCCTCCTTCCTGGCTGGCCAGTTGTGGGACCCCCACGCCTGCCGTGAGAGGGAGGGAGCCGCTTCATGGGCTCACGGCAATGGGGGAGTCAGAGGCCTCTGAGGAAGCGGGGGGCGCCTGGGCCTCCCCTGCCCCCCTGCGCTCCAGGGCCAGCTGCATGCTCCAGATGCTGAGGGGGCGCATGTAGGCCAGCGAGCGATAGACCCTCCTCTGGCAATAGGCCTCGGGGGTCTGGAAGGCCATGCCCAGCCTCTCCCACACCGTCCGGTAGCAGCCCTCGGCCGTGCGGAAGCCCTCCTGGACCAGCCCCTGGAGAGGAGGAAGAGGAGGGGGGGTGAGAGCCAGCCCCCAGCCCGCCTCTCTCGCCCGCCCATCCCAGCGCCCACCCCCCGCTCACCTCCTGGATCATGGTGGCGGCCAGGGCATACACCACGCCAACCCAAACCTCGTCCGACTGGACGCTGGAGCGGTCCGGGACCCCGCTGGGACGCATGCCGTTGACGGCGCCCATCGTCCCCTGGGAGAAGCCCATGACGTTCCGCTCAAAGATGGTCTTCAGGGCGCTCAGCACGTGGCTCTGGGGGAAGACCTGCAGGGAGGGAGAGCAGCGGGGGACCCCAAGGGCCATCTAGTCCAGCCCGCTCGGCAATGCGGGAGGGGCAGAGGGAGGGTGGGCAGGACTCTGGCCTCCTGACACCCAGGGGACCCTGGCCCCTCGCTTTGCTTCTATTCTGCATTTTGTCTTTTGACTGTCTGTTTTTATGCTGCGAACCGCCCCGATATCTTCAGATGAAGGGCGGCATACAAATCTTAATACTGTATTTTTCTGTGTGTTAGATGAGGCTTTTGACTCAAAAATCATGTCAAAAAACTGGGGTCGTGCTGCTGCAGGCGGAAAATGATCTAGGGAGTGTTTCCCACCCGCAGCGGCAAGGGGGTAGAAGCTCAACAATTTGGGGGCATCTCCCCTCACTTTCTTAAAACTGAGTCCCCCAAAATAGGGGGTGGCTTATACATGGAGGCGTCTTATAGACGTGAAAAACCGGTAAATAATATTAATAATTATAGTTATTCTTCATATGCTGTCCATCTGACTGGGTTGCCCCAACAAGGTATTAAAACCACAAGCCCTGAACAACAGAGGTCCCGGGTCCCTGAGCCCTTCTGTCCCAGCGCAGCCACTGAGATCATCTGCTGTAGAATCACTGGTCAATTGAGTTTGCAAGACTCAGCTGATGGCAGTATAAAACAGCCTTTCGTGCAGGGTCAGCAAACGTTTTCAGCACTGGGCCAGTCCACTGTCCCTCAGGCCTTGTGGGAGGCCAGACTATATCTTGAAAAAATACATGAATGAATTCCCATGCCCCACAAATAACCCAGAGATGCATTTTAAATAAAAGGACACATTCTACTCATGTAAAAACATGCTGATTCCCAGATCTTCCGCAGACCGGACTGAGAAGGCGATTGGGCCGGATCCGGCCCCTGGGCCTTACTTTGCCTACCCGTGCTTTAGGGTCCTCAACCAAGTCCTATGGAACTCTCTGACACTGGGGATTCAGCAGGCGCTTTCCCTGCACAGGGCTGCTTTCGGGTGTCTTTTGAAAGTGATCTGATGTGAGCCTCCAAGAGGGGTGCCTGACCCCCCACCAGCCCCTGGGAAAAGGAGGGGAGTCCCTCCACAGGCTGACCCTCCACTGCCATGGAAGCTGACCAAGGATGACTCCCTGCGTCCTGGTGGGACCCTCGCGACTGCGGACGAGCCCCCTCCCCCTCTGGGACCCTCCTTGCCCTCCTCACCTCAGACTTGCCCTCTCCCAGGCCGCAAGCGCGGAGGAACCACTGCCCAGCCAGCTGGTCAGACATGATGCTGTCCGAGGAGGTGCTGTTGCTGCTGTCGTAGTTATAGTACTTCCCTGGAGGAGAGGGCGGAGTGAGGGTGATCCCGGGCGGGAGAGAGACGCCTGCAGACATCCCAGAGCCCCCCCTCACCCCCAGAGAAGGCAGGCAGGCAGGCAGCCGCCTTTGCCCCCACGCACCGTTCCAGAGCAGCTTCTCAAAGGCCGCTGTGCCCTTCGCCAGGATGGCAGAGTACGTCTGCCGGGCATCCTCCTCGCCAAGGAGCTGCGCCATCTGGCACATCATGCTGAGAGCCGCCAGCCACAGGCTTCCGCAGTAGGAGCTGCCAAAGCAAAGGAGGAGGAGGTTGGCAGGAGCCGGCCCTGGCACACGGGCACCGTGGGGAGCCCTCCTAGCTGGGAAACCGGGGCCCACGCTGGGGCCACCACCAGAAGGGGGGCTGGAGGGCAGAGCAGCTCTGGGGCTCTGGGGTCCTCAGACCGGTGGGCTGCAGCTGAGGAGGGACTCACTGCTCAGGCCTCTTGCTGTGTCTAGCCAGAGGGGGGCGCTGTTGGCTATTTGCAGATTAGTTGCTGTGGGGCCACATGCCAGCCATGCCCTGGCCTGCCATGAGCAGAGATAAGTTCATGTTAGCCCAGATTTGTCGTGGAGGTCTTAGTTTCAATCATTGAGTGGAAGTCAGAAGTCAATTATGGATCAGAGACCAGGACAGGACCCTGTTTCGATGTATTCACCTTTATCAGCTAATTTTTAAAGGGTCATGTAAGTTTGAAGACTTTCGGATAAATATATCCTGTTATTTTCTACATTTCTCAAGGATAACAACTACGTGTGGATAGAGCAACGTGTATCTTGAGCACAGAAAAGCTACCACGACGAATCTGGACTAACATGAACTTACCTCTACTGATAAACTCTTATCTTTAATTCTGTAATGAATTATTGTGTTATACATATTTTTATGAGTTTGTTTGTAATCTCTGTTAGAGTTTGTAATCCTTGTCAGAATACATACTTTTGGATTAGTTTTTGTTACTATTGACTATTGATTTGCAAGTAGGGACCAGCCCCCAACTCTGGGCGCAACTGGGCGTGTCTGCTCCTAAAAGACTCTCGTTTTGAGATGCAGCCAGTCTAGTCAAGATTTGCCAAAAGAGAAGAAAAAACTTCTCATGTATGCTACAACTGCAGCTAGGATATTGCCAGCACAAAGATGGAAAAGTGTAGAAGAAGAATGGCAAGGGAAATGGATGGAAGACGCTGAAATGGCCAAGTGAACGGAAAGACTTCGAGACAAGGCAATAGAGATTTCAAGAAAGACTGGGAACCGTTCATGTCATATTTACAGAATCAATGCAAAGAAATGGACTCACTTGCAGGGGTTCATTAAACACTTGCAAATAACAAAATAAATGACGGAAATAGAATGAATATGCCAAAATGATTAGAAAATAATAATAAATATTTTAAAAAATCTTAAAAACTAAGAAATAACAAAATAAGCAGGAGGAGTTCATATGCCAAAAAACCAGAAGAGGAAGTGGAGGGAAGTCATGGGGCGGGGGGGAATTGGGGAATGGTATTTTTGTTATATATTATGATATTTTGATGTTAAAAAAATGTAAAACTTTAATAAAAATTATTTTTAAAAAAGAGAGATGGGGCCAGTCTTGCTACTTGACACATGAAATGTGGGATATGAAATGTGGCTGCAAAAGCTAAAGAAGAAGCCAAGAGTCCTCTGGGGCCAAAGAAAAAAAAAGGGGGGGTTGTAGCTGTCTGCTTTGCCTTTATTTCATTTGTAAGAAAGGAGGAACATGGCTGAGGACCACCTCCTTGGCCCACAAACCAAAAGAGCCACTGACTCGCAGGGTTATTTGAATACTGCAATCCTTTCCCTTGGTATGGCAAGGCCCGTGTTTTGCATTCCTGCCTTGTTTAAACATCAAATCTGTGCCATAATCTGTTCCAGTTGCTGCCTTCCAGGCACCCAACACACCTCTGGTGCATTTATTTATTTGGGTTTCATTCCATGTCTGTACTTGTTCAACTGCGGTCTCTAATTGCATATGGATTCTGCATGTTGTCATCAGATCCTGTGTAATGACACTGCATCTTGCAGATTTTTTGAAAATTAATAAAATATTTTTAAAAACTGAGGAGGAGGCTCTCTAGTCAGTTCATGCGTAAGACTCTGTGAAAGGATTCTGTGGAACTGTAACAACCCTTCATGTGGATTACAGTGGTACCTCGGGTTACAGACTCTTCAGGTTACAGACTTCGCTAACCCAGAAATATTACCTCGGGTTAAGAACTTTGCTTCAGGATGAGAACAGAAATCGTGCTCCAGTGGCGCAGCAGCAGCAAGAGGCCCCATTAGCTAAAGTGGTGCTTCAGGTTAAGAACAGTTTCAGGTTAAGAATGGACCTCCGGAACAAATTAAGTACTTAACCCGAGGTACCACTGTACTTAACCCAAGGTACCACTGTACTGGACTCTGTGAACAGACAGGTGGAACAGAAACTTATATATGTGTGGACCTTATGCATGAACTGACTAGAGGATGAACTGATCCACTGGGTCTTCTGCTTTTTTTGTTGAACTTTATGAGACTTCTGTTGGAATCTACAGTTTGAGACAATGAATAATATACCTTATTTATTCAAAAGTACAGCCGGTTACGTCTTGTGTGTTTACTGAGTGTGTTTCACGTAACCAGAGGTTTGTTGTTCTTGTTTTGCCCTCTCAGCCTAGGCAGCCATTTTGGCAGAGGGAGCCCCTCCCCTTTCAAAGCGCAGATCCTCCCCGCCAGATGCCCGCCTGGGCCTGCCCCAAAACTGACCACTCTGCCGCTGCAACCACCTGGGGGTGTTGAGCCCAGCTCAGCACTTGGCCAGGGCAGCCCTCCTCAAAGAATCCCGGTTGGAAAGGGCCCCCTGAGGGTCATCCAGCCCACCCCCTCCTGCCTGCTCACCTGGCACCCGTCACCACCCAGGCGTCGTAGGTCTGGTCGGCGAAGCCAGAGTTCTCGATGAGGCCGTCGCCGTCCTTGTCAAACTTCAGCTCAGACTCCATCACGGCCTGCAGGGAGTGGAAGGGAGGAGGTGGGGGCGTTTGGGGCCTGGCCCCTGCCATGGCCTGCCCCAGCCTTGCCACCGCCCCCCAGCCCGCCTCCTGGCGTTACCTGGCAGACGGGCCACATGTCCCGCAGGTAGGCAGAGTCTTTCGTGAGGTAGTAGTCGCGATACACCTGCAGCACAAACTTCAGGTTCAGGTCCTTCCAGGCGGCCGTGTCGTGGATCAGGTAGGCGTTGAGGTGCTGCCAGGGCTCGTCATCTGGGGGGAGAGGGGGGGGAGAGTGAGGCCCAGGGGGTCCCCCTGCCCGTTGCCCCACCCCTGCACCCTTGGGAGTCTGCACCCAGGGCACGATCCGGGCATGCGCCTGAGAAGGGCCAAGCAGAAAGAGGGCTGGCCAGGGAGAAGCAAAGGAGGAGGACCAGGGTGGATAAAAATCAATCGTGTCTTTTTAAAAAAAATTTAAAAATCTGATTTTTAAAATTTAAATCTGATTTTTAAAATAAAATGCTTTCAGAAGAAAAATCTTTCCAAAGGTTTTCTGTTCAAGTTACATTATAGTCCAAAGGCTATTCATCAGGAAATAAGGATTTGTTTTAAGTTTTTTTATGTGTGCTAAAACTCAGTTCAAGTTGCTTTTTAAAAAAGAATTGTTTAACCACATCAGTTAACAAACATGGATACATATGCTATAATGTTATTGTTTTAGTTAAACAAATTGTTTAAATTGTTATGAAGGAAATTATTGTTTTTCTCCAATAAAGTGCAGCAGAAAAGCTGTCCAAATCTAAACAATTAACTTATTAAACCTCACTGTAATTTCACAATTCTCTTTCTATGTATTTCTAATAGTATAACCATATCAGTAATATTTGATATAACTGTAAAAACTACTCTGAAAATTTATTATTCCAAAAAGGAAACCTTCATCTGGTTGTAAATATTAAGATTGTACCAGCAAGGAGGAGTCTTTCTGTAAAAATGATTGAAACCAAGTCTTACTGACTAGTGATCGAAATTGTGATTGAAATCGATTTAAATCAATTCCACCCTGAGGAGGACCCCCTCCAAGCGTGTCTCAGGCCCCTCTGAAGGCAGAGGCAGCCCCACGGAGAGAGGGCAAAAATGCACAGAAAGGCCCCCTTTCTCCCGAGATCAGAGGGGGCACTGGGGGGCAACTGAGCTGGCGGTGAATGGCAAGAAGCAGCAGCGGCTTAGGGAGACTCTCAGGCCCCATCCTGCCTGACGCGGGGCCTCGGCTGGAGAGCCAGGGAGGGGCAGCGGGTCAGGCGTTGGGCTACTGAGACCTGGGAGGGAGACCCGGGTTCCAATCCCCACTGGGCTATGACAGGAGAGTCTCAGACCAAATGTAAATGAAGTGCAAACAAGGCTCTTGGAACCGATGGTGGAGACGCTCTATGTACCTTTCCTTGTTTATTTGTTTTGTAACACAAGAACTTCTTTAATAAAAACTATTTTTTAAAAAAAAAAAAACATGGGGCCACTAAGCTCACTGGGTGTTTTGGGGGCCAATTGCTGCCTCTCAGCCTAGCCTCCCTCGCAGGGGTGTAAGGTAAAGGGACCCCTGACCATTAGGTCCAGTCGTGACCGACTCTGGGGTTGCGGCACTCATCTCGCTTTAGTGGCCGAAGGAGCCGGTGTACAGCTTCCGGGTCATGTGGCCAGCATGACTGAGCTGCTTCTGGCGAACCAGAGCAGCGCACGGAAATGCCGTTTACCTTCCTGCCAGAGCGGTACCTATTGATCTACTTGCACTTTGACGTGCTTTCGAACTGCTAGGTGGGCAGGAGCTGGGACCGAGCAACGGGAGCTCACCCCGTCGCGGGGATTCAAACCGCCGACCTTCTGACTGGCAAGTCCTAGGCTCTGTGGTTCGACCCACAGCACCACCCGCGTCCCTTCGCAGGGGTGTGGTGGAGACTAAATGTGTGCAGGGAGAATTGCTGGCACCCCTTTGAGCTCCTGGGAGAAAACAGTGGGATAGAAAGGCAATACAGGAAATAAATGAGATGCGCCCCCAGCTGGAAGGGGGGTTCTCGGATCTGGCAAGTGGGGGCCAGGGGGCATCGCTGTGCCTGCGGTGAGATCAGCCTGCGCCTCTTTTGCCAGGGTGGGGGGCTGCCCTTTGCCCAGTGAGCGCCAGGGCGGCTCTGGAGGTGCGGCCTCACCAGGCTCCCCGATGTCGTGGGGCACCACGTTGCGCAGCTTCACTTGCGCCGTCTGCCCGCTCATCAGGTACATGCGTGGCCGGGTGTCCTCGCTCAGGATGGCGGCCGCTGCGGGAGAGAGAGGGGGGGGTCCAGGGTTGAGGGGTCTCGCTCTCTCTTGCCCTCCCCCCTTTGGCTCAAGGGGCCTTGGCCTCCCCAGAAAAAGCCAAGGCCCAGGGAGAAGCGATGCCCTGCTGTTACCCCCTCCGTTCACCCCCGGGACCCGACTCCAGCAGAGGCCCTCCCGTGGGGCGTTTGGGGGGGGGAAGAGACGACTGGGAGGGGGTGGGCAGACGGGCAGAGGGAGGGGGGAGGCTCACCCACCCATGTCGTACTGCAGGCTCAGCTCCAGTTTGGGCCACAGCATGGCGAGGGCAAAGGAGGCATAGAAATGGACGTCGTAGGTGTTGTACATGAGGTACTCCTGGCCTGGAAGCAGCAGAGGGAAGCGGGCAGGTGGGCACCGGCGGAACTCCCGGCCCCAAGAATGCACACACCATACGTCCAAAGAACTCCCCCCTTCCATAATCCTGGGAACTGTAGTTTACGGGTGCTGGGAAGGGCAACTACAGTTCCCAAGGTGCACATTGCTTTAAATTTGTGGTGCCTCAGTCTGACCCAAGGCTGGGGGTGGCAAAGCCCCTGGTGCCCTTCCCTCTCCCCTCCCGCCACATGCCACAGACCCCCCCCTCTGCCGCTTGGGGCAGAAGCCGTGGCAGAGGGCAGAGTCCTGCCCCTCACCTTCCAGGTATGCAAACCTCCCGTACTCCTTCAGGACCGCAAGGTGCTGGGAGAGTCCCAGGGAGGCCCCCAGGGCGGCCGCGGGGTCTTCCGGCTGAAGCTCCACCCACAGGGTCCCTCCGTCTGCCAGGAAATACAGCTCATTGAAGATGGCAGACTTGTACCAGGGGGGCAGGTCGCTGCAATGGGGGGCGGAAAGAAAGGCACTTGTACGTGGGCCCCCCAAGGAAGAACCAGCCGGCTACTGCCACGCCCTCCCTCAAAACCACAGGAGGGGGAGGACCCTCCTTTATCAGAGGCCGGATGACCACCTGCCAGGTGCCAGGGATGGGAAGAGATGATCCCTGGAACCCCCTTCCTACTCTGCAATTCTGGGAGTCTATCACAAGGAAGGAGGTGCAGGGATCCCCAAGCCCCCACCCGGGAGCAGGGCTAGAAATTAGCCAGGGGCCAGACATCTTGGCTACTAGCATTGGTCCAATGGCAACTACCTGGAGAATTCTGGGTGCCAGGTTGGCAACCGCAGTTTAAAAACCTCTGCCTTAGTCCATAGTTCACGCCATTTTCACTGTGCGTGTTTCTCCCTCTTGCATACTGGGACAAACGAATAATGGTACGAGCAAGCAGTGGCCAAGCAACGGAGCTGAGACCATAGAATTGGAGAATTGGAAGGGACCCGGAGGGTCATTGAGTTCAGGCGCCCACCGGGCAAACAGACATTATGTTGGGTTTAAGGGGCCATTTGGTGCCTAGCAGATATATCGGAGGTTCTTGCCCTATTAGGGAAGGAAAGGGAGCTGGGGGGGGGGCAGAGGGCCACACCACACTCAGGGAGGGGCAGGACTGTCCCATGGGGGCAGCTCATATCACGGACCCCCATGCGGGCTTGCAGACAGTCACTCGCCTGCCCTGGCCTGGGCCCTCTGGCCTGGTGTGGGTGCCTGAGCAGCCTGGCCAGGAGAACCCCATCAGGTGGGGGGAGACCCCCCCCCGGCCCTTCCTGGCGGCCAGGATCTGCTCCCGGCCTGTGTCTGCCAGAAGAGGGAGGGCTGTACCTGTTCTCCAGGATGGGGCGCTGCCAGGCCTCAATCTTCTCCTCCCACGCCTGGTAGCACGAGAGGGTGTAGTGAGACAGAGCCGGGCAGGCATCTCCCTTGCTGCCAAAGAAGCGCGTGTACCTCCTGCAGAGGAAGAGGAAGAGGAGGAGGAGGAAGGCACATCAGGGCACCAGACTCAGCACTCGCCAGAAACAGCAGGCAGGGACCCTCTGCCCACTCCTTGCCCGCGTCAGGCTGCTCCAGGGAGCAGGGGTGGTCTCTGGGCGAGAGGCCTTTGTGCTGGCTTCCCACCTCCCAAAGGGCCCAATCCCAGGGGCTGCAGCAGGGCTGTGATCAAGCCCCTTCCGCTTGAGGGGAAAGATGCGGACCTCCCTGCCAGCCTTCAATGGGGGGGGGGGAAGAAGAGATGCCCATGTGCCAGTCTGGGGGGTGGTGCCCCCTGCACATTCAGAAGGTGGCAGACGGGATGGCGAGGCTGCCCAGGCATCGCGTGGGAATGACAGGGGTCTTCCTCTGCCCCCCATCTTCTTCTGGAGCAGGAAAAGGGCACACAGTTCAAGTCCCGCTCAGGCAAAATGGGGAGGCTGGGCACGGCCTGGCAGAGGACAGGTCCAGCCACTCTGCCCGGCCTCCACATGGCTTGCATTTCTCTCTAGCCCTCTCAGGTCAACTCCCTCAATTTTCCATTTTTCGTTTCACTTTTAGTTTGTTTACCACTTTCTGTATCGCTCCACCCAAGGCAGCTGCCAAGCCGGAGAAGCAACAGGAAGCAAAAGGAAGATCCCACGTCCAGGAAAAATCCCACCCAATGCCACTAACTCCTCATAAATGTTACTTTTAAACAATCAGCTAACATAAAGTAATATTCAACGGTCTATTCAGAATATAACATTGCACAATAAAATTAACTCTCAAAATATTACCAAATAACAAACAAACAGAAATCCAGACTCAACAACTACAATCAATGATTCCTGGACTAAACTCAAAAAAATAGCAGCAACTATTTGCTACAGGACACAAAAGAACAAAGTGAGTCAAGGTCACAGGCTGGGTCTAGTTATTTCCTGAGCCAACAGCTCAGCTCCCGCCTCTCCCTTTGTGAGCCTCGGTCTGGGAATCTCCCTGGTTTGGGGAGGGATACAAGGGCAACTCCGGGGGGGGGGGGTCTGCACAGAGCCCTGCTCAGTGGTTGGGGGGGCGGTGCATGGGTCACGGGGGGCTAAGGGAGGCCACAGCCAGGACTGTCATTTCCTAGGGGTAAGACTGTGCCAACCGACCAGGAGGCCTGCAAACAGCAGGCAACACAAGGTGGCAGGTCAGGGGGGCTGGTTTCTCTCCTGCCTGCCTGCGTTGCCCCCCCCAATGGAAAATGCCTCAGAGCAGGTTGGGAACAAAGGGGGGGCACAGCTTCTTACACTGGACACAAGGACATAGAAGAATGCCTGCTGGATCAGGGCCACCATCCTCTTCCCACAAGCGCAAGAGCAACACTTTCCCCTGGGGGGGGGGGTCAGAAGCATCACTGCCTCTGGCTGTGGGGAGCAGAGCAGCGCCAACATGGCCAGCGGCCCTCGACTGCCCACTCCTCATCCTCCCCCATGAATCTCTCCAGCCCTCTTGGAAAGCCCTCCAGGTCGGGGGCCGTCCCTGCCTCCTGGGGCAGAGTGTTCCACAGTTTAACTCTGCGCGGTGCAAAGGACTTTCTTCCAACATCCAGCTTCCCCGGGTGCCCACAAGTTCTCGTCACCCGGTCTGGGTGAGGCTGGGTGTGCCAGCTGAGCACACTGTGGCACAGCCTGCCAGTGCAGCCGGCCCCACCCGCAGCAGCAGAATGCCTGGCCGAGAGGAGGCTGGAATCAGGCCCACACTTGCCTCAGGTGATCCCTCAGCTATGAAGCCAAACCTTACGAAATGTATCATTCGGCCGCAGCATCAGGCGCTCACCTGCGGTGCTCCTTCTCTTTGGAGCCAAACCGAATGCAGGGCATATCCCAGGCCAAGGCAAACTCCAGCGTTGAGTGCCCGGAAGCTGGCACCGTGCAGGTGGCACACACAGCTGCTGCACAAGCCTCCCCCTTCTCCGTTGGGGGGCTTTTCCCTGAAAGAGAGAGCACACTCTTTGCATGTCAGGGCACCTGGCCTTTTGCTCCCTCCCCGCCCCCTCTGTGCCACCCCCTCCTGGGGGGCCTGGGGCTCACCTGGTGGGGACGCCAGCTTGCCATCTGCCAGGAGGTCCTGCCACACTTCCTGCCCAGTGCCAGCAGGGTTGAACGTGGTGAGGTGGGTCACGGTGGTGCCTGCCTAGAGGGGAGAGCGAAGGAATCGAAACCCGGCCCTGTGGCAAAGACCGGGCGCCAAGGGAGGGGGCCAGCAGCCCAGAGTCCCACCTGTGAGACAGGTGAGTTGAGAGTGGAGTGATCTGTGGGGGTCAGGTGGGATTGCTATGAGGAATTATGAAAAATGAAGCAAGCCATTGTGTCAACAGTGAAAGCATTGTGTTGACTGGGTTTGAGTCATTGACAATACTTTCTGATCAAATCCCATAAGCCTCTGCATCTCTGCCCATCTTCTCTACTGTTCATTTTCTTTCTCTCTGCCTGACAGGCACGTATCAGCATTCTGAAACACAGACTGGTTGCTTCACCAGGCATCCTGGGCCATAAAGATAGAAGGTAGCTTTGATGTAGCTTTTGTTAGTCTAGGTAGATCTTAAGGGCCAGGAAGAGAGTTCACAAGGAGATGCTAAAAATGCCTATCTTTCCTTGCCATCCCTCCTCTCCTGTTTACTGCTGTTTATGACCTCCTGTGCTTGCAAAATGCATTCCTCCTTGATCCCTGTTTTATTTAGCCTAAAAACGTGTATGCATGCTCAAAGTAGTTTTTGTAGTTAAAAGGAGTTCTCTGATCTAACTCTGTACCACGTGGTAGGTTTTTTTGAAATGCTCAGAGGACATCTGATTGGTTCTTACAAGCGCTGTGTTATAAATTATTTTGTTAATAAAAGGGTCCTGGGCCAGGGTTTGACAGATTATTATTGGCACTTCCTCCCGGAGCCTTGCTGGCCAAGCCTCGTGTGTATTTTATTCATCAGGGTCCAATCCTTCCTTGCCTTCGGAACGCAACAGTGATCTCCCCCACCATGGCAGGAGGGGCTGGCCTCCCTCCGGACGTCCTCCTTGCACGACGCCCTCCTCCTTACCTTCTCCCGGGCGGAGATGGCCAGCGTGTAGGGGTTCACTGGGGGGCAGTGGTGAAGCAGCACGCCCCGGACACAGCGGCCGTCCTTCTCCAGGCAGAAGGGCTCGTTCCAGTGGCCCCCACTCCGGTCCCCCTTGGACTCGGTGCCGTTCTGGAAGGTGAACATGAGGGAGACCTCCATGTCCTCCCCGCTCTGGTTCTCCACGTCCCAGAGGAAAGCCCCCACGGGCAGGCTGGTGTCCTGGAGGCGACAAAAGGCAGCGAGGGGGTCAGGGGCTGCAGAAAGGAGGCTGTGTGGGGCAGGAAGCAGCGACAACCGAGCCCTTTCCATCACCAGCATATTGATATGTACGGTAATATTGATTAAATATTGATATGTGCAGTAATATTGATTAAAAGTGTAATACAAAGGTAAGTAAGTCTCTACTTGCTTTATCAATCTTAATTTCAGCTTAAGAGCCATTTTAGTTTATTTGCCACTCACTGGTGATAATATATTTGGAACCTAGTCCTGGGTCTTTACTTTTTGGAAAATACAAATATTACCCTGAAGATCTATTGAGACATAGTCAGAACTATCAACCCCTCTCTTGTTAGCAACATGCTCGGTTGAGTTTGCATCCGTGGTTCTGGAATGGAGACAGGCTTCTCAGCTGTTTGATGAAGAGCGCATGGCTAGGCAGCATTGGAGGTAAGGATCTCCACTGTTTGCTTGGTATTCATACAAGAAGTAGAAGTAGTTACCTTGGGCCTGCCACACTTGAGAACCAGCTAAACAAGAGAGAGACGTTTGTGTGTCAAGATAACAGCAGACCAGGAAGTTTGAAAGAAATTGAAGTGAAAGAAATGGGTAAGTTTCAAGCCATCCTACAGAGACAGCATTGTGCTTGCCACACATGGCTTTTGGCATGTGAATTCATAGCTTGTGGCAAGGAAGGAAAAATTGGTTCGTTCCACCCCCCCCCATAGTTTTGGGTTTCTAAAAGATTAACGCACACCCCAGTATGCATACAAGAGCTGGTCAAATCAGAGTGTCTCTGCTGTTCACAGCGCTGCTGGCATTAGCGAAATGGCACAGCTCAGGGGTGGAGAACTGGGCCCAAAGTAACAAAAGGAACTTCAATAGGGGCAAAGTTTCAATAGGGCCCGCAGACTGACTTGCCAGAGTGGTCCATGCTCTAGTTATCTCCCACTTGGACTACTGCAATGCGCTCTACGTGGGGCTCCCTTTGAAGGTAACTTGGAAACTGTAATTAATCCTGAATGCAGCAACTAGACTGGTGACTGGGAGGGGCTGCTGAGACCACATAACACCAGTCCTGAGAGATCTGCATTGGCTCCCAGTACATTTCCGAGCACAATTCAAAGTGTTGGTGCTGATCTCGAAAGCCCTAAACTGCCTCGGTCCTGTATACCTGAAGGAGCGTCTCCACCCCCATCATCCAGTCCAGACACTGAGGTCCAGCGCTGAGGGCTTTCTGACAGTTCCCTCCCTGCGAGAAGTGAGGTTACAAGGAACCAGGCAGAAGGCCTTCTCCGTAGTGGCACCTGCCCTGTGGAACGCCCTCCCAGCAGATGTCAAGGCAATAAACAACTGTTTTACTTTTAAAAGACAACTGAAGGCGGCCCTGTTTAGGGAAGTTTTTAATGTTTGATGCTGTATTGTTTTTAATATTCGGTTGAAAGCCGCCCAGAGTGGCTGGGGAAACCCAGCCAGATGGGTGTGGTATAAATAATAAGTTATTCTTCTTCTTATTCTTATTACCAGCAAGGATGCAGGTTGCGGGACTTTAGGGCCAGCTGCTCTCCGCATTGGGCTTGGAACTGCTCTTACGTAAAACAATTTGCATTGTGAAACTGCCTCAAAACAGTCCAGTGGGAGCAACGGGCTCCTCTTGTTTTCCACAGGGCTGCCCTCTCCTGACCTGGCCCCGGGTTCTGTCCCAAATGGCACCCAAAGGAACAAGTTTCCAGCCTGCCTATCAGGAAAGAGTCACAGGATGTTGGACTGGGAGTTTCTGCCTCATTGTCTCAGTAAGACAATTAACGTTTCAGTGGTAGAGACACTGTTTGCTAGAGAGGTTATTCCAGCAGTTCTGGTTTGGGAGCGAAACCCCCAAACTTTCCGCAACCCTGGTCAACAGTGCTTTTGGAAAGGACAACATGGAAGTGAGCAGGCCCTGAAAACTAGTATTTCAGGTCCCTGAAGATTCTTCTATCGCCACTTCCTCTACTTAAGGCATGTCATGATGATAGTCCAGAGAGCCAGAGCTGCAATGTTACCTGTGAACTGAGCTGGAGGAGAGTCTGCCGATACTCTCTCTACATTATTAATTATTCTTATTATTATTATTATTACTACTACTACTCTCTCTACATTAGTGACAAATCCGCTTACCACATGCTCATTAAAACTACCACATGTAGGTTTAATAAAGATACTAAATCCTGTTATGCCCTTCTTGGTTTGGAACAGCAGCTTGTGCCAAAACCACAAAAAGGTGTTTGTTGCCTTGTTCAACCCTCTGAATGGAAGCCTTTTTGTTACGTATCTCAAATCAAGAGTTACCTAAAGAGAAATGGACATTATTTACAACAGCGGCAAGAATCTTGATTGCACAATACTGGAAGACGGAAGAAATACCATCAAAGGAACAACGGCAAGAAAAACTGATGAACTATGCAGAATTGGCTAAGCTAACAGACAAACTATGTGAGAAGGACAAAAAGAACTTCAAACAACAGAAACAGAAACAACAGAATGGACTGGGTTCACTGGCAGGATTTGAATAAACGTTCACAATTTCATTTGAGTAACAGATATTTTAGATAAATGATAAGGGATTTTATTTTTGTGTAGGAAAAGCAGGATACAATAAATAAAACTAAATAACTCAGCAGAAGGGGAAGTCCAGAGGAGGGGAGGGAGAATAATTGTATATAACACGATGAATGAGATTTGTATCATTATTTGTTATAAAATTCGATAAATATTCATATAAAAAATATGAATGGAAGCATAATTCCTCTTGCCTCTTCCCTTTCAGAGCAGCCACCAAGACCACCATCACCTCCGAGGGGAAGCGGTGTCACCTGAAGCCACCTGTCACCTGCGCCTTGCCTGCTTGTGGACCCTCACCAAGCCCGGCCAGCTGCTCTTGGCCCTCAGGTGTCTGAGGATGGGCCCCCGCTCTGAGAGGGGGCCAGGGTCAAACACCCCAATGGAGGGGGGAGCCTCAGGGTGCTAAAGAATTCACCCAGTGCCACTTAATCAGGAGGTGCTGGTTCAAGATACAAGCTGGGACTGGCCAGCCTTCCAACTGCTGCCAGGATGGGACACAGCCAGTGCCAGATTTACATATAAGCTCAACAAGCTATAGCTTAGGGCCCCACTCTCTTGGGGGCCCCAAAAAAATTTAAAGGGAAAAGAAACGATGTACATTTCCAATATATAAGATAAAAAACAAATAAAATAAAACCTACATACAGCAACCATGTTTTGTGTTGTGGAGGTGCCTATGATGTAAGTCATGGGCCCCGCCTGCTCGCCTGCTCCCTCAAATATCCCTGCTTTGCTCCTTTCTATATATAGGGTGCCAACATTCTGCATGGACTGGTTGCAGGGCAACATATGCAAATGGCTTGAGATACCACTTAGGTCCATAAATTGCCATATAGCATATATTCAACACAAAAACTGCAACTATTTGTTGTTGACAAAGCTGGACATACAAAGGGGCCCCATTACCTTCAGGAGCCGAGGGCCTCATCAAACCTAAATCCGGCCCTGGACACTGTTGGGCTGCCGGCTTTTCCCAGCTGGTCCCAAAAACTGCTCTGCAAAGAGTTTCTCTCCAGAGAAAAGCACGCAGTAAAAGGATGAGCATGCAATAAAGGGCCAACAAAGTGAGCTGAAAGGCTCCCAGGTGCCCCCACCTCTCTTTCCCTGCCATGGAACAATGCAACCCATCACCCTCAGCCCCACAGAGGTACCTTCACAGGTACGGAAGAGGCTCACCTGGTAATCGTGAGGGATGATGGGGGAGACCTGCCGACAGGTGAGCACGACGTCCTGCCCGGGCAGCTGGTAGACAGCCCAGGCGCGGGGGTAGAGCGCGTGGTAGAAAGCGTAGTGGCCGCAGAAACCCCAGTTCCATTCTTGCAGGCGGCTGGGCTTCTCTATCGACAACACCTGCTGGTAGACGGTCTGGCCCTTCCGGCGCAGGCAGACGGTGAACTGGTATGGGGGGGGTGGAAAGCCAGGTGAGGGGCAGCCTGAGCACAGGGGAGCAAAGGCAGGGAAGGGAGGCAGGTTTCCGGCCAACAAGGCAGCTGATCTGAGAGGGCAGAGAGTCCCAAGACCCCCAGAGCCTCGGCCAGCCGCGCCAACTCTGCCACGCCCACCCCAGGGGCACAGACCAGGAGGCCAAGTCCTCGCACAGCTACGCACCTGGTCAGCGATCACCGTCTTGTAGTGGTAGAGCCCAGGGTTCAGCTGCCACCGGCAGAAGTCCCCCCGCCAGCCTCGTGTGATGGTGCCGCCGCCAAAACCCCCCAACGGGCAGCCTGTGGGGAAAGCGAGGGTGGCGGGCTGGTGAGCTCCAGCCCTGCGGGAGGCAGACAGACCCTTCCCCTTCGCCAGCAAGCCACGGCAGCGGCCCAGCCAGGCCCCCTTCTGCTCCCTGCCTCCCACTGCAGGGAATCCCTGGCTGGCTCTGCCCGTCACCCTGGGCACGGCTCCCTGGGCACAGGAGAAGCCAAGCTCCGCCCTGCTCACCGTAGATCTGGCGCAGGGGCTGGGAGTTGAAGAGGTTGATGAAGGGGTGCTTCTTCTCCACGCGAGTCTTCCGGTACCACCACCTGAAGTACCTGGAGGGAGAGGCACACCTGGACGGTCACGGCCAAGCTCCACGGATGCATCATAGAACCTGGCTAGGGGCCACCCCAGCCGCGCAATCTGTTTTTATTCTCTGCTATTCTTTACATGCGCATGTGTGAGCCTGCACATTTATTATCATCATCATCAATTTATTTAGTTAGATGCTGCCTTCATTGCTGACAGGGACTCAAAGCAGCTTACAGATAAGAGCAAGAACATCTGTGACAAATCAACAAAAACAGAATAAAATAAGATGACAAAGGCCCAGAACCAGCACACAGTTAAAGGATGGGTGACATTCCGCTAAGTTAGGCCCATTAACTTCAGTGGGTCTACCGGGAGTAAAACTAAACAAACCCCACCCAATGGAATCCAGTCCCTGCAGAGGCCACGAGGGTCCTCCCTCCGGTTGGGTGGCTTTCAAAGGGGACCGGGCTAAGTCACGGAGGGCAGCTGGGCTTCCAAAGGCTTTGGGGGGGTGGCTGTCAAGGGCACTGTTGGGGGCATCCTGTTGGGGCGCCTTTTTGGCCAAGATGAGGGCGCTGGAGCCCCTATTTGGTAGCCACAGAGGCTTTCGTGTTTCGGAGTGCCAGTGGCTGGCGCCGCAGGAGGGGAGTGTTGCTGCAGCGCCCAGGTCCTGCTCGTGGGCACCAGGTTGGCCGCTGCAAAATCCGGCTCCCGTGTCTGATGCAGCGCGTTACGCCTTTGGACCCGGGGGGGGGGGCAGCAGAAGAGGAGGAAGAGGAGGAGGAGGAGGAGGAGGAAGAGGAGGAGGAGGAGGAGGAGGAGGAGGAGGAGGAGGAGATCCCCTGGCGGCTCCAGCTCCTCTCCAGCGTCAGCTGCGAAGGGAGACCCCCCCCATCCCGGAGGAGCCCCGCGCCGCCTTCCTCCCGCCGGGTCCGGGGGCCTCTGCGCACGTCCAGAGTGCCCCGGGGAAGGAGGCCCCGCTCCCGGGCGCGCTCCTCCGCCTCCGCCCGGAGGTCTCCCTTTCGCAGCTCCGGGAGCGCGCCCCGGGCACGGCGCCAGTGCTCGAGCCCGGCGAGGCTGCGGCGGAAAGCGGCCTCCCGCTCACCTTTGCCCGGGCGCGCCTTTGCACGGGGCGCTGCTCCCGACGGGGCGGCCCAAGGCGGCTCCCCCCCCCCTGCCCGGCGGCGGCGGGTCTGCTGACCTGAGCGCGAGTCCCAGGTGCTTGACGGCGTCGGCGGCCGAGACGTCGGAGGCCTGGTAGGGCTTCCTGCGCTCGGCGAAGCGGTGCGCCAGGCACAGGCGCCAGCCCCAGCGGGGAAGCCCCCGGCCCGCCGCCGCCGAGCCCTCGAAGGCGCGCATCAGCTCCGGCGCCCCGGGCGGGGAGCTCCCCCGACGACGGGCGCCCGGCCGGCCAACGCCGCCGCCGCCGCTCTCCTCCTCGGGGGTGGCCATCGGGGCAGGCGGCGAGTCTGCGGCTCCCCGCTCGGCCTCGGCTCGGCCAGCAACGGCCCTCCGCCCCCCGCCCCGCCCCCTGCCCGCCCGACGGGGCGGAGCAGCCGGAGGGAGCCGGCAACGGCGCGGCGGGGGCGGAAGGAGCCGAGCTCGGCCGAGGATGCTTGGCGGGCGGGGATTGCCGAGGCGGAAAGAGCCGAGCTGCGCCGAAGGCAGGCAGGGCGGGCGGGGCCTCGGGCGGGCGCTTCCGAGGACAGCCGAGCAGGTCCCCGTGGCGCTCTCCCCTCCCGGACGCCTGGGTCCCTCGCCCCCCCGCCGGCCATGATCGAGGTGTCGGCGGCGCTGCTCCGCGGGGCGGTCTTCCTGGCCGGGGAGCCCCTCGAGTGCCTGGTCACGCTGCGCAACCCGCTGCCGCCCGACGCCACCTCCGCCTCCAGGTAGAGCCGGGGGCCGGGCGGGAGGGAGGGAGGGCCGGGGCCGGGAAACTCCTCCGTCGGACCGGCGAGCGCGGGCATTTCTCCGTCGCGTCGGCCTTTGGCACGAGAAACGCGCAAAGCAAGCGAGACGGGCAAGGCAGGAGCCGGAGGGCGCCGGAAACGGAGGGCGCGGGCGCAACCTCGGGGTGTCCAGGGGCGCTTTTTGAGAAGCAGAAAATGAACGAAGTGCAGCTAAGCTCTTATGCTCTTTTTCACATGCTCTAGTCCAGGCTTCTTCCTCAACCTCGGCCCTCCAGGTGTTTTTTGGCCTACAACTCCCAGGATCCCTCGCTGGCAGGACCAGTGGTCGGGGATGATGGGAATTGTAGTCTCCAAACATCTGGAGGGCCGAGGTTGAGGAAGCCCCGTCTAGTCCTTTCCCCGGTGCCGGATTGACATATAAGCTCAACAAGCTCTAGCTTAGGGCGCCACTCTCTTGGCCCCCCCCCAAAAAAAAATTAAAAGGAAAAAAACCTGGATGTACATTTACAAAATAGAAGATAAAAAACAAATAGAAAAAACCTACATACAGCAACCGTCTTTTGTTGTGTAGGCTCCTATGAAGTAAGAAATGAGCCCCACCTGCTCCCTCAAATATCCCTGGTTTGCTCCTTTCTATATATAGGGTGCCTACACTCTGCATGTGCAAATGGTTTTAGATACCTATTAGGTCCATAAATTACCATAAAGCATATATTCAACACAAAAAACAGCAACAATTTGTTGTTGACAAAGGATAGCTGGGCCTCATCAAACCTAAATCTGGCCCTGCCCACCCCCCTAGTATTCTTAAGAGGGTCTCTTCTCCAGTCTTTGGAGAGTAGCTGGGAGGCAGAAAAAGGCCCCCCTCTCCTTCCATTCTGCAGTTTTGATCTGAAATCTTAGGCCCAGTTTTGCACCCAGAGATCAGAAACTGCTCACGCTCATGAAATTCCCTGCTGCAAAATGCGCCTCGAACAAGGGGAGTTTTGCACGCAGCTTCTCAGTCCCTCTGGAATCGCAGATGAGAGTGAAACGCGGAGGCCAAAGGGCTCTTTGCTTCTTCCTGGTTGATGGTGCTTCTAGCCAATGGATGAAGCCGTCTCAATGACTGACATTCAGGAAGGTGGATCCAGCCAATTAGGCAAAGAGAAGATGAGTATGAAACGCCCATTATATAGAGAAGGAACTTGTAATTTTCTGCTGGTTTTTGCTGGTGGAGAAATAGCAAAGCAATTCAAAGAGGTCCGGGACTGAGTGTAAATTCAGTTCATACTCTTTTAAATTCTTGAGTTTATTTCACCCCAAAAGAATATTTTTCTGAGATTGTAAACATTTTAAAAAATTCTCTGCCAGGGCAGATCAAGTCCCATCATTGTAGGGCTGTGGCTGAGCGAGTGTGGATTACGCCAGCCTTGCAAGGAAATCCAGTGCGGGTATCCCAGTTTAGGGCAGGGCATGTCCAGTGTTGCCGTGTTGGCATTTTTGGGGGAGGGGGTGCAGAGTTGATTGCATCAGCAGTGCCATTCATAAAGGGCTTGCTGGGGGGTGGGAGGCTCCCTGTGGGTTGAAAGAGCAACCTGGATGCTGGGCTGACTCACTGAGAAAGGGTGGATCACAGAGGTGGAGGGGTCCCCAGGGGTCTTCTATTTTTTTTTTTAATAGTTGATATTTATTGAATTTTCAAAAAATAACAACAAAAATTTCCAAAAAAAATATTTAAGGATACAAAAAACAAAATTAGTGCATAAACAAAAAAGAAAAGAAAACCCAGCCGCAAAGAAAAAAAAAAAGAGAAACAGAAAAACAAAAATATAAAGTCCTTTACAATCTCTATTGACTTCCTTTCTAGACTTCCTCCTCCTCCCCTCTTTTGTTTCTTAATTTTTAATTTTTACAGCAAATCCTTTCTGTTTTTTCATAACAATCTGTCATTACGTTTCCTTATTCTATTTTCCCTCTTGTCATATAAAAACTTTAAAACTCATAGCTTATATTCAATATTTACCAAATTCTTGCATCATTACCTTTTACGAACCATTTACCAATCCTTACTTAAGTCATGTAATTTCAATCCACATCCATCAAACATGGGTAAGCATGCCCAGTATTAAAAAGTAAAAAGAAAAAATAATAAGTCAAATTCAGTCCAGTCAGCTTCCAACCTCCCCTCCCCTGGACCCGGGATTGTCAGTCCTTTTAACCTCGGTAATCCGGCTCCTTAACCTGGTTGTCTCGTATCCGAGGCCCTCAAGTCTCTTTCTTGCCCCTTTCGCCACTCTTGTTGATGATTCCTTTCCAGTCGTGGATGCTCCAGCAAGAAAATGCTTTTGACCCTTTGCAACAAGTCCATCCCAAACCCATTGCCCAAGCCAGACAGCAAATAATACCACTTCAAATTTCCACAAAGCTTGGAGACTTCGGCTACTCCAATCCTCTGATAGCCCATCACCAGACTCGGAAGGTCCAAATAACCATATGGAGGGGGTCGATCCATCCCCCATTTCCAAATCTGACCACATTTCATCTTTCCGAATCTGGTTTGTCCTAAGTTCATTTATCAAGTTCAAAGGCTGATCTTGCCCGTCCAAAGGTCCCTCCATCTCTGAAGCCTCCGTCACTACAGCAGGTTCATATGCTTGTATAGCCTTTAACTGAATTTCATTTGTTTGCTGCTGTGCTCTGGTAACTTCCATCATCAAGGTCGTCTCCTGACGCATCTGGTCCAGCTGGGCACTTAGTTTTGAAAAACCTTCCAGGAACAATTGTTCAAGCCTTTGTACTAGCATTGTCCTTCAAGGTCAAAGAAAATTCTTTCCCACGAGAATAGTCCAATAGTCCTTCTCTTTTAATCTCTCTGCGTTGCAATTTCACTAAATTCCACTAGATGGAATTTTTTTTTTTTTAAAGGAATAAAAGCAACAGCAACAATCTTTCTTTTTCCAGAAACACTTTATCCAAAATTCCCCTTCCAAATTCAAGAGGCAACAGTAGAATCAAAATGTTACCCTTCTTTTAACTAACTGTCGAGCTGGATAAACTTCAGAACGTCAATTCTGACAGCCCGCTCCTGGTTCAGGGCGGTGGAAAATTGCTTTATTTTAAACTCACTTCCGCAGGATTGAAAAGTCCAAATACAACCCCCTTTTTCTCCTGCAGTCAAATGGGGGGTTCAGAAATCTTAGATGTTGAATTCTAGTTCTCTTAAAATTTAATTTTCAGGCTTTAGTATATTTTGTCTTTGCTTTCTTCACATAACAAAAGAACGGAAGGCGACTTCCTGTTTAGACCTTCCCATTCCGAGTCCCAATTAAGTTCAATTTCAAGTCCAATATTATTTGTTTATTCACCAGTCTTAAAAGTGGTTCAGCTCTTCCAAGATCAGGTACTCACGGATAGATGTTTTAGATGCCAAATTGTCCAGGAAAAAGGCAGCGCTCTCCGATAACGGCAGTGCGGCTTTGCTGCACGGAGGAAGCAGACGACTCACAGCACCACGCACCTCCCACTCCGGAGCCCGTTACCGGGCTCCTGTACAAGCGGAGAGAGCGCTCTCGGTGCCCGCCGAGTCCCACCTCCACAGGCTTCTTCCGCCTGTGGTTTTTGCGGGTCCCCGCTGCGCCGTAGCGGCAGGACCCAAGCCTCCGTGCAGCGGGTTCCCTTCAGTCCGAAGGGAATTCCGCCATTTTCCGGAGGCGCCACCCCGGAAGTCCGTCCCCAGGGGTCTTCTAGTCCAACCCTCTGCAGGGCAAGTTTCTTAGTGGGCAGGTCTACCCGCCAGGCCTCACCACTGCTCAGCCACCACATTTTCCCGAAGGGGTAGGCCTGTCTTCTGATGCTAGTTAGGAGCGTTTGTGGGGAGCGTCAACACCCCCTTGAAAGCAGGGGCTCATGTCCTCCTGGGGGCTTCCCAGAAGAGGCACCGTGAGCTCAGGCCGCCTGGAGAACCGGATGCTGGACTGGACAGATCCAGTGCAGGGATCTATTTATTTAAAGGATGGGATCAGTGGGGGAGACCAGTGAGTCAAGTCAGGCCAGGCAGGGAGTTGGGGGTCTTGCCAGGCCTTGGCTCGCTGACCGGATGCGCTGAAGTCCAGGGAGGCTCCTTGCCCCTCACAGCCGCGTGGCCAAAGGCTGCAGGACTCTGAGGCAGGGCTGGGGAGCTGTGGCCTTTGTGCTCCGTGGCCTCGGGGCTCTCTTCCTGAGCCTGGCACCAGGCCCCCTCCGCAGAGTTGGCGCTGCCTCTTGTGCGAGAGGGAGGCTAAATAAACATTAGAAAATTGTCCAGTAGCACCTTCGAGACCAACTACGTTTGTTTTGGGTCTAAGCTTTCGTGTGCATGCACAGTTCTTCAGATGCACACGAAAGATTATACCCAGAACAAACTTAGTTGGTCTTGAAGGTGCTACTGGACAATTTTTAATTTTTTAATTTATTTTGACTGCGTCAGACCAAGATGGCTACCTACCGGAATCGAGAGAGGGAGGCTGTTCTTGAGGCTGCCCCAACAACTGATGCAATGTTTTATGTGGCAATTGAGCAGTCACAGGTGAACCTGGGAGCAGTTAAGGACTTGAGAAAGTACAGCACTGTACAGATAAGTGCTGAAAGTACACAGAGATCCATTAAGGCTTCCCCACCCAGTTCAGAGCAGCCAAGAGCGGCCCCTTCCCCCCCTCCACTGGCTGTGCCAGCCTGGGGTCCATTTTGCTGCATTGCCACAGGCCTTTAAGGTTGCCATTCTGCCTGCTCTGTGCCCATGCTGCCGGGGGTGGCAGTGGCAGCAGCAGGCAGATGGGACCCCGCATCCCCTCAGCACTGTGGCCGGGGCTCCCTCAGGAGGAGGGGGTCCTCTGCAGGCTTCCTTTGGGCGGCCTTCGCCCAGCCGGCCTGTCCTGGAAGATGCTGGTCTCCTCAGAAAGGAGTTCCGTGGGTGTTTGGTTGAGCCCAGCCTGTGCGTGCCAGCTGGATTGGCAGCCCTCCCCTGCCCTTCCCTCCCGCTTTTGGCCTCAGGCCCTGACGTGGGATGGCTGCCTCCCTTGTCACCTACCAGATCCGAGAGAGATGCTTCTCCACGGCCGGCCAGCCTGGTTATGCGGTGAAGCTGGCTTGACCAGTTTGGACACTTTTCTTGAGGTGCCCAGGTCCTCAGGCGGGGTATTTGTTTTTCAGCCGGCTGGCCTGTGCGGGCTGTTGATGGGCTTTGCGGTTGCCACTCCTGCATCACAGGGGGTTGGACTAGATGACCCCAGGATCCCACCCAACTCTGTGTCTATTAAATCTGTGTGGTGCAGAAAGGAGACATTCAGCAAGGGAGGGCAGCAGGTTGGGTTTGGTGCACAGTAGAAGAATAACAATCGTTAGCCCCCCATCTGACTGGGTTGCTCTCATGCGCTCCTGCTGGTTTTTCTCCTCCCAATCATCTGGAGCCGGCATGAACCGGGCAGCCATCTCCTGGAGCCTGAGGGTGGGGGGCAGTCAAGTGTGGGAAGGGCTGGCCCAGACCCTCCTTGCTTCTGTCAATCTCCCGGGGCACATCCTGGCCACCCCAAAGGGAGCAGCTGTGGCAGCCAAGTGGGTCTGCCTTCCCGGGTGCAGTTCTGGCTTGCTGTGGCATTGCAAAACCCTCCTTCTGCGGCCTCTCAGGACCCCCGCCTTTCCCCCACTTCCATTTGATGCAGAAATGGTTGTTTTATTTACGGTGTTTTTATTTTGATCTTTTGGTCAGAAAGACCTTCAGAGCGGCTAATGGCAAAGTAATTAAAAAGCAGCTCATAGCAGCAAGACAAGGACCCCAGCGGCCATGGGGGGAGTCTCCTTGCACTTAGCCGGCGTGTGGCTGGGGTGCCTGTGGCCAGGCCCATTTTCGGTGAGAGGCCATGGCTGGTACCCCAGGCCCGACACTCCCCGTTTCTGCTTCTGCTGGAGCCTCCTTTGTGAGGGGGGCCCTCCAGGCGCACCCCCAGGTGAGGAACCAGGTGCTGATGGTTTCAAGGCAGCCTGTGAGGTGGAATCCAACTGTGGTCTCCCTGGTGGGTGACTTGTGCTGGGAGATGGACAGCGGGAAGGGGACCCCTCCCCAGTTCTCCGTGGCTGGGACCAGCTTGGTGCAGTGCCAGGGGGGCTCTGGGGCTGCCTGGTGAGCGCTGCAGCCCATAGTCGCCTGGCAGAGCAGTTTTGTGGCTCTCAGCTCGCTCTGGGGTGCCACAAGCTTCCTGTCTCCTGCGCTGCGGAACGTTTCTGTGAAAGTGCTCCCATCTTTGAGCCTCTATGTGGAAGGAAACAGAATGGGATGTGAAAAGGAAAGAACTTTTCACCTCTTTACTGCAGCCCAGGGCTGTGTTTTCGAATCATGGAAGACCTTTAATCTTGATAATTTGGATTTCTGGCATTCCAGGGTTTGGCAAGTTGCCCTTCTTGAAAAGGGTGCAGCTCGAATGACTGGTTTTTAATATGACTTTATTTTCTATACAAAAACTGAGGCACGCAAGTCACCCACTGTCACCTGTATAAGCTAATTTCTGGCGCATTTAAGACCATATTGAACCTTTAATCTGAATAATGGTGCACCTTTACAGCCAGAGAATACTCTCATGTTTATAACGAATTGTAAAGGGGACCCTTGTATGAGTTAATACTTTATTATCCCTTTGGAGCTGTCCTCTGTTTTTGTACTTATGCCCTTCTGGGCTGTGACGTTTTATGGTTTGGAGTCTTGATTATTTAGGTTATTGGTCAAATTTGCACTTTTTTTTGTTTTGTTAATAAATAGTAGAAGTCCCGGAAAGTGTTAGACAGAGGGGCTGGCGTGCCAGGTGACCTTGTCCTCCACCATCAGGAATTTTTGGAGTGTTGTTTTCCAAGCATGCTTCTGGGATCATTCCCTCGAGGCTCCCCGAAAATATTCCCAGAGCCCCACCAGGGCATTTTCCCTCTTTCTCCCCTTGGGCCAGCCGGTCACCTCCACTCCAGGCTTGAACCCCATTTATTCCCGAGGGGCATCTTGTGGCCTCAGACCCTCCGTGGCTTTTGAAACCTGCCCAGGTTTGTGAGTAATGTGGGAACAGATCACCTGGGGGTGATCTAGATAGTTAGGTTCCTCATCACAAGGTTTGTGTTGTTTTCCTACCTGGTGTGCGGTGCTGAGAAGGGAGGAAGAGGGGCTGGGGTTCCTCCAGACACCACAGGAGCATGGTCCATGGGGTCCTCTACCCCCAAGGGGTCTGGAAGGCGCTGGGTTCCAGCTTGCCAGCCTTTTTCCTGGAAAGAGGCAGCAGAAAGCCCTGAGCTGTCTGGGTGGAGGGACTCCTCTGCAGAGAGCAGGCACTGGCGGGGGGGGATGGGTGAGCACACTGCCCCCAGCACCATCGGGGAGGGGGTGTACCATCACGGCTGCCCCCCCAGACACGTGCTGTGCACCCCCCATCATGTTGGGCACCATGCCCCCAGGACGCACGCCACGCCTCTGTGGGCGACGTGCCATGCCCCACCTGCTCTCCGCCCCCGGTGCCAGAGCATGCAGCTTCACCACTGAGAGCAGGTGGCACTTTCAGATCTGGAAAATCTGAATGAATGAGGAAAACACACAGACACCCCTGAGCTGGGATGTCTTTCAGGCTGCGCTTGCCTTCTCTCACCACGGAGGAGAGGGCCATCGATGTCTCCTAGTCAGAACAGCTGTGCGCTGCCTCGCTGGTTAGAGGCAGGAACGCTTCTGAATCCCAGATGCTGGAAGCCAAATCGTAGACTCCTGGAAGGGCCCCCGAGGGCCATCTAGTCCAACCCCCTGCAATGCAGGAATCTCAGCTCAAGCACCCAGGAGGGGAGGGAGTTGCTGTTCTGCTCCAATCTTCTTTGGGGGTTTCCCATCCTAGGCACCTGGCTGGCCAGTGTGAGAGCAGCATGCTGGACTGGGTGGGCCTGATCCAGCTGCAGGCTCTCCTCATGTTCATGGGCCGCCTTCCCCTGGGTCTCTGCTCCGTCTCCCTCACGGCCTGCCCCCCTTTCTCCTCCCCCAGTGAAATGCTGGCCTGGGCCAGCGCTCAGATCCACTGCCAGTTCCACGCCAGCGAGAGCCGGGTAGCTCTGCCCCCGTCGGAAGACAGCCGGCACGACGTCCAGGCCGAGAACGAGACGGTTTTTGTCCCCAACAGAGGTGAGGCTGAGCTCCTTCCAGAGAGCTTCCTTCCTTGGCCTGGAGGAGGGGCAGGGCGGGGGGGTCACTTGGGGGCCGGTGAGAAGGCAGGAGAGCCTGCCAGGGTGGCAGGAGGATGAGGGGTAGTCCTGGGCGTGAGTCTGTGCCCACGGCCCCTTTTGCCTTGCAGGGGAGCGGGGCCACTGCATCCTGTCCACCCCCCCAAAGATCCTCTTCTGTGACTTGCGACTGGATCCAGGAGAGTCCAAAACCTGTGAGTAGCCCCTTCTCGCCCGTCTGCCTTGCCCCCCACCCTAGGGGAGGGGTGCTGGGGAGCCCCAAGGTGGGGCTGGGCGGAGGCGAGGGATGACCTCTCCTGTGGGGAAGGGCTCTGGGCTCCCCACACGCCAGCCCCACTTTCCCACTTCCATTGCCGCCCAGAGGTGATTTGGAAGAGGAAGCCAGGCAGTGGGGCTGAGACCCCCAGGGGGAGGCCAGGGCAGCCCCAGCCCCACCTGACCCTGCATTGCCTCACGGGCTTCACTGCCCCAACCTGCCTGCTGCCCCCCCCCCGAAAAAAACAAAACCCGGCCTCTGCCTGGTTGGGAGTCTCTAAAAAGGTGGGGAAGGGGCATGTGGAAGACCCCCCCCCAGCGTGCTCAGATCTGCCCCCTGCTTTTCAGACCGAGGGTGTTGGGGGGCTTGCTCAAGAAGGATCCCGGGGCACATGGAAGCAACAAGAGGCCTTCTGGGGAGGCAGCCCCGTGGCCCTGCGCTTGGAACTGGGCCCTTTCGGAGTCAGAATAAGAGTTGAAAGGGACCCCGTGGGTCATCCATCCCACCCCGCTACAATGCAAGGCCTTTTCATTTGCTCTTCCTCTCCTCCTGCCGGCTGCCCCCTCCCACCCAGCCATGGGAGCCCAAGCCCTTGATGATGAGGCTCACGGCCCCCCTTTCCCCAGACTCGTACTGCGAGACGTTGCCGGTGGACGGCCCCCCCTCCTTCCGGGGGCAGGCGGTCAAGTACGTCTACAAGCTGACCATCGGCTGCCAGAGGGTCAACTCGCCCATCAAGCTCCTGCGCGTCCCCTTCCGGGTGCTGGTGCTCCATGGTAAGGCGGGGGGGGGCCTCCCCTGCGCAGACCGGATTGGGGGGGAGAGGACCTCTTGACGCCCCCTCCCCGCAAAACAGCCCATGCTGCCTCTCCCTCCGCAGGACTCAAGGACTACCAGTGCCCCCAGGATGAGGCCGTGGCCCCCTCCAACCCTTTCCTGGAGGAGGAGGAGGGGGCCAAGAAGGATTCCCGGCTGGCCGACTTGGCCACCGAGCTGCTGATGGCGGCCACCTCCAGAAGGAGCCTCCGTAAGTCGCCTCCCCCCCCCCCCCAGTTCACCGGCTCTCCTGCCCCACTGCCCTGGGAGAGAAAGCCATTTGTCAAAAAAAGAAATATAGGAAGAGCAGCATGAATAAACTCAATTAGACGTGGTAATTTAAGGGTCTCCCCAAATGAGGGAAATGACCCTGTTCAAGGATCCTGTCGATGGAGTTGGATACATGCTCAGCATCTGTGAAGATCTATCCGCTTGCTTCAAAGCCCAAAGAGAAACTGAGCAGAGCATCTTCCAAGCTCAATACAATGGAATAAAATCTCTCCTGCCCTGAAAATAAAGTTGAGAAACGGTAAAAAAGAAAGAAAGAAAAGCTATTTGCCATGTGACCAGGGTGGATTTGAATGAAATCATATCAATTTAAATCAATTTGATTTCAATCATGATTTCAATCCCTAGTCAGGAAGACTTGATTTCAATCCTTTTTTTTACAGAAAGACTCCTTCTTGCTGATATAATATTTACAGATGAAGGTTTCCTTTTCAGAATAATAAATTTTCAGAGTAGTTTTTACAGTTATATAAAAAGTTACTGACTAGGTTATACTGTTAGAAATACCTAGACAGATAATTATGAAATTATTGTGAGGTTTAATAAGTTAACTGTTTATACTTGGGACAACTTTTCTGCTGTACTTTATTGGAAGGAGAAAAATAATAATTTCCTTAATAACAATTTATTTAACTAAAACAATAACATTATAGCATATGTATCCATGTTTGTTAACTGATGTGGTTAAACAATTAAAAAAACAACTTAGAGTGAGTTTTAGCACACATGAAAAACTTAAAACAAATCCTTATTTCCTGATGAATAGCTTTTGGACTATAATATAACTTAAATAGAAAGCTATATTTAGAAAGACTTTTCCTCCGAAAGCATTTTATTTTAAAAATCCAATTTAAATTTTTTAAAAATCCAATTTAAATTATTATTTTTAAAATCATTGATTTTTATCCACCCTGCATGTGACTCCTGGAACTTAGGTTATGGGCACAAAAACAGAAAGGCTAGTCACCAGGTTGCCCTTATTACAAGGGAGACTTGGAAAGTTCTTCCTGATATTTCGCTGGAATCCCCTTTGCACCTTGCATCCTTTTGTCTGGGCCTCCCCTTTGGAGCAGCAGAAAAGGAGCCGGCGCCTTCTTCCGTGTGGCTTAAGGTGCCCCTCATGCCACGGGGCACAGTGCCTCATTCAGCCACCGCACAAGAGGCTGGTTTTCACTGGGTGGGGGGAGCGCAGCCGTGTTCAATTCCAGGTGGGGCGCACCTTTTTCTCTCCCGCCCCCCCGACTGAGTCCCCCCCCCTTTGCTCCCAGACTTGTACAACATCAGCAATTCCCGCGGCAAAGTGGGCACCTTCTGCATCTTCAAGGCCGTCTACAAGATTGGCGAGGACATTGTGGGCACCTTCAACTTCTCCGAAGGGGACATCCCATGCCTGCAGGTGAGGCTGGGGGGGTGGGGGTGCCCTCCAGGATGGCAAAATGGGGGGGTGGGTGAGTCGAGGGTGTGGGGTGCCAGTCGGGTGCTCACCCGGCCTCTGGGCTTGCCCTCTGCTCTCTGGCCGCTAGTACCTGGTGAGCCTGCAGACGGAGGAGCGGATCCAGGAGGCCTTCCAGCACCGGCGCGGGCAGCCCGTCTCCTACAGCACCCACGCCCGCCACCAGGAGTCCTGTCTGCACACCTCGCGCACCAGCTTCAGCCTGCCCATCCCACTCAGCTCTGCCCCGGGGTTCAGCACCAACATCGGTGAGTCCTTCCAGGGCCCGGGAGGGAGGGGCCGGGCAGCTTTCAGGGGGGCGACTGCTTTGCAGGCATAAGGGGCATGGGTGGGTCAACCTTTTGCACCAAACTGCAGAGAGCTGCTGCCAGTCAGTGCCCAGGGGGCAAAGCTGGGCAGTCCAGTACCCCAGCTCTGAGGCTGGTTCCTGTGCCCCTAAGCCAGAGGAGGCTGCTGCTGGAAGCACCTCTTTGACCCCCTCCCTGTACCAGCCACAAGCTGGCACTCTCCTGGCACCCCTGAACTGCAGAAAGCTGATGCCAGTCAGTGCCCAGTGGGCAAAGCTGGACAGGCCAATATGCCAGCTCTGAAGCTGGTTCCTGTGTCCTTAAGCCAAGGCCACCTACAAAAGAGTCACAGAAAGGGGCTGCTGCTGGAAGCACCTCTTTGACCCCCCCCCCCCGTACCAGCCACAAGCTGGCACTCTCCTGGCACCCCTGACCCATGGGCACCCCCTCCTCCCTGCCCCTTGGCTGGCTGTCACCCACTGACAGAGGGAGCCCCCAGATGTTCTCGCTTCCCTTGGTTTGAACAGAAGGGGGTCCTTGCTGCCCCCAACACCTGGGAGCCAAGTGCCGGTTCCGCTCTCCCTGCCGCTGTGGGGTGGGGGGTGAGTGGAGGGGGCTATTCAGGGGGAGCAGCCCAGAGCGCCTCTGCTGATGCCACCCCCTCTTTGCAGTGTCCCTGAAGTGGCGGCTGCACTTTGAGTTTGTGACATCCCGCGAGGCGTCGCAGCGGCAGGTTCCCCCGGAGGGCCCCCCCTCGGAAGAAGCCTCCCGGTGGTTGGGGGTGGAGCAGATGGACGTGGACACCTTCAGCTGGGACCTGCCCATCAAGGTCTTGCCCACCAACCCGCTCCTGGCCTCCTCCGTCTCCCAGGTCCCTGGCGCCAACTCCCTCACCATCTGAGGGCGCCTCTGCGTGTCTGAGTGTCCTGTTCCTCCGTGTGGCCTCAGAGAGGCATGATCCTGATTGGGGGGGGGCTTTGGCTGGAAGGTCTGGGGTGCAAGCAGGGGGGGCTCTTCAGCTGGGCTCCCTCCCTCTCCCTGCCCCACTCCCCGTCTGGTGTGTGAATTTCTCCCATGGAGAAGGGGGCGCTGCCTCCAACCTGCCCTTGTCCTTTTTTCCAGAGTGTTGTGGGGGGGGGGGGCTGTTGCAAACCATGGGGGTCACTGTGGTGAAAAGCTGGAGGGGCTTCCCAGCTTCATCTCCCCCAATGCTGTGTTTTGTGTCTGTTGGTTAATAAAAATCTGCTGCAATGGCTGCCCCCCCCATACTCTGCAGGTGCCATCCTTTGCCCAGGAGAGTGGGGGCCATGGGAGACCCTTCCCCTCCTGCACATGTCTCCCCCCCACAAGAAATCACGGCACCAGAGCCTTTCTGCTGTTTCATGGGGTGTTTATTTGAAGAGTCAGACATGCTCTCTCTACGCCCTAAGGAAGAGCTTTGGCTGCGGATCGCGCCCATCTCTGGGTCAGGCCCAGCCCTCTTCCCTCATGGCACCCCCCCCCCCGCACAGAGTGGTCTGGACCCCTAGTTCTCTTTAGTGGTTCCCTTTAGTGGGTTTTTTTGGGGGTGGGGGGCTTTGGCTGCTTAACAGAGGAGCCAGCAGACTGGGGGGGGAGGGAGAAGAAGCTGGAAATGGGGGGCAGCAGCCCAGGACATCCACACCCCCTGCCCACCCCATTTTGGATATATTTGGGGATAAAAGCTGGCCCAGTATCTGCAGGGGTGGGGAGCCAGCTAGACCCCAATTTCTGGGGGAATTCATGGCAAAGGCGTCTGATCAGGAGAGGGTCGAGGTTCTGGCACCCTCCCTGCTTGGCATCTGGAGGAGGGAAGGGGCAAGGTGCCCACCCTAGGAAGAGGGCAGGGGTGGGCAGTAAGCAAAGCTGGGGGGAGTTCTTGCTCTACAGGTGCGGGGGGGGTCCTCTGGTGATGGTGGCTAGCAAGACCCTCTTTCTTTCTTTCTTTCTGGGTGCCTCTGGCGCTGCTGCTTCGCCCCCCCTTCAGCGCTTCGCTTCCAGGCTCTGCCTCCCCAGCCGGGCCTTGGCCCCCCCTCGGCTGCCAGGCTGCTGCTCAGGGGCCTGGCCTGACCCCCAGCCGGGCTCCAGGTTGTTCACGCAGGGCAGCCTCGGCCTGCCTCTCTGCACCAGCGAGATCTTGCAGGCCCGGGAGTCGTAGCGCGCTTCGCACCAGGCGGGGAAGTCGACCGGAGGCTGCATCCTGCGCGGAGGAGAGGGGGCAATGAGAACATGGGGAGAGGCTGCCGGATCAGGCCCAGCCAGTCCAGTGGCTCTTGAGCTTCTCAGAGCAAAAGCACCCCCCTTGGCCTACTCCCCCCCCCCCATGGCACTGTGGGCCTGATCCAGGCTCCCTGCAGCCACTGGGTGCTGAGGAGGCCCCAATCCTCCTCCTGCTTTCAGCCATGCAGCTCCCCTCCTTGGGGTGGTTGATGTGGGTGGGGGGCCCGCCGGGCCCCGCATGGCCCTGTGGCTGATTTATGGGGGGGGGGCTTGGCAGGGAGCGAGGAGGAGAAGGAGGCATCTCTCTCAGACACCCAACTGCCTCTCAGCTTGATCCTGCCATCCCTGCAAGGAGTTGAGCTGGGGCTGTGAAGGTCTCCACCCCCCCTCACTTTGCACCTGCTAGGCTGGCCATGGGGGGGGGCATGGGGCTGGCTCTGATCGTCCAATGAGACCAGCAGGAGAGGATTCGAACTCGGCCCTCCCTGGCCCTCTGAGCTGCTGTGCCAGGCGGTCCCGTCCCCACTCAGAAACGGGGGTCAGACTTCACCCCTCCTTGGGCAGGTGGGTTTCTTCTCAGTGGGCCCCTCAAAGAAGTGTAGATTTGGAAGGGACCACAAGGGTCATCCAGTCCAACCCCCTTCAATGCAGATTTTTTTTTGCCCATCGTGGGGCAAATCTCTCGCCCCGAGTTGAAGAGTCTCATGCTCTGCTAGACTCGGCATCTCCTCAGATCGCAGGCTCAAATCTGCTCAGGCAGCAACACCGGGTCCCAATCCCTGACTTTTGCTTGCTTTTCCCTACTCTTTCCTGTGTCCCAGAAATGACCCCTTTGCCCGGCCTTGGCCCCGGGTGCCGCAATGCCAGGAGAGCCTGGAGCAAGGATGCCTCAGGGGCCAGGACCCCATTTTCACCCTTGGGTGGCGTCTTCCAGGCGCCTCACCTGCCCGGGCCCCTTCCAGGTGTGGTGCCCTCTGGGAGCTGCTACTTGGGAGGGGGGTCTCCTTGCGTTTCCCCTCCCAGACACGTGCCCCCTCCCTGCTCATTGCAGCCCACATGCACCCCCCTTGCCCAACTCACATGTCGCAGCAGCCCACGCCAAGGGGGTCCAGGCAGAAGCACTTGGAGCAGTTGGCATCCTGCCAGGACTCTCCGGGGCCAAAGTGCTTTTCCTTGTAGAGGCAGGGGGCTGGAAGGAAGGAGGGAGGGCGGTCAGGGAGGAGGGCTGGCGCCGGATCTGGCCCTCGGCTCTGCCAGCTGCGTTCTCAGCCAGATCCCGGCCAAGCGGGGAGCACTGGGTGCTCTTGGGCCACCGCCAGTCTCCTCCTGCCTCTCTAGAATCAGGCTTGTAGGGTGGCGAGGGAAACCCAGGGATCATCCAGCCCAACCCTCTGCGATGCAGGACTCTCGGCTGAAGGAGCCCTAACAGACGGCCGCCTGACCTCTGCTTAAAAACCTCCACAGAAGGAGAGTCCACCATCCTCCAGGGGAGCCCGTTCTGTGGTTGAATCACTCTTACTGTCACAAGGGTCTTCCTAAGGTCAAGTCTGAATCTGCTCCTTTGCCATGTGAAGATTTATTTATTTTTTAAAAAAATTATTTTTAATTAAATTTTGCAGTTTTATATTCATCACTGTAACATTGTTCACAAAAAGAAAAGACAACATCCCCAGATACAACCCCCCACAACTTCTCTCAACTTCCTCTTCTGGTTTCTTGCATATTTACTTCTTATACTTGTTTAATTTTCTTTTAATATAGCTTTCTTAAAATAAAAATAAAATGTTACTATATTCTTATCATTATTATACCTTGATTGTTCTCTAATTGCCTCTAGATTCTTTCAATTATTACCATACATTCTCTACCTTAATTTTGTTGATTGTAAGGGCTTACTACTCAAAGCCTGCTAGTGAGTCCACTTCTTTGCAATATTTCTGTACATTTGAAGATCAGTGCTAGCCTTGGGGCGCCTCAAGGCTGCGTAGCCCAAGGGCCCCTGAGGGCTCTTCCTGATCTTCCAGTCTCTCAAGGCCAGTCACATGGAGCAAGATTGTTTTCTCCTGCGCTAGATGGTGGGACTCGAACCCAAGTTACAAGAAAGGGGATTCCCACTCAACATCAGGGGAAACTTTCTGGTGGCAAGAGCTGTTTGACAGAGGAACCTTCCTTGGAGGTTTTTGAGCAGAGCTTGGGTGACCCTCTGCCACGGATGCTTTAGTTGAGATTCCTGCACTGCAGAGGGGTTGGACTGGATGACCTTTGGGGGGACCTCCACAATTCTGTTGTCCCTCGCCTTGGACCCCCCGCCTGTTTCCCCCACGGCCGCCTCACCTTGCGCATGGAAGTAGCAAAGGGCCCTTGCTCCTGGCAGCTGGAGCAGGAGCGCGAGGAGTAGGCAGCCCCTCAGGGGGGCCCAGAATGCCGCTGCTGCCCCCAGCCTCGCCTTTGCAGCCATCGTGGGGCTTCTCGTGGGTCTCTGGGTTCTGGGGGAGGCTGCTTCTCCTCCTGCCTCGGTCTCCCTGCGGAATGTCAGCCCCACAGGTGCTTATAAAGGGGAGCTTTATGGGCCTGGCCGCCGGCTGACTCTCCCTGGCAAAGTGGCAAAGCTCATTTCCTGGTCGGAGGCACGAAAACAAGAGGTGGGACGGGGATTTTTTAACAAGCTGCGAAAAGCTGATTCATGCCCTCCGGGAAGGCCTCCAGTTGGGAGCCCCAGAGGGGGTGCCCTGCGGGGCAGCGAGGTAACTCTCCTGTGACCCCTCCACCACCGGGGGAAGAAGCCAGCCAGGCGGGGCACATAAGGAGAGCCTGCAGCCGGATCAGGGCCATTGCCCACCTCGCCCAGCATCCTCTTCTCCCAGTGGCCAACCAGATGCCCATCGTGGGAAGACCACTAGCAGGATTCATGCGCAAGAGCCACACTCCCCCCTCCTGCCATTTGCAGCAGCATCGCTTCCTCCTCTGAGCCTCCTGCGCATGGGATGCAGCTGCGCACAGCTGCACATCACCTCTGAGGAAGCCAGCGCCCATGGGCACAGAGGGGCATGAATCTCGAGGTGCCAGGAGAAAACCTTTCTCTTGGGCCAGGCGTTGGGCTGGTTAACGTTCTGCATCCTTTGAAATGTGCATGGGAGGGAGGGCGGGCATTGGCCCATATTGCTTTTGTTTTATTATGTATCTTGTGTTTTCATTTTGTATTTTTATGTTGTGAACTGCCCTGTGATCTGATGAAGGTGGTATACAAATTTAGTAAATAGAATAATAGATTTTTTGGGGGGCAGTGCATGGAATCCACCCCAGAACCAAACTGAGGGCCAGCAAAGGCCTCTCAATGCTGCCCCCCTTCCTAGCCACCACATTCGGCACTGGCAGATATTTGGTTCAGGAAGAATCTCTTGTCTGCTTCCCTTCTGTCCTGATGACAATAATTGGCAGCTCATTTCAGTTCCTTTTGAGAAGTAACAGCCATTTGACAGTGGAACAGACGACCTCAGGAGATGGTGGCGTCTCCTTCACTGGAGGTTGGGAAGCAGAGGTTGGATGGCCACTTGTCTTGGATGCTTGAGCTGTGATTCCTGCATTGCAGGGGGTTGGATTAGATGGCCTTTGGGGGTCCTTTCCAACACTATGATTTTATGGCCTGAATTTCTTGGCTGTGCCCTTTTGGGGGGCAGCGTGGCAGCTCTGTGTCACTTTGTTGGGGTTCCTCTTGGCTCCTCTCTTCCCGCCCTTTCCCTCCCTGGCTGCCCTCTCCTCGCTTGGCACCTTTCCTGCTCCCCTCCTCCCTATCTCTCTGCCCCATAGCATCACCCAGGCCCCTCCTGGACTCCTGGCTCCACTGCACATCCCAGTGGCCAAGCCTCTGCCACAACAATGGCAGCAAGAGTGTGGGGCAGCCCCCCTCCATTGGGATTTTAATGCCAGAGGACGAGGTGGGCTTCCCTACCCCATAGCACTGTTGCAGAAGGACTTGAGGGCCGCCCCTCTCTGGCATATCTGAACTGCCAGGAGAAAGGGAGGCAGTGGGGGGAGTCTCCCCCCAGCTCTCTTGCAGCCCCATCTGTCCCATGTGCCACTCTCTGATCTCTGCAGGCAGCCTTTGAAAAAGGCAAGGGCCCTGGGTGGGCATCCTGGCACCCACCAAGGGAAGAGGGTTCAGCATCCTGGGCAAGGGAGCATCGCAGCTCCCAGCAGGAGGGCAAACCTCTGTTCGACCCCCAGGGCCAGGCTGGCAGCTGCCGCACAGGAAGCAAACAGGATGCAGGATTCCGGCTGGCAACGGGCACTGCCAAGAGATCCCCATGCCAAGGCAGTACTGCCAGTGCTGTTTTAGGCATGGAAGGGGCTTGGCTCCAGACCCCAACATCTCAGGGTGTTTTCTCTGCAAACACCAGCAGGTTCCAAGAACCGCTCGCTTTGGGGCTTGGCTGGGCGGCTTCCAAGGGCCCACCTGGGCCAAGAGCAAAGTCCCAAGACTCTGCCCCCAGGCCAGTGGGGGAGGGAGGCCTCCCTGGGTGCCCTTCTCCTCGCCCCAACAGCTGTGAGCAGCAGCTTCCTGGGGAGTTGGCTGGGTCAGGCTCCCTCCTTCCCAGGAGCACCAATCTCTTGCTGCCCCCCTCCGCCTGGCCTGGCCTGGACCTCCTGCAGCCATTGGGACCCAGAGGGTGGGAGCAGCTGGAGAAGGAGCCCTTTGCTGGGCTGGAGGGGCACCATTGCAATGGGCTGCCCATTGGCTGCTTTGTGTGAGGGAAGGACAGGGGGGGCAGCTCTGCCTGGGGCAAGAGCATGCTGTGGGGCAGCTGCAGCTGGGGCAGCGAGTTGGGGAGAGGTGGCCCTAGCATCTGAGCAGGAGCCCCCCAGGTGAGAGGCAGCATCCCTGAGCAAATGAGGAGAAAGATGGAAAGGGGTGGAAGTTGTGTGGCTTTTGGATGTGGGAGCAGAGAGGAGGCTCCAAGTGGCCTCTGCAAAGAGGGCCCCAGCTCCGCCCAGGGTGGCCGGAAGGGAGCAGGCAACGCCAAGTGGCTCCAAGGGCGACCACAGAGACTGAGGCCACAAAGACTCTTCTGACTGTCCCCTGAGGCTTCTGCCTTTGGGCTCCCTGAGAGGCAGTGTGGGGTGAGGAGTCCAGTTTAGCAAACTCTTGAGAGGCAATGGGGGAGTCTCCTGAGACAACGAGAACACAAGAAGAGCTTGGTTGCTGGATCAGGCCAAAGGGTCCCCATCCCGTCCTGCACCCCAGTCTCGCAGTGGCCACTCAGATGCCTCTTCTGAGAAGTCCTCAGGCCAGACCGGAGGACCAGCAGTGCCCTCTCACCCTGTGGGTTCCAGCAGCCCCTGGGATTCCAACACGGCTGGCCTCAGAGCTACCAGCCGCCTAAAGGCCTCCCATGTTGCGCCCCTTTTCAAAGCCTAGGGGGACGGGTTCTGGTCAAAAGTGGATTGGTATGAAATTTAAAAAAAACAAAAGTTTTTATTTAATATTTGAAGAACCAGCAAATAAATTTAACAAGATTGTTCCATCAACATTGACAGTTGTTCCATCAACGTTGAAAATGTTCCCAGTGAGTTCCAAAGGAGCCTTAAGATGTCCAGCATAATGAAGTGTTACAATTTGACAAGTGTTGGTGCTGACCTTTACAGCCCTAAAAGGCTTTGTCCCAGTATCCCTGAAGGAGCACATCCATGCCCATTGTTCTGCCCAGACACTGAGGTCCAGTGCCGAGGGCCTTCTTGGTGGTGGCACCCGCCCTGTGGAACGTCGTTCCATCGGATGTCAAGGAAATGAACTACACAATTTTGGGGAGACATCTGAAGGCAGCCCTGTACGGGGAGGTTTTTAATTTTAATTATGCTTTTATATTTGTTGGAAGCCATCCAGAGTGGCTGTGGCAACCCAGTCAGATGGGTGGCATATAAATTATTACTGTTACTGTTATTCTTATCCAATAGCCCTCTCCTCTATGAATGTGTCCTATCATCTAGGTTGGTTCACTGCTTCCTGCATAAGGGTGGTGGTAATAATAATAATAATAATCATCATCATCATCTATACCACCCTTCATCCATAGTAACAAAACAAAAACAAACAAACAATATCAACCCCCTAATTCTAAAAGGTCATAGAATTCCCTGGTATAACTATTTCTCCTCTGCCCAAGATACCTCCCTCTTTGTGAGCGCACTGTGCTTTGCAGAGCAGCCTGGCACCCAAGCCCATTCCCTTTCCGCTCCCTGTGACCCTCTGCTTGGAAGCCGGTCCTCTGCCATGGCCGTGCCCTCCTTGCCCCCCTGGCCGGGGTCTTTGCCCTCTTCCAGAGAACTGTGGGACGTGACAGGAAAGACCCCGGGAGTTCAGGGCCAGGGGCTCTGGCACCGGCTGCCCAGGCAGGAAAATAGCCGCCTCCGCTAGCGGCAGCGTGTCAGGAGGGGCGAGCGGCTGGCACCCCATAAATCCTCTCCGGCAGGTGCTTTGCAGGCTCTGCGAGGAAATGAGCGCATGGTGGTGCTTCCTGTGTGGTGACTCAGAAAGAGTCCCGGGAGAGCGCCTCTCCTTCCCGGCCGGGGAGGGGGCTCCAGGAAAGTGCCACTCACCTGGCAGAGGGGATGCCCCTGGGAAGTGGGGGGGGGGTATTATTACTAGAGTAGTCAAATCCAACCTTTCCCTGTTGCCTGGAATGGACACCCAGGGGAAGGTGACTCCGGACTGGGAGGACTGGAGCTTCCTCGCGTGTGTGACCAGCTTGATGGGGATGACCCTGGCTGACCAGATCAAAGGGCTGCCCACGCAACCCTCTCTCTGTCCGACTCTGGGACTCTCCTGGCTCTTAGCCAGCGCATAGGATGGAGCCCACAAGCAGAAAGTCTGAGATGTAGCTCACACAAGATAAAGCCTGCCTTCAGATTCCAGCTGTGAACTGAATGTGAATAAAACACTATTCTTACTTTTAAAGAAGGCTGTGTTGCTCTGTTATTATTTTAAGAGGGAAATAAAAGGGGAAACCTACAAGGAACAAGCCAGACTGGATTGCTTAATTAAAGGATTCTAATGAATCATCAACTTGCTTCCAATAGGTTTTCGATATTATGATAATCTTTAAGATTGTCATTGTCCCATGCAGAACTATGAAATTGAAAAAAATCTACATCAGACATTCAAAACCCACAAGCCTGCTATCCCAGCCTGGTTAACCCCCTAAAAACTCTGATGCCCCATAATTAAATACAATATACTCCCATAGAGACTGCCTTACACAGCATTTAAAACCAAAATCGCATTTGGATAGAAACTGTTTCTCAGGCGGCGAGTCCTAGTCTTTATAACCCTGTACCAGAAGGCAGAAGCTGAAAGAGATCATTTCCGGGGTGCGCACTATCCTGCACGATCTCTGCAGCTTTCTTATAGCACCTGGAAGCATAGATTTGATCCAAGGTGGGAAGAGTGCACCCAATTATTCTCTCCGCAGTCTTTACAACCCTGGACAGCATTGTTTTTCCCTTGACCGTGCAGCTCCCAAACCACACCCACAGACCATAAGTTAATACACTCTCCACAGTGCAATGGTAAAATGCCATCAACAGGTCATTTGAGAGATTGCAAAGGGAATGTGCTCTGCTGTTTACCCACTGGAGTGAGCGAGGAGGGATCATATCAAAGCAATATCTTGTCTCCTACCTTCCTTAACATTCCCCCAGGAAGGAGCGGGAGGGGTGCTTCAGGTGCAGCAGCAAGAGCGCCCCCACCTGGAGAGATGGAGCCTGGCAGGGGAGAGGACACCAGCACAGCCTCACTTTTCCACAGCACAGTCTTTTCCAGCAACCCCCAGAAGGCTGAATTTCAAACATGGGTGCTCGACCCTCCAAGTCGCAGCCTCTGGCCTAACTTTAGAGAGACATCCTGAGCAGATGCCATTTCCAGGTGTGCCCCTGAGATACCTGTGGGCCTTCCCGCCCCCCCCTCCAGTCCTAGCAAGGCGGAGTGTGCCCACCCCCTTCTCTCTGGGAAGGAGCCCCCCCTCCAGAATAGAGCACCTGCAGAAGGCCCAGGTTCCATCCCTGAAGGCACCTCCGGGGGGGGGGGGGATGATGAGGCTGCTCTGAAATCCTGGAGAGTCATTGCTGCCGGTCAGTGTAGACAATACTGGGCTCAGTGGACCAGGGGTCTTACTTGTGCATCTGCCTGCCTGTGTGGAGGGAGGCAGGTGGGGAGTGTTCCTGAAGAGGGCAGCAACTTGTCCTACCTGCAGAGCATCCCCTGCGAGGGCTCTGAGCAGCCCCCTGCCAAACAGCTTCTTTGGGGTTGGGGGGCATGAATAAGCTCAGCTTGGTTTTGGAGGGATCCCAGTTCAAACCTGCTCTCTTGGGGCTGGGGGAGCAGTGAGCTACAGCCCCTCTTCCCCCACTCCCCATCTCCCAGTCCCTGATATTTTTCCTGGCACAGATATTGAGAAGCGGAAGGGGCTCCTGCAGGCTGGCCCAAAACCCCTGGAGAAGAATGTTCCAGAAAGTCCAGGAAACATCTGGCCTGGTGGGTGGGTGTTGATGCGTCTCAGCTAACCTGGAGCCCACGCACTCCTGCGCATTCTGCTGAAGCGGATTTCCACTGACTGCTCGTGGTGCTCTTGTATTTTTCAGGTCTTGCCCCTGAGAGGGAGGATGGTTTGAAATGCAGAGAGCGCTGGATCTGCAAAATGGATCCTTTGCATCCCCTGGCAGCTGCTCCCTCCTCCTCCTCACAGAATCATAGATTTGGAAGGGACCCCAGAGACCATCTAGTCCAACCCCCTCCTTGAATCTCAACGCAAGGAATCTCAACTAAATCTGCTGCTTCCGCCCTTTGCCTCTAGCTCAGCCTTTCTCAACCTGTGGGTCCCCAGATGTTGTTGAACTACAACTCCCATCACCCCTAGCTAGCTGATCTAGGAGGAACAGAAGGTGCAGGCCGAGACTGTAGGAATCATGAAGCCTGTGGTTGGCTTTGCTCCAAAGTCTCCCTTGGGCTCACCAAGCAGCAGGAGGCCCAGTGAGGGCTGAGCGAGGGACTTGGGTCGGGAGAGGAGAAGTGGAGGACTTCTAGAGCAGAATTCTAGAATAACAGAGTGGGAAGGAATCCTGAGCATCATCTAGTCCAACCACTGCAATGCTGGGTGCAGCCCCACCCCCCCACCCCCACGCAGGGAGGGAGCAGAGGAACCCCAGAACATTGGTGTGCAAGCTCTTATATAGACTTTTGAAATTGCCTCCCCTGTAGCTCAAGACCCACCCCCAAAATCATACATCCATCCATCACAGAAGGAGGTGGTCCCCAGCAGAAATTTGAGAGTGTTGCTTCTCTCCTGATAAGGCCTTACTTGGTTGCCTTTTCTGGGTAGCCTGCCCATTCCTTCAAGGTGGTAAATCCTTAGTTCCTGAATCTCTTCCTCATATTGAGAGTGTGCTCAGCTGAACAGATACTTGCCAGGCTGTATTTACAGGGAGGTGTAAGCAGCCCCTACAGTCCAAATACCATTGGAAAGCTTTTCCCATTTCCTTCCTCCTTGAAGAGAAATATTTGAGCTCCATTTGGGAGAGTCAAAATGGCTTGAGGATTGCTCTCCTGCACTATTTCAGACACGCGGTTTATATACTTATGTATCGTATTTTTCACTCTATAAGACGCACCAGACCATAAGACGCACCTAGTTTTTGGAAGAGGAAAACAAGAAAGAAAAAAAATTCTGAATTTCAGATGCCAGAACAACAAGAGGGATCGCTGCACAGCGAAAGCAGCGATCCGTCTTGCTGTTCTGGCTTCTGGGATAGCTGCACAGCCTGCATTCGCTCCATAGGATGCACACACATTTCCCCTTACTTTTTAGGAGGGAAAAAGTGAGTCTTATAGAGCAAAAAATATGGTACGTACATGTTTGCCTTGTACATTTATGAACATTTATGTTTTATATATAAGACCTTAGAATTCCTATATCGGAGTCTAATGCACCCAAAAGAGATGGTGCTGCTGCTCTGGAAAAACTCCTGCTCAGAGGCCAGGGATTTGCCCGCCTTGGGGGCATGGGGTGGGGGTGGGGGAATGGAGGGGGCACGGGGGTCCAGCCCAGGGCAGGGGGCTCTGCCAAGGGTGGCCCAGGCAACCCAGTTCATGGCCCCCGTTTGGAGTTGGGAGCCCGAAGGCAGCAAGTCCCCCTTGTGAGCATCTGCCGTGAGGACGTTCTCCCTCTGCCAGGAGCAGGAGCCTCTGCTGCCCCTCCAGCCACAGACGGAAGGTGCCCAGCAGACCCCCAAGGCTTAATGAAGTAATGAGGCAGCAATTAGTCACGTAGGACACAAACCTCCTCTCCTAATTTGCTTGCTGCTTTTCCTTCTGGGACCCTGCCTGGCACAGCCTCATGAGGCGGAGGGAGTCTTCTATTAACAGGCTCCCTCTTTCTCCCCTTCACACCCCCACCCAAGAGGGTCTTTTCAGCCCACCTGGAACAGGAGTCCTCCAGGGAGCTCTGGGGAGAGACAGCTTTGGGGCTCCCTTCCTAGAGAGGTTGGATTGGCTTCCTCCTTCTTGTCCTTTGGGCTTTTGAGTTGTTTTTAATATTTATGCTTTTATGGTGAGGTGATGTTTTTTATTGTAATTATCTGTATTTTTAATAGACCTCTCTGTATATGGTTTTATTGGCACTTGATTGCTTTTTCATTGCAGCTTCCCCCCTACGTTTTTAGCGGTTTCTATTTTATCTGCAAGCCATCCAGGGTCCCTGTGTGGCTGAGGGCAGAGAGACTCTGTTGGCCAGAGAACACTTGCTTTCTCCACCCTCCAGCCCTAGGAGCCTTCCCAAGGGAGCTCTTTCCGGAGGAGGAAGAACTGCAGGTGCAGAGAGACGCTGTTTGCTGTCAGTAGCTGGTTGGTCTCCCTCTGCTGCCCCACCTCCAGCCCAAAGAGCCCTCAGGAGGGAGTTGCTGCCATGGGCATTAGGGCTTTGGGTATTTTAATGAGCGAAAGATTATGAGTCATGGGGGTCAGAAGAGTGTGTGTGTGTGAACATAAAAAAACTTTATTGGAAGATAAAAAATACATAATTACAAGTGCACAGAGTATAATAAGACACAAAAATAAATATGGTATTTATAAAAATGAACTCAACAGTGCTCAGTTTATTTTTTGGTTGCTGTATTGTTAAGGTTTTTATATTGTTTTAATCCAGCATTGCCTGAGCTCTGCGAGTGTGGCTTTCTCCCGATTGAAGGGCAGAGTGTTTGAGGACCAGGACATTGGCAGAGAAACCAAAATGCTTGTTTACAAAGCTATTGTACTACCAGCCTTACTGCATGCTTCTAAAACGTGGACCACTTCTAAACGCCATCTCCAACTCCTCAAAAGATTCCATCAACGGTGTCTCTGAAAAATTTTACACATTCACTTGGGAAGACAGGCAAACTAGTGCCAGTGTCCTGGAAGAAGCAAAGATCACCAGTGTCAAAACAATTATTCTTCAACCTCAACCTCGTTGGACTGGTCATGTTGTTTGGATGCCTGACTGTCGTTTTCAAAGCAATTACTCTATTCCAAACTTAAAAATGGAAAGAGTAATGCTGGTGGTCAACAAAAGAGGTTTAAAGACTGTCTCAAGGCAAATCTTTAAAAATGTAGTATAAACACTGACAACTGGGAAACACTGGCCTGCGAGCGCTCCAGTTGAAGAACAGCCTTGACCAAAGGTGTTGTGGGCGTTGAAGACACTCGAACTCAGGACGCAAGGGAGAAACATGCTAAGAAGAAGGCATGCTTGGCAAACCCTCACCGGGACCAGCTCCCACCCAGAAACCAATGTCCCCACTGTGGAAGGACGTGTGGATCCAGAACTGGCCTCCACAGTCAGTTACGGACTCATAGTTCAAACTGTGTTTATGGAAGACAATCTTACTCAGCTATGAGGGATCGCCAGAGAAGATTATAAATACTGTATTGTTAATAATATAATGTGTCTTTTGCTATAATTGTGATGTTCAATTTATGTTTTAGCTGTTCCTTTGTTAAGTGTTTTATAAATTGTGATTGTTTCACTGATTACTTATTATTCTATATGATTTATGCTGTATTTGTGATGCTTTATTACGTTCTATCATTATTGTTATTTAGTGCTTTGGGATACATTTGAATGAAAAGAGGCAAAGAAATATAATAAATCAAATCGGAAAGGCGGGATATAAATAGATATAAAATAATAATATTTGTGTTCAAGAGTCTGCACATCATGCTAGCACCCATACGGCTGCTCAGGATGTTGGTGATTCACTTGGAAGGTCCCAGGGGCCCCCTGCAAGACCCCGGCCCTGCAATGCGCCTGTTGCCTCATGTGAATCGGCCTCCCTCTGTCCTCTTTCCTCCAATGCTGGGCGGAGCTCTTCTCCCCCTCCCCCCACCAGGCTGTCCAATGTCTGAAGTCACCTGCAAGCAGACCAAGATGGTTTTCTTGGCCCCAGGACAGACGTTTACATAAGGATGTTGGAATTTCCTTCAGACAAGAACATCTATTCATAAGTTATCAAGATGCAGTTGACTTTGGCCACAGAGGGAATTCCTGGCTGATGGGACGTCTCTGGAGCAGGTCAGTTATCTGACTCTGTTGGGCATGTGTGGCCCTTCGCAGCAGACAAAGGCAGCAAGCAGGATGCCTCAGCCGGGAGCATTGGCTCTTTCCAAAGGGGCGGGGGGGGGTAAATGATCGCCCTCTCCCCACAAAAACAAAGCTTCGTGCATGAGGGTTGTTCCAATGAGCTGCAAAGCTGGAACAATCCGCCTAGGGTGAAATTTGAACAGAACCCATTTCCAGGATTATTTTCATAGATATTTCATAGAATTGTAGAGTTGGAAGGGACCTCAAGGGTCATCTAGGCCAGCCCCCTCTAATGCTGGAATCTCAATTAAAGCACTCCTGACAGGTGTGTACCTGACCTCCGCTTAAAAACCTCCAAGGGCCCACCACCTCTATGGCTGTTGACCAGCAGTGCACTATCTTGACTCCATCATGCTTCCCTGCATGGTGTCCCGAGCGCCTTCTAATTATGGCGGTCCTGGATCCAGCAAAGGTTAAAAAACTAATGCAGAGTTCTGTTGTTGAGCTAGTCAGACAAGTTCTGCCTGCCATCTGGTTATTGGCACCTGTCTGTCTCGAGAGGCAGTGGAGGAGTGGAGGGGTGACGTTTACAGTGCCTGCTGTGGCTCTAGAGACCAATACAGGAGAGACATCTGGGGCAGGTGAAGGCGTCCGGTTGCAAATGCACCAGAGCGCTTCTTCTCTCTGTGCTCCTTCCAGTGGTCATCCCTTCTCAGTTGTCTGAAAGGGATTCCCACGCAGCAGGATTGATGTTGCCAGCCTTCATGTCTCGTTTGGGTATAAGAGTAACACAAAAAACTTTAAGAAAAGCTAAGAAAAGAAAAGAAAAGTACCGTATGTGCTGATGGCAAGGAAGCTGCATTCCCATCACTGGCCAGCAGGCATCACTCTCAACCTAGACAGGCGGGACCAGGAGGCGCTGCTGGGACTCCGGATGTCCCCCCCCCTCCCCCCGCTGCTTTGTCTCCCTGGGCTCCACCATGACCAGCAACCTCTCCATCGATGCTGAGCTGGACAAGCGTATTGGCAAGGCAGCCACAGCAATGCCTCGCCTCTCTGCAAAGGTATGGGAGAATGTGATGCTGGTGACCAAGACCAAGGTGAAGGTCGACCATACAGGCTGCTGCTTTGTGCAAGTGAGTCTGGGCAACTTGCAGCCCTCAGGAGCGATGCCTCAGCACCTTCCACATGCACCGTGTCAGGGAGATTTGGGGCATCAAACGGCAGGGCAGAGCTTCTGGCAAATACGTGCTCTCCCAAGCCCAGGTTCCCAGCACGTCTCAGTGATGACTTCTTCTTCAGATCACCAGTGTGGAAGCAATGATTCTTCAGCATCAACTTCGTTGGACTGGTCATGTTGTGCGGATGCCTGATTATCTTCTTGCAAAGCAACTACTCTATTCCGAACTTAAAAATGGAAAGCGTAATGCTTTCAACAAAAGAGGTTTAAAGACTTTTTCAAGGCAAATCTTTAAAAAATGTAGTATAAACACCAACAACTGGGAAACACTTGCCTGTGAGCGCTCCAACTGGAGAACAGCCTTGACCAAAGGTGTCATGGGCTTTGAAGACACTCGAACTCAGGACGCAAGGGAGAAACGTTCCAAGAGGAAGGCATGCTTGGCAAATCCACACCGTGATCAACTCCTACCTGGAAACCTATGTTCCCACTGTGGAAAGACGTGTGGGTCCAGAATTGGCCTCCACAGTCACTTACGGACTCATTGTTCAAACCGTGTTTATGGAAGACAATCTGTCTACGCTGGCTTGGTCATGTACACAGAATGGAAGGCGGCAGGATCGCCAAGGATCCTTCCCTATGGGGAACCAGGCCCCTTGGCAGAACAACTGCATTACAAGAAGTATGCAAATGTGACGTGAAGGCTGGCAACATCAACTCTGCCCTGTGGGAATCCCTTGCAGATGACCTCAGTACCTGGAGACAGTCAGATTGTGCATCTACAGCAGTGACCAGAGGAGGAATGACCGCTGGGAGGAGCAAAGAGAGGAGAAACGCCCTGGTCCATCTGCAGCAACACAGCTGGGCACCTTCCTCTGCCCCAGTTGCAACAAAACAGGTCTCTCCCTTATTGGTCTCTGCAGCCACAGCAGGCACTGCAAGCGCCCAACCCTTCGACTCCACCCCCAAAGGCTCACACCTTCCTTGTCTCCCGAGGCAGACGGGTGCCCCCAGCTCTGCTGGCCATTGCGATGTCCTCCCCCGCCAAGTCTTTGGGCTGGACCAAAGTTCTCTTCCCTCTGTGGCCCGTGGAGAACTATGGGAGAAGGAAGACGTGGCCAGATTGGGGGGGGGGTCCTCTGTCCGGGGAACCGCTTGCTCAGAGACACCCCGCCCTCCTCGCAGACTCAGCCAGGACAGGGAGCTCCCCACCAGCCCAGCCCTGCCCACACCACCTTCGGGACCCAAAAACACGTCGGTGCCGGGTCACTTCGCGGGCATTGCCGGAAGGGGTCCAGCCAGGAGCATCCGTCTCCCTCCCGCCGCTCGTTTCCCGAGCTTCGGCAACAGCATCCCTAGGCGGAGGGATGGGGGGGCGGCCTCCCGCTTGCCTCCTTCGCACTCCGGTGATGGCGGGCGAGGGCTCCCCACATACTCCCCTCCATCCAGGGCATCGACAACGCAAAGGAACCCGAAGAGGAGGAGAGGCGGAGCGTCGCCTCCTGCCGCCGCCAAGGCTGCAGCGACTTCGCCCGCCTCTCCGAAGCGCCGCGAGCGTTTGGCCTCGTCCCTCATCCCGGAGGGGGCGCCCGCGGTCTGTACGGAGCAGTCTCCAAATATTTCCAGACAAAAATAAGTGAATTTCAGCAGCCTAATTCAGGAGGGATGAGTCATTTTGGTGTCCAATGAATGTTGTTGTTAAGATTATTATTGTTGTTGTTAATTAAATTTGTATACTGTACACTGTACCTTCACCCGAAGATCCCAGGACACTTTACAACAGAAACACAAAATGAGAATACAAAACAGAAACAGAAACAGAAGCAAACCCTCTCACAAACACATTTTAAAAACCACAGAATGTTAATCAGCCGAATACCCGGTGCCTGAAGACATGCTGAGATTCCTGCATTGGTGGAAGATGCTCAAAGCGTCTTGCTCAGATGAGCAACCTGGCCGCAGAATTCTGCATTCGTTGAAATTTCCGAACCACCTTCAGAGGCAGCCCCACGTATAACACGTTGCAGTAATCTAAACTTGATTAAACAATTGGGAGCTGGGAATCCTTTTCAAATCATCAAATCATCCAGAGGTCGACCAGTTTGCAAGGCGGCGATTTGGGCTAAGGTCCCTGAACAGAAATAGGGGGGGAGGGCGTGCATGTTGACGGGAGGATGCTGGCCTGAGACATCATTGTTCAGCCCCCCCCCCCTTAGAACTCTGCATTCGTATCTGCTGAAGGCGGGCGGATTTGTTGCAAAGCTTGCAGAGAACCCGGGGTTCGCCAGGACCCAAACGGGGTCATTTGAAGAAGTTATTTCCTTCTATCAGTTCAGAATATATAGCCCCCACCCCCACCCCCGCACCAGAGTGGCTAGGAGGAGCGGGGGGGCGGCGAGGACACCGGGGGGTTGTCAAGCACGGGGCGCCACCGCAGGCCAGGCTCAGAGCAGCGTCTCCTCCATCATCAGTATGGGAAGATCCGAGCGCATCTGAGGCACAGTCAAGACACCAAACACGAGTCCTACATGCACACGACTCCTCACATCGGGTCCTGCTTCTCGCGCTGCTCCTCAGGGTCACTGGGGCCGCCCCTAATGCTGCGCTGGGGGGGCGGGGCTATCTTGATCCCCTTCCACTAATGAAGGGGAGTAGGACTCGAACCACTGGTTTCAAGTTACGTACAAGAAAGGAGATTCCGACTCAATATCAGGAAGAACTTTCTGGTGGCAAGAGCTGCTCAACAGGGGAACGGTCTCCCTGAGGAGACAGGGGACTCCCCTCCCTTGGAGGTTTTTAAGCACATGTTGGATGATCATGTGTCTTGGATGCTTTAGCCGAGATTCCTGCACTGCGGGGTTGGACTAGATGACCCCGGGGGTCCCTTCCAACTCTATAATTCTATGTTCCTCCCCATATCTGCGAGTAAAAAGACCCCAAAGGCTTCGGGGCTGCCCATTCTGCCCACTTTGCCGGGTCTCCGGTGCTCCTTGACTGACGCGCCCTAGCGAGGCATCTGAGTCGCCCTCCAGATTTCTTTCCGGAGAGGGCAAGCGAGAGCCAATGGGGAGCCTCGCCTTTGGCCCCTTTCCACCGGCAGCTGCCCGGAGGAGAGGCGCGTCTCCGGCTTCTTCAGCCGCCACCGCAGGCGGGACTCCGCGCACAGCTTCCAAGCGGCTTGGACGGCGCTCCCGCCCGGTCCCTTCCATCTGGAAGGAGCAGAGCGAACCAAGAGGCTGCTGGATCCGCGGCTAGGATAGAAAGAGAGCCGCCGCGGCCAGCGAGCCGGCCTCTCCTGCGCCGCTAAGAACCCTCCGGAGAGGCCCCGAGGAGGAAGAGCCAGCCCCGCTCCGAGGCGCCGAGGGCAGCGTGCGCGCTCGGGATAGTCAGGGCTGCCGCCGCTCCCTGGCCAGCCCCAGCTTCCCTCGCCCAAGGAGCGCCGGGCTGCGAAGCGAGCAGGACGCTCGAGGGCGAGATGGAGGCGTCCGGGCAGCTGCCGCGGAGCCGGCGGGCGGGCCGCCCTCCACCCAGCGGCCGCGTTCAGTAGCAGCGGGCCGGGTCCTGCCCGGCGGGCGGGATGGAGCCGCGCCCCGGGCCGCCGCCTCTGGAGCGCGTCCGCCGGCCTGGTGGGGCGCCTGGGCTGGCGGCGTCGGAGGACGCGCACGGAGGCACCAGGGGGCGCTGCCCCCCCACGTCTGCAGGCGGCTCTGGCACGGCGTCCGGAGGGAGGCGCAGGGTGGGCGGCTGGGGCTGGCCGCGGAGGGGGCGGCCTCTCCTGGGGAGCGCAGGGCAGCCCGGCGGCCCACAGAAGGGATCCGGCGGCGCCGCGGCGGCAGCAGCAGCAGCGAAGCGAAGGAGGTGGTGGCGAGCGGCCCCCGGGCAGCCACGCAGCAGCCGAGCGGAGCAGACTCCCTCCCCGCGCGCCCCGCCATGGCCTCGCCAACGACGTCGCTGCTGGTGGTCGCCGCCGTGGCCCTGTCGCTGTCGGCCGCCTCGTCGGGCCTGGGCGAGGGCGCCAACGGGAGCGCGGCCGCGACGGTGGTGACGGTGGCCTTGGTGCTGCCCGAGCACAACCCCAGCTACCCGTGGGCCCTGCCGCGGGTGGGCCCCGCCGTGCGCCTGGCCCTCGAGGCGCTGGAGCCGGCGCTGCGGGCCGCCGGGCTGTCGATGCGCACCGTCAACGCCACGTCGGAGCTGAACGGCGCCTGCTCGGAGTCGGTGGCGCCGCTCCAGGCCGTGGACCTGAAGCTCTACCACGACCCGGACGTGCTGCTGGGGCCCGGCTGCGTGTACCCGGCCGCCTCGGTGGGGCGCTTCGCCTCGCACTGGGGCCTGCCGCTCCTCACGGCCGGCGCCGTCGCCTCGGACTTCAGCCACAAGAAGGAGCATTACACCACGCTGGTGCGCACCGGCCCGTCCGCGCCCAAGCTGGGCGCCTTCGCCGCCCTCCTGCACGAGCGCTTCAACTGGAGCTCCCGCGCCGCGCTCCTCTACGTCGACCGAAAGACCGACGACCGGCCCTTCTACTTCACCATTGAGGGCGTCTACCAGGAGCTCCGCCACGCCGGCCTCACCGTCGGCTACCACATCTACGCGCCCCGAGACAACGGCACCAGCAGCAACGCAGGCGGCGCCGCGGACGATGGCGGCGGCCCGGACACCGCCGTGCAGTTCATCCGGGCCAACGGGCGAGGTGAGCGGGTCGCAGCGCTTGGGGGCCGCCTGCTGCTGCTCCTGGACGGGAAGGGGGGCGCGCGTCCCTGGTGCCTGCAGTCCACCCCACCTTCCCACCTCCGTCTGCATGCAGTCCCCCCCCCCAGCCCCGCTCAGTCTGCGGGCATTTCCCGGCGAGACGGCACCTCCTCCGCTGCCGTCGGGCCTCCTCTGGGCCGGAGATCGAGATCTCTGTCCCGAGTTGGGCTCTGCGACTCCGAGAGGCGACGGAGGGGGGCACTCCTGGACTGGTGGGGGGGGGGAGCCAATGCGGAGGAACTGCCCTTGTGTGGCCACGGAGAAATACATGCCCCCCCCGCCCCATCCCAAGGCCATCCATCCATCCAAGGGAACCCGCTTGGAACTATCTCAGCATCTACGAGGACCGCTTGGCAGTTTGGGGTGGGGGTGGCGCTCACAGACCCCGAAGCCGGATCGAGCCCTCCACTTTCCGGGCGTAGGCGGGGGGGGGGGGGCGCTGGCCAAGGGCAGCCTGACACTCCTCCTTAATGGATGCGCCAGGAGGCACTTATCGATCCGAGCTGCAGCTGCGGCTGCTAATGGAGCCTCTTCGGCGGCTGCTGTGTCATCGGGACGGGCACGGAGCCCGCCTGGGACAGCCAGGGAGGGAGGCAGGAAGGCAGGCAGGCGTGGGGCGGGATCAGCCCCCGCGGGCAGGCCGGGGGAAGGGGCCTGGCCCGAGCGCCTCTGCCGGACGCCCCCTGGGGCAGCCGGACCGGGGGCCGAGGGAAGCGGGCGCAGGAGCGCCGTCGTGCTGCCGGATGCGCCGCGCGCTCGCCTCGCCTCGCCAGCCTCCGCCGCCGCCGCCGCCGCACCTGGCCAGCTGCCTCGGCGGAGCTTTCCGGGGGCGTTTCTGGCGCGGGCCGAGGCAGGCGCGGGCCGAGCGGGGGCCGGGGGAGCCCTGAGCGAAAAGAACAGCTGCTGCTGCTGCCTCCGCCGCCTTTTTCCGCGAGGAGGCTGTCGCCCCCCGCCAGCCCAGGGCAAGAGGGCGGACCCCCGGCCCACTCGCTGCCCCTCCGCTCCGGCCGGCTGCCCAGCGGGGCCCGGGCGGGTGGGCGAGCCGGCCCGGCCTGAGACAGCTCTCCGTGGGCTGGAGGTGCCGCCTTGGAGCCGCGCTGGGACCCATCTCAGGCCGGCCTTTGTAGGGGAGAGCGGGGCAGAGCCAGCCCGCCTGCCTGCCTGCCTGTCGGGAAGCCGCCTCCCGCCTCTCCCCCTTCCGAAAGGGGGAAAAAGTTTATTGCTGCGTCTTTTACGACGGGAGCTGGGTTAGATTTAAATGTGAGAATTTCAGGAATGTCACACCCCTGGAAGGCCGGCGGAGATGTTTGATGTCTCCTGGCTGACAGTTGCTGGGAGCCCAGAGGAGACGGCGGCCCCGGTTCTATCTCCCGGCACCAAAAAACAACCCCGAACTGCCGCTGAACTCCTTCTGAGAGAGGGAGCCGACCGTGGCTTGAGAATCGGGCGGGAGGTTCTTCCCCATCCCTTCCTGCAGCCGCAGGCCAGGCTCCTGTGAGATGGCCGGAGGGCTGCGTTGTGGGGGGAGGCAGAGGAGGGTCCTGTCCTCTGCTCTTAGGGGACGGGGGTCTGGCCTGCGGAGAACCGGCTTGCTGCCTCTTGCTCTGGTCTGAGGCTCTGCCTGGCAGCACCCACTGCTGGGATCTTCTGGTCTGCCTGACCCTTCACTTGCCCCCCCCCCCAGCCCTGGGCCTTCTCTGAACAACCCCTTCCCCAGCCCCCTTCTCCCTCCCTCCCACTTCATGCTTTGGCCCTCAAGCATCTTCCTTATGGCAGGCTTTTGTAAAATCTGCAGCACTCACCTGGGAATCAGCCTCACTGAGCTGCAGAGGACTTGTGTTTGAATAGACATGCATAGGATTGTGGTTTAAATTAAAATTTTTGAAGGTGAGTGCTCTCCCTCAGTCTTCTTGGGGGCTCCACAGCTGTTGCACAGCAAATATTCCCCTGATCTTTGGTCTTCAGCACCAGGGTTTGAAATTCTAAGATTATGCAGGAGACAAACAGGGTCTTAGCTCAGTGAGGTCCTGGGCACTTTGGAGGAGCTGTTTTCATCAGGATTGCAGCTGGGGAGGAAAGGGTTAACCCCACTCCTCTTGCCTGCTTTGATCCTGATAATTACTGCCCTCCCCCATTCAAAGAGGCTGCTATTTACATTAAAGAGCACATTACATGCAAATACACATTTAATGTCATGTCTTATGTGACCCCAACCTAGAGCCTAAAACAGAACTTTCCATGTTGTTGACACACATTTTAGACATGCATCATTTCGTGACACAGTAATTCAGTTTTACTTGCAAACTGGCAGGCTGCCTGCTCCCTTTCCAGCCCCAGAAGGAGAGGGGATGGGGAGGTGGTCCGTGGTCAGCACAGTGCAAGCACCCTGACAGGCACACCATATTTCCTCTCCCAGTGTGTTTGCACTGCATCAACCTCCCCTCTCCTTCCTGGGGAGCAGCAGCAGGATGGACACATCTGCTGCTGACTCATCCGGAGACCCCAGGTTGTAGGCCCTAAGGGGGAAGGCAGAGCTGCGAGCTGCAGGCAGGGGCAGGGAGAAGGGAAGGAGGGAAGGCCCCAGAGGAGCCTGTTGCAGTCCCAGCTGAGGCTGGCAGGTTGGTCAGAGCAGGCGGGAGAGCGGAGAGCTGTCATCCGTCATCCCCTCAATCCCTTGTGGCAAATATTCCTTCCGCCCACACTGTGATTTTTATGGCTTAAAGCTGAGGGCTAAATTACATGTTTCATGGGCGATCCATTATTAGCGGGGATATATATATATATATATATATATATATATATATATATAATCTCAAGTGGGACCTGCAATGAAGTGTGCTAGCCAGTCCCTCATGCCATTTCCCAGGGCACTTCATTCCATCTCCCCAACCCCAACCATCTCTGAGCATTCTTTTTTTTTTTTTTAATTAATATTTATTAAGTTTTCAAAGAATAACAACAAAAATTTCCAAAAAAATTTGAAAATACAAAAAACAAAAATGATAAAGAAATAAAAAAGAAAAAACCCAACCATAAAGAAAAAAAGAAAAAAGAAAAACAAAAGTATAAAATCATTTACGATCTCTGTTAACTTCCTTTCTAGACTTCCTCCTCCTCCCCTCTCTTGTTTCTTAATTTTTAATTTTTACAGCAAATCCTTTCTGTTTTTTCATAACAATCTATCATTACATTTCCTTATTCTATTTTCCCTCTTGTCATATAAAAACTTTAAAACTCAAAGCTTATATTCAGTATTTACCAAATTCTTACATCATTACCTTTTTGCAAATCATTTACCAATCATTACTTAAGCCATATAGTTTCATTCAACATCTTTCAAACATTTATGAACGTTCCCAATATTGAAAAATAGAAAAATAAAATAAAATAATAAGTCAGACACAATCCAGTCAACTTCCAGCGCCCCTCCCCTGGACCCGGGATTGTCAGTCCTTTTAACCTCAATAGTCCGGCTCCTTAACCTGGTTGTCTCGTGTCCGAGGCCCTCAAATCTCTTTCTTGCCCCTTTCGCAGCTCTTCTTGATGTTTCCCTTTCAGTCGTGGGTACTCCAGCAGAAAGATACTTTTGACCCTTTGCAGCAAGTCCATCCCATGCCCATTGTCCAAGCCAGACAGCAGATAATACCACTTCAAGTTTCCTTGAAACTTGGAGGCTCCGACTACTCCAATCCTCTGATGGCCCATCACCAGACTCGGAAAGTCCAGATAACCATATAAAGGGGGGTCAATCCATCCCCCATTTCCAAATCTAACCACATTTCATCTTTCCGAATCTGATTTATCCCAAGTTCATTTATCAAGTTCAAAGGCTGATCCTGCCGGTCCAAAGGTCCCTCCATCTCTGAAGCCTCCATCACTACAGCAGGTTCATATACTTGTAGATATTTTAACTGAGTTCCATTTACTTGCTGCTGTGCTCTGGTAACTTCCGTCATCAAGGTCGTCTCCTGACGCATCTGGTCCAGCTGGGCACTTAGTTTTGAAAAACCTTCCAGGAACATTTGTTCAAGCCTTTGTACAAGCATTGTCCTTCAAGGTCAAAGAAAATTCTTTCCCACGATTATAGTCCTTCACTTTTAAGCTCTCTGCGTTGCAGTTTCACTAAATCCCACTAGAGGGAAAACCTTTTTTTCTTTTTCTTTTTTATAAAGGAGAAAAACATCAGCAACAGTCTTTCTTTTCCAGATACACTTTATCCAAAGTTCCCCTTCAAAATTCAAGAGGCAACAGTAGAGTCACAATGTTACCCTTCTTTTAACTATCTGTCGAGCTGGACAAGCTTCAAAACGTCAGTTCTGACAGCCCGCTCCTGGTTCAGGGCGGTGGAAAATTACTTTGTTTTAAACTCACTTCCGCAGGGTTAAAAGTCCAAAACAACCCCTTCTTCTCCTGCAGTCAAAGGGGGTTCAGAAATCTTAGATGTTGAATTCTAGTTCTCTCAGAATTTAATTTTCAAGCTTTAGTATATTTTGTCTTTGCTTTCTTCACGTAACAAAAAGAACGGAAGGCTGACTTCCTGTTTAGACCTTCCCGTTCCAAGTCCCAATTAAATTCAATTTCAAGTCCAATTTATTTATTTATTCACCAGTCTTAAAAGTAATTCAGCTCTTCCAAGATCAGGTACTCACGGATAGATGTTTTAGATGCCAAATTGTCCCAGGACAAAGGCAGCGCTCTCCGGAAACGGCAGTGCGGCGTTGCTGCACGAAAGAAGCAGTCGACTCACAGCACCACGCACCTCCACTCCGGGCCCGTTACCGGGCTCCTGTACAATGGGAGAGAGCGCTCATGGTGCCCGCTGAGTCCCACGTCCACAGGCTTCGTCCGCCTGTGGGTTTTAAGGGTCCCCGCTGCGCCGTAGCGGTAGGACCCAAGCTTCCGTGCAGCGGGTTCCCTTCAACTTGAAGGGAATTCCGCCATTTTTCCGGAGGCGCCACCCCGGAAGTCCCCATCTCTGAGCATTCTGTGCAGGCTCAGAATATTGTTTTTGTCCTTCTTCAAGCCGTTGGCTGTCTCTGCAGCTCCTGCTGAGGCTTCTCCCCTCTTGGGCCCGGATACAGGTGGGTCATTTGGGTTGACCAGAACAATCCAGAGAATGCAGCAACCCTCCTTTGCAGCAAGGTTGCAGTGTTTGGGAATTTATAGCTTGGAGAAAAGAGAAGTAAGAGAGGTGGCATGGTATATTTATTATTATTATTTAATTATTGAATTTATATGCCACCCTATACCTGAGGGTAGAAGTTTATAAAATGATAGCAGGTATCAAGGGAGCATGGCTGCCTCTCACAATACTATACATTGGTCCCTTGCTTCTCAAACTTAATCTATTCCGGAAGTCCGTTCCAAAACCAAAGCGTTCCAAAACCAAGGTGTGTTTTCCTATAGAAAGTAATACAAAATGGATTAATCCATTCCAGGCTTTTAAAAACAACCCCTAAAACAGCAATTTAACATGAATTTTACTAACTAACGAGACCACTGATCCATAAAATGAAAGCAGTAATCAATGTACTGTACTATAAAATAAATAAAACAGTATTGTAGATGATAATTTTTTTTAAAAAAAATTCTTACCTGCATTGATGATAGTCACTGATTGGATGGGGGGCTTTTATCCATTTCTGCAGTCTCACAATCCATCAATCAGTAGCTGAACTGGGTTCCACACAGTCACAAAAACAAATTAACCAAAACAGCCTCAAAAACAAAAACGCAAAATAAATAGCAAAAACAAAAGCGTCAAACTTAATCCATTCTGGAAGTCTGTATGACTTCTGAAATGCTCAAAAACCAAGGCACAGCTTCTGATTGGTGTAGGCACCCCAGAAACAATAGCCGACAGCCGCATCGAATGTCCAGCTTCCAAAAAACGTTTGAAAACTGAAACACTTACTTCCGGGTTTTCAGCATTTGGGAACGAAGGTACCAGTGTAACTTGTGGGCATTCAGTGAAGCTGAATGTTGGAAGATTCAGGATGGATAAAAGGAAGTCCTTCACACAGTGCTAACAGGCAAGGAGAGAAATTAATGATGGAAAATAATGAGTATACTTCTATTATTGTTTTTATATTCCAGTTTTCTACACGCATAATGAATTTCATGTTATTCAGCAGCATCGTGTCACAATCCCCCTTCAAACGTGGTCACCGAGTGGCTTGGGAGCCCTCACAATGCTCCCCCGCTGCTTTTTGGCTATTGCGATTTCTGGTGTGAGATTTGTGTCCATTTATAGCTTTATTTACTTATCAAAAACACTTGTATACAGTACTGTAGTTTCATAAATTTCAGAGTGGTTTACAACAGTGACATATATACAAGAAAAAACACATAACAACTTAAAACCATAGTTCGCCAGCTAACAAGTACAGAGGGTTTTTTTCTGAATTGCCTGTATGAGGCCGGTGGCAACGAAAAGTTTTCAGCAAACTTAGACTGAGAGGTGCCTTCCAAATCTCTGTGGCAGAACATCCCACAGGACTGGGCTGATGACACCCAAGGCGGACTTCCTTGTTCTTGTCAAAGGAGCTTTGCCAACTCAGGGAACAGCCAACGATGCTCTTGCAGATGATCTCAGTGCCAGAGCTGGGAAAGAAGGCGTCAGGGAGTGCCTGGGGTGCCCTGGAGCTAAGTGGTTCAGGACTTTGTAAAGTAAAACAAGGACTTTGCCCCTGCCCTGATAGTGTATGGGCAGCCAATGCTGCTGTTTATAATAGAATAATAATAATTTATTATTAATACCCCGCCCATCTGGCTGGGTTTCCCCAGCCACTCTGGGCGGCTCCCAACAGAATATTAAAAACAACGATAAAACATCAAACATTAAAAACTTCCCTAAACAGGGCTGCCTTCAGATGTCTTCTAAAAGTCAGATAGTTGCTGATTTCCTTGACATCTGATGGGAGGGCGTTCCACAGGGAGGGCACCACCACTGAGAAGGCCCTCTGCCTGGTTCCCTGTAAGCTCCCTTATTGCAGGGAGGGAACCGCCAGAAGGCCCTCAGCGCTGGACCTCAGTGTCTGGGCAGAACGATGGGGGTGGAGACGCTCCTTCAGGTATATTGGACCGAGACCGTTTGGGGCATTCAAGGTCAGCACCAACACTTTGAAATGTGCTTGGAAACATACTGGGAGCCAATGTAGGTCTTTCAGGACCGGTGTTATGTGGTCTCAGTGGCTGCTCCCAGTCACCCTGTGCCCCCATCAGCAGTCCAGCTGTCTTCCATCCGCTTTGGCTAGTAGCCCAGCTGCATCCCTATCTGGCCAGGGACAGCCTCACTCCTGTCGTCTATGCTCTGGTAACCTCTAGGTTAGATTGCTGCGATGTGTTATAGATTTAGCTGCCTCTGGAGATGGTTTGGAAACTTCAGCTGAAGTGCAGAATTCAGCAGCCAGGTTGCTCACTGGGACAAAACTGTTTGACCATGTAATGCTGATCCTGGTCTGCTGCAGGCGCAATTCAAAGCGCTGGTTTTGACCTATAAAGCCCTCAATGGCTCAGAACCACAACACCTCAAGGACCGCCTCTCACCATATAAACTGATCCAGACCCTGAGGTCATCCTCTGAAGCCCTTTTTTGTGTGCCTCTTCCACGAGACATCCAGAGGGTGGCAACACAAGAAGGGGCCTTTTCTGCAGTGGCTCCCCATTTGTGGGATGCTCTCCCCAGAGAAGCTCACCAGGCGCCTTCATTACACAGGTATAGGCACCAGGCGAAAGCATCCCTCTTCAACCAGACCTTGGGTTGATTAACAGCCTTAGGCCCTTTTAAATGTGGAGAGGGGGTTATTGTTTTGTAGTTGCCTTTATTCTGTATTTTTATCTTGTGAACTGCCTTGAGATCTTAAGATGAAGGGCAGTATACAAATTTAACAACAACAGCAATGTTATTCTGCCCCAGGCCCCAGGGCAGCCCCGCATATAGTGCATTTCAGCAATCCAGCCTTTAGGTTGCTAGTGCATGGACTATAGTGGTCAGGCAAGTCATTCCCTGACCAGTGTTCCTTTTGCACACAGACGGGCCTCTCTGTTTGGTGCAGAATTGCATTTTACGTCAGGCTGGAAGGTGAGCAAGTGAAGGAGCCCCTGGTGTTCTGGAGTCTGTGATAGTATTGCCGGATCTGGCATGGTGGGCAGAGCTGGCATCTGTGCCTGATGCAGGGGCTGCCCCTCTGTCTGCTTCTCTTCAGATGTGCCTGTCGCTGCTGCTGCTGCTGCTGCTGCTGCTGCTGAGAAGCTGTTTTAGCTTAGGGGTTTATCTGTCAGCAGGGCTTGCCGTGGGGGAGAAGATTCACGGTCAAAGGCTGGAGATCCTTGGTGAGGCATTGAAGGGCTTTCAGCTGGTTGCTGGAGGGGAAGGCAAGTGGTTCTCTGCCCTCTCTTGCCTAGGCGGCTCCTCTTGGTTCTCTGTCTTTTTCTCTTTGTCAGATGTGTCTTGCTGTCTAAGAAATGCCTGACGTAAATCACCAGTAAGTACAATATTATATATCTGGGTCTGAACAAAGGCAATGGCCTCCTGTTGCAATGCAGCTGCCAGTTAACTCAGCAACACCAAGTCCCTCACCTGTCATGGTGCCGAAGGCCCTTCATTATTTTGCAGGCCGCCTAGTTCTAACTGAATTGTCCTTGCCTGGACTTTGCACACTTCATTTCTCTCTCATCTTCCTGCTTACAACCCTCCCTCCCAATGGGTAAGTGAGGGTTTCTGCATCTGATGAAGTGGACTCGAGACCACAAAAGCTTATTATGCCATAATAAATTGGCTAGCCTTGAAGGTCACACAAGACTCTTGGGTTTATTTTTGGTTCCTAGAAGTTGCAGCCACAGAAGACCTCAGTTGTTGCCAGGCCTACTCCTCCTCCTCTTCTTCTGCCTTCTCCATCATACATTTGCTTAAATTGTCTTGTAAAGCCACCTCTAAGCTAGTCATTTCCATCCCTCTAGTATTCCTTATGCCCAGATCACACTGCTTAATATACAGTGGTACCTCGGGATACAGATGCTTCAGGTTACAGACGCTTCAGGTTACAGACTCCGCTAACCCAGAAATAGTACCTCGGGTTAAGAACTTTGCTTCAGGATGGGAACAGAAATTGCATGGTGGCAGCAGGAGGCCCCATTAGCTAAAGTGGTACCTCAGGTTAAGAACAGTTTCAGGTTAAGAACGGACCTCCAGAATGAATTAAGTTCTTAACCCGAGGTACCGCTGTATTCTCATCAGGGCTTTTTTCAGCTGGAACTCACTGGAACTCCGTTCTGGACCCTCTCAGGTGGGCACTGTTGCCGTTATAAGAGAACAAGGGAGGTGTTCATGGTGAGTTCTGGCACCTCTTTTTCTAGAAAAATAGCACTGCTTCTCGTGAAAACAGGCCACTTGTTCCTACCCTCTCTTTCTATTTTTCACCCTCCCTCTTATCCCATGACTGCGAAGGTCACTCGGGACCCTTGTGGGAGGGGCTTTGCCAAAAGCTTTTGGGAAAGTCCAGGCCTGCAGGGTCTTATCAGATCACCTCTGTCCACTTGCTTGCTGACACTCTTGAAGAACTCCAAAGGGTTGGCAAAGAAGGACTTGCCTTTGCTGCAGCCAGGCTGCCATGTCCAAAGCGAAGCTTGTTCTTCTGTATGGTGGACAGCCCTTCATCAAGCTGTCAGTTTTTCTGTGATGGGAGTCAGGCGGACTTTGATGCCAGCCAGTCCTTTAGCTGAACTCGAATTCCTCTCCCTGCCCGGAAATCTGGAAGGCATGTCTGGACTCTGCCAGGGCTCATCCCAGGCTGCCGGTTCTGGTGCAACCTAATTTCCTGATCTCATTTCCCTCCCATCTGTTTTTGCCTTTGGAAGTGATAATGATTCCCTGCCCCCCTTCAAGGGTGCCAGTTGCTCTCCCACCCTAACCAGATCCACTTGAGACAAAGGCGAGGGAGGGTCTGGCGTCCGAACGGGGCCCTGGGGCCCGGGACTCTGTGCTGGTGTGGCAACGTTGGTGTGCTGCGTCAGCGAGGCATGGCCTGCGTTCCAGGCAGCGTGGAAGTCGTGCCAATGCGCCGTGTGTGCCCTGGAGGTTGGTCTGCCGCCTGCCTGCTCCTCAAAGGCCAGAGCTGGGGTTCGTGCAAAAGCGAAGGTGAGACCAGGGTGCATTCAGGGCTCCTCTGGGCGACTGTGTGGGCTGCCTGATATCCCGGCATCTGCTGCCTCTCCAGCTGTTGCTCAACATCCCTTGCCTGCCAGCTGGGCCAGGTTGGGGCGAGCGCTTCAGGCCTTGGTGGGGAAGGAGGGGGCCGTGCTTCCTGGAGAGGTTTGGAGAGGGCCTTCCTCCCCTCCCCTCCTCTCTGGAGAGGCTGCAGCCCACTTTCCTATGGCAGGCAGCCTGCCGTGGGCTAGGGCTCCCCCCATCATGTGCCACGCAAGGAGCCGCCCCCTCCTTCCTGTAACTGGAGCTGCCTGGTGGGGCCCTCTGTTTCCAATTACGGAGCCAGGCAGAAGGTGCTGGAATCCGGGAACCTGCAAATTCTTTCGCCACAACCGCAAACCCAAACATGTTTTTGTGCTGTTTCTTCTCGCTGCCTCGGCTGCGCCAGGGCTGCTCCTTCGCCATAACATTGGAGTCGGGAGAGGATGGGCACGACCTGGACCGTGGTCTGGGCACAGCAGTGGGGCCGGGGGACTGAGCTAGACCCCTGGGAAGACGGAGGCACTTTGGGGTGTGGGTTCCCAGAGATTTCCAGGTTTGGGGTTGCTCCTCCTGGACCGGTCTTTGTTGCTGGAGGCTCAGGTAGCCTCAGTGGCTTGGAGTGACTTTCACCAGGTGTGGCTGGTCTGCCAACTATGGCCGTTCTTGGGCAAGGGAAATTTGGCCATGGTGATACATGCATTGGTAGCCTCCATGTGCTCTGGGTGGGGCTGGCCTTGGGCTTGCTCTGAAGGCTGCAGCTGGAGCAAAAGGCTTGACTCTTGATGGGGTCAGATGATCACCAGCTCATCCTGATCCAAAGCTTGCATTGGCTGCCCATACGCCACCAGGCCAGGTTCAAGCATCAGCCGAACAAATTGGATCACACACATCCTGCTCAGTCCCTGAGGTCCTCAGTGGAGTCACTGTCCCTGGTCCCCCAGGACTCAGATGCCTGCCTTGGCTCATCTGTGTGAAGCTAACTCCCTCCCAGCTGAGGTCAGACAGGCCACCTCCCTGGGGCAGACCCTCCAAGTCTCCCTATTTTTCCAGGACAGGACCGGATTTACAGAAGCTGTCCCGGTTTCTGATTTGACCCCGGAATGTCCCGCTTTTCCTTAGGACGTCCCTATTTTCTTCAGAGAAATGTTGGAGGGGATGGAGTTATGTGACCCCTGAGCCAAAGAGATAAGTAACTATACAACCTTTTGAAGACTTCTGAAGGCAGTCCTGCATAGGGAAGATTCTTAGTGTTTTAAATGTTTTGTTACGTTTTTATATATGGTATGTTGGAAGCGGCCCAGAGTGGCTGGAGCAGGGTATAAATACTAAAAATATCATTATTATTATGGAATAGGACGTCCCTATTTTCATTGGAGAAATGTTGGAGGGTATGATGTTGAACCTCCAGAGCCTACTGAACGCCTTTTTAAAAATTTATTCCAGCTGGCTTTTTAATTGAATTCTGATGTGAAACGTTTAAGTCATTTTTAGTCTTATTGCATTGGGTCTCTTGTACGCTGCTTAGAGATGACTGCGATTAGGTGGAATACAAATGGTTGAAACAAACAAAGGCCTGGCAGCCAGCGATTTGTGGCAGCCCTCTCTCCAAGCCCCGAGGCTCACGGGGCTCCTTTCCTTCCAGTGTGATGTGCCCTTAAAAAGGCTCCCCCCCCCCAGCTCTTCAAAAAGCTGCCAGGCCAAACCTGACAGATAGCTCAGTGCCTGGGTGGGAGACCCCCTGGGACCCCCAGGCCCCCTGCCTGAAGTGCCATGATATGGGACAGAATGTGAGGAAGGAAATAATATGATCAAGGGCTTGGAGCAAGTCTTCTGTGAGGGACTGTTAGAAGATTTGGGTTTTTTTCATTTATAAAGAAGGGCCAATAAATGGTAACATGACCAAGGCGTGCACAATTATGAATGGTGATGAAGATTCTCTTTCTCTAACTCACCCAATGAAACTGAATGCTGGAAGATTTGGGAGAGACAAAAGGAATTGGCACTTCTTCACAGGGTGCATGGTTCAATTGCTGCAAAACTTAATGATGGCTTTAAAGAGGGATTAGACAATCTGGGACGTGGGTGACGCTGTGGGTTAAACCACAGAGCCTAGGACTTGCTGATCAGAAGGTCAGCGGTTCGAATCCCCGTAACGGGGTGAGCTCCCGTTGCTCGGTCCCTGCTCCTGCCAACCTAGCAGTTCGAAAGCACCTCAAAGTGCAAGTAGATAAATAGGTACCGCTCCGGTGGGAAGGTAAACGGCGTTTCCGTGTGCTGCTCTGGTTCGCCAGAAGCGGCTTAGTCATGCTGGCCACATGACCCGGAAGCTGTACGCCGGCTCCCTCAGCCAATAAAGTGAGATGAGCGCTGCAACCCCAGAGTCAGCCAGGACTGGACCTAGTGGTCAGGGGTTCCTTTACCTTTAGACAATTGGGGGGGGGGGAGCAGGCTATCGGTGGCTTCTAGCCATGCTTTGCTTCCCCTTTTGGAGGGAGAAAACTCTGCATACTGGGATTCCCAAGGAGTGGGAGAGAGAGAGTTATCTTGTGCTCAGACCCCATTTTCAGGTTCCCCATAATGGGCACCTGGCTGGCCAGCCCCTGTGGGGAAGAGGATGCTTGAGCAGGTGGGCCCCCCTGGGCCTGATCCAACAGGCTCTTCTTGGAAACTGCAGGAGGAGAGAGCTGCTCTTGTGCCCCCGGGTCCTGGATGCTGGGCTAGATGGGCCATTGGCCTGATCCTGCAGCCCCCTCTTCTGTCCTTATGAGCCAAGCCATCTGAGGAGCTGACACTGGGCAAGGCAGCAGGCATGGAGAGGGTCTCCCTGTCAGAGGCTGCAGCAGCCCCCCGCCTTGTGGTCTATGCTTCTGGGCAGGTGGCACGAAGGGAGCTGGGGTTAGGCTGTCCTCTCTGGGTACCCCAAAACGGGGAATTCTGTGGGAGCAATAAATAAGAGCAGGATAGCCTGACGGAAGCAAACCCTCAGCCCGACAGCACTCCAGGAGCAGCAAAGAACCGGTCAGGAAGCACTTCAGACGCCCTTGCTCTTGAGGAACAATGAAATGGAAGGACTCCTGGCGCCTCCCTGTACAAAGACAGCCGACCTTTAAGGACCAGATGCTGGGAGAGTCTGTGCCCTGCCAGTGACTCGGAGGAGGAGGGTGGCCTGGACAGACCCGATCGGCTGCAGCAGCAAAATCATTCCTAGGTTATAACAAGAGGGAAAATGGGTAGTTAATAGCTGAGTACGTTGGTGCTTGGTTCTCAAACTTAATCTGTTCTGGAAGTCCGTTCCAAAACCAAAGCGTTCCAAAACCAAGGTGTGCTTTCCCATAGAAAGTCATGCAAAACAGATTAATCCATTCCAGACTTTAAAAAAAAACCCTAAAACAACAATTTAACATGAATTTTTCTATCTAACAAGACCATTGATCCATAAAATGAAAGCACAATCAATGTACTGTACTATAAAATAAATAAGACAGTATTGTACATGATAAAAATTAAAAAAATTCTTACCTGTACTGATGTTAGTCATTGTTTGGATGGGGGGCTTTGATCCATTTCTGCAGTCACACAATCCATCAATCAGTAGCTGAACTGGGTTCCACACAGTCACAAAAACAAATTAACCGAAAAAGCCTCAAAAACAAAAACACAAATTAAATAGCAAAAACAAAAGCGCCAAACTTAATCCATTCCGGAAGTCTGTATGACTTCTGAAATGTTCGGAAACCAAGGCACAGATTCTGATTGGTGCAGGTGCCCTGGAAACAATAGCTGACAGCCACATTGGGTGTTCAGATTCCAAAAAATGTTCGAAAACAGCAACACTTCTAGGTTTTCAGAGTTTGGGAACCAAGGCGTTTGAGTACCAAAGCACCAGTGTACAGAAATGCAGGTGCCTTTAATCCAGGGGTCAGCAAGGTTTACCTCGCCTGGGCCGGTTCACTCCAGCTGAGATCCCTCCATTGGCCAGATTGCATGTGTGTCTGTGATTTCCGGCGTCTGCGTCCACATAGACGCGATTTCCAGCACCATGGAAGTGAGTCCCTGCGCCACACTGTGCCGGTTTAGCGCAGCGCGTGGGGACTCGCTGAGTGGGAGGCTCGGTTCAGGGGCGGCTCGTGGGCCAATTAAATGACCCCCGTGGGCCGCTTCTGGTTTATGGGCCTTAGCTTGCCTACCCCTGCTTTAATCCTTTCCTCCTTTTCAAGGCTGGCAGGATCCCTTTCACCTGCTGACATGTGCCTTTGTTCCTTTTGCGTGTCTTTGAGATGCCTGTGTCCCTCTTTGGCAAGAGAGGGCTTGTCTCTGTTAGGATCTAGTTCCATTCCACCTTAAAAGGGAACAGGCATGACTGCTGTGTGTCACATGCCTGTTTACTTCCAGCGCAGATCTGCTGGGAACTTCCGTTTGTATGTTGCTTTTGCTTTTAGCTGTTTTGCTGGAGACGAAGGGAAGCAGACATGTTTTTTCCTTTGTTCCCGAACTATGCTGAATAAATGCTGTAATATACTGCTTACACACGGCTCTGTCCGCCTCTTCTGCTGCGAGAAGATTTATTCACTCTGCTGACAGAGGGTGCACGGGTCTCTAAATGTATCTGAGGCTCGTGTCGCTGATGCTGTTCCAAGGGAGACCGGTGATCGCCCGGCTGCCGGCCGGTGGCTGGAGAGGCCCCTTCCCCTGCCTGAGCCCCCTCCCTCTGTGCGCTTCCTCCCTCAGTCATCTACATCTGTGGGCCGCTGGAGATGCTGCACCAGATCCTGCGCCTGGCGCATTACGAGAGCATGACCCTGGGAGACTACGTCTTCTTCTACGTGGACGTCTTTGGAGAGAGCCTGCGAGCTGAGGGCAACCGGGAGGCGGGCAAGCCCTGGCAGAGCAAGGAGGGCCAGGACCCAGGAGGCCTCCAGGAGGCCTTCCGAGTAAGTCCAGCAGCGGGGGGCGGGGGGGGGCCAAAGAATCATAGAGTTGGAAGGGACACCCTGAGGATCATCTAGTCCAACTCCCTAGAAGATGATATAGGCCCTGATGAAGACTGGTCCTGGGGCTTCAGACCCTGCTCAGGAGGGAGTCCAATGGACACATCAGATGATATGACTTAATCTTAAAGACAAGAGTACCTCTGAGCAGGCACAGAGGGCTCTCTTCCTGGTGCTGTAAGCAAGGCCAGCTGTCTTCTGCTGCCTATCTGCAATTTTGGACCAGTATGAAGTAAGCAGCACATAAGCGGCACACAAAACACAGCCAAACCATTCCACGTTCTAAATCTTATATTAATAATCCAAAAATTGAGAGAACCAGGTACAAAATCTACTACAGAAGCCACAAACAGAAAACTCATTCAAATTGTGTCCAAAAGGAAGATTCAGTCTTTAAAGTTCCTTTAGCCAGGCTCCTGTAGATATCAACAAAGGTAAGTTTGATCGAACGAAGTGTCGGGGATGTTCGCTGAAGGGTTAGATATCAACGATCCGATGCCGCTGTCAATGAAGATGTAACTTCCCCGACACTTCGTTTGCTTACTTCATACTGGTCTATAACGAGAATTGGCAGCCTAGGTTCATTTCTTCAGTATCTGCAATTTTGGGCAGAGCTTTTGGGGTGAGTTAAGAAGACTGGTCCACCTTGGCCCTCCTTTGAGTAACCCCAGACTGCAGGTACTTTTGGCTGGTCAGGTTCAGTTGGGCACCTTCATGAGGGTGAGAAGGCAGCCGGGGGCACAGTTTTTCTAAGGAGCTGAGAGAGGGGAGGAAGGCCTGGCCTGGAGCTGGAGCTGGAGCTGGCAGGGCCACGTCCCCCCCCCCACGGTTTCGGCCTCGTGTGCTGACTCCTCATGGGCGCCTCTGTATAGGGTGACCGGGTGCCACAGGTTGGGTGGCCATCCATCATAGATGCTTTAGCTGCAATTCCTGCATCACAGGGGGCTGGACTAGATGACCCCTGGGGTGCCTTCCAACTCCGCCATTCACACCCCCCTGCCTCTCTTGCAGACGGTGCTGGTGATCACCTACCATGAGCCCCAGAACCCAGAATACCAGAGTTTCCAGAGCCAGCTGATCCTTCGTGCCCGGAGGGAGTCCAACGTGGAGCTCAATGACTCGCTGGTAAGTCCCCGTCGCGTCCCCCCAGCTCCCCCTCTGGAGGAGAGACAAGCAGCCCGCACTGTGGGGCCAGAGGCTTTCCCCTGGCCAGGGGGCTGAGCTTGGGGGCTGCTGGAGGGGGGCACCGAGGGACTGGCTTCAGAGTGGGGGGCAGGCAGGCCGGCACCCCCCGTGGCCTGGGCTTTGAGGTGAGGGCCTTTGCCAGGCTGAGGGGAGGTGCTCCAAACAGGAGCCAAAGATGAGGAGAAAGAGGGCGCTGTGGGTTTGGTGGGGGGATCTTGCTTACGGCTTGCGCTGGGCAGCAGAGGCAGCAGAGGCTGGCTCCAGCGTCTGTGGCAGAAGGACCAGGCAGGCGCCACTTAGCATGGAAAGGGTCACAGGGCAGCCGTGAAAGGGATTTCTGGGAGGGACCCCCCAGGAGCTGAGGAGCATCTGGTCCCTCCAGGGAGGGTGAGCTCAGTGTTCCCCAGGCAAGATGCTGATAATGGGCCTTCAGAGACAGAGGGGAGCCAGTCGAGGGGGCAAAGGGAGCAGATGGGACCGTGTAGCGTAATGCCCCCAAGCATTGTGACTGTATTTTTAGAATGGGTTAGTCGCCTTATGCAAAAAAAGAAATGTCTCAAAGCGATTTGACAGCACAATAAAATGCAAACAGACAGAAAAGTGAATGAAAAGCCAAATGATGTCATTTAAAATGGCGTGTTCTCCTGGGGATCTTCAACTGGTCCAGGCCTGAGACCCAGCCTGCACCAAGGGATCCCCTTTTGCACATTCAAGCCTGATTTATACAGTATCAATGCTAAAGTGATAATTCCATTGTTCCATTAGTATTATTGCTAAGTGATTTTTGCACTGGTTCTGAGCTGAAAGGCTGAAAAGACTCTGAAAATCAGTGGTGCTGAGCAATCTCTCTCTTTCTCTCTGTAAATTAAAACTTAAACCTCCTGACCCACATGTGTAGGAGAAATAGGAGAGCAAAACAGGCTGTGAAGCCCTTTTAGCAGAGTATAAACACTTATGTGCTGTTGCAGCTTACCGGAAGCTATGAATTAGGCAACTATCCTTGTTTATTTGTGGTCTACTGACCTTCCATTTTCTTTGTCCTTGTTGCTAAGAATGAACCACACATTTTAGTAAGATAAACTTATAAGGTTTACTTACATTTCAATGCAGGCAGCAAATACATCAAAGTTGTATGCAGGCAAAAATACTGCTATGTTACAAAATACAAACTTAGTTTCCAAAATGGAGTCTGGGTTTTGATTGGAACCCAGGCATGTACATCTACTCACATTGCTGGCTTGAAAGAAGAGAGAGAGAGAGCACTCAGGCAGGGAGGAAGTAGATAAGATTATCTCCTCTGTTAGAAATTTCTGCAAAAGCATTAAGGAAGTAACCTCAAACAGCCCCTTCTATATTGATTCAGGAACTCTATGAGTGCCAGACCCTCATGTGCCTGTCTGGCAATCATGTATTTGTGATTTTGACTGGAAATGCCACAAATAGGAGAATGTGTCCCAGCCAGATGCCATCTGTGGCCTTAGCTGGAGTTCCACATGGCAGTAGCAGCCAGGCCCATGTAGAGGGTGGCAGGGGGGAACACAGTCCTCCCTACAGCTACGTCGGCTGCACCCCCAAGTCATCATATGTAACTGGGCCAGCTGCTCTGTCATTTTATTTTAACCCGACTCCTGTCCCAGGCCTCAGACTAGCTCTGTGTAGGCCTGGCAACAGCCTTGCTCTCGCAAGCCCCCCATAGCTTCTGACCCACCGACTGAGGTCCTGTGTGCTGCAAAGTGCTCATCCAGTGAAGTCTGGAAAGCTCAAGTACTCAGGGCTCAGAGCCCCTTCCCCAACTCGACAGGCATCTTGGAAACGTCAGAGAAAGGAAGGCTCAGGGGTTGAGGTGGGCGGCTGCAGTGATCAGGCTTCCTATGACAAATCTACAGGAAGAGCAGAGTCCGCCCTTGTGGTCAGCGGCAGAACCTGCTCTCAAGGAGCCCTCCGTGTCGCAAAAGGGGGCAAATGTCTTCCTGTGTTCTTGCCAGCCAGCGTGACCCGTGAGTTTCTGGGGATGCCTGCATTCATAGTTTAATAGAATTGTATATTTGGAAGGGACGCCAGGGGTCATCTAGTCCAGGCCCCTGCAATGCAGGAATTGATATCCTTAATTTTTTAAAAAACACGTTATTAATATTGCTATGTTATCAGTGCTTCTGAAACAGAACATGAGGGTTTTCCCCAGAGTCAGTATGGCTTAAGGGATTTATCTCCAATGGAAATTCCAAACCAAGCAAAATAATAGGGGGACAGAGATGTGAGTCACTTTCCAACGAGGAGAAGCTAAAAGTGTTTTGGGCTTTTGGGTTTAGAAAGAAGGAAGCAGGACAAGATGAGAGGTGTTTATGTATCTCAGCACAGTGTGGGGAGGGGGGGGCTTTCTGTCTGCCTGCCCTCCTGGGAGGCCCAGAACTCAGCTCTCCCTCAGAGATGCTCCTCCCAGCATCTTTGTGTTGTTTCTTCCTGTGCGCAGGAGGAGAGTCACCGGCTGGCTGGGGGTCCCTGAGTCCCTGGGACTGGGGGTGAATTGAACCAAGGTCTGCCCCCTTTGGTCACGCTTTCTATGCCTTGCAAAGGGGTCCTGGGGTGGGCAGCCCTTCCCTCTCCCTGTCCACTCATGTACCAGGATGAATGTTGTTGTTGTTACATTTATATGCATCTCACAGCTTGTGTGGGATAGGTGATTGGCTGGTAGCTCTGGGAGCCTTCCCAGCATGTGACTGGAAAGAGAAAAGGGGAACAGCTGGTTGTGAATGGGCTTGCGGGGGGTGTGTGTGTGCTCCTCCTCCTCAGTTTTCCCATGAGTGGCAATGGGTGCCAAGTGTTGGGCTGCTGGTCCTGATGGCTCTGCCTGCCTCCAGAATCAGAGGCTGCAATGCTTCCAAACCCCAGGAGAGGAGAGGGCTGCTCTCAGGCCTCAATCCTGCTTGCTGCTTTTCCAGAAGAGGCATCTGGTCAGTCCCTGTGAAAACAGGATGCTGAGCTCGATGGGCCGCTGGTCAGATCCAGCAGCCTCCTCTCCTGTTCTTGTGGTGGGGGAGGCGATGACGAGAGTCCTGATCTGGGACAGGATGTTGCAAGCCTGATAAAGATCAGCTGCAGAGAGGACCAGAGTTTGGAGAGCCTCTTTCTCCCGCCTGCCTTGGAAGATGGAGAGGGACCTCTGTGCCAGATGCAGGGACACAAAGCCCACCGTTCTTGGGGTGAGGAGCTGAGTCTTTCCCTCCCCGTCCCCGGAAGATGTTTGGGGAGGAACGGAAGCTCTCCTCCCCAAGGTGTGTGTCTGGAGGGGAGACCTCGGAGCTCAGCCCAAGCCAGGCCCATCTGCACCCATCTTTGCTGACAGGAAGCTGCCCCCCCCGCATTGCTGCTCCTGTTTCCAGGCTTCCTCTCCTCCCTCCCCCGCCTGCCTCCCCAGGGAATTCCTGAGAATCAAGTCAGAATCCAAGGAGGGGTCTCAGAGGGACCCTGTTCAGGTCCCCCACTCTGCCAGGGAGCCCGTGACCCTCTCTTGAATTGACCCACCTGGCAGGGTGGTTGTGAAGAGAGCATGGGGGCACCCCCTGCCCATTGCTGCAGCCATGGGGTTCTGGGAGGAGGAAGGCAAGGTGAGAAATAAATAGGGAGGCAAAGAGGAGTCAGAGGAAGAAAAGTGGGATGCTGTCAGCTATACAAAGAGGCGGTGTTAGAAACTCAGATATATAAGCTAGGTGTCAAATGGCTCCTTAAAGCAGGGGTATGGTTGCCAAAATGGAATATCTGGTTGTCATTTTGGGGCAAGATGGCTCTAAAGTCTTATTTTTCAAATGATGGACTAACTGATTGATTATCAGTTAAACATCTGGCTAGTTCAGATGACAACCTTGAGCTAGGTTAAGAATTTTGAGAACTTAATTTTGGTCGCAAGTGGGAGAGAGCCGGGTGCAAAATGTGCCTGGTGCCTGGCTAATTTTGAACACTGCAAAGATGGTGTGGTGGGAATCTGGGGGAGGAGGAATGTTCTTCCTCAGGGGCCATTTGCTGAAACCATAGAATGGCAGAGCTGGAAGGGATCCGAAATGTCACCATCACGTACAACTGCCTTCGATGCAGGAATCACAGATAAGGATTCCAAAGTGCAGCCCTTCTTCTCTGTAAAAATGGACATTTCGTTTGGGGTGGAAGGAGAGTGGACCTGGGATGCCTGAGAGGAAGTCCCTGTGCCTGAAGGGGGATTCCTTCCGTTGGACATTCCTGCGACATCTTCTGAACTTGGCCATCGGTGAGGGTGTAAGGAGACAGCTGCGGTGTCCCTTGGGTGCTGGTCCCACTTGACCCCCAGGACCTGAGAGGGATGGAGGCTGGACAAGGCTCCTCCAGATCACTGAGTCCCAGGGGCTGGTGGGGCTTTGGGGGCTGGGCCTCTGCCAAGGCTGTGGGAATGTTCAGGAAGGCAAGAGAGGATATATTGTTTATTAATATCCTTCCTAACTTGTGCTAGCAAGTTCCTTTACTTAGCAGAGTTTCACATTCCCCTTTTAAATGCACAGCGGATAGCTGGTTGCAGGCTTGTGTAAGCCTCTCACTATTAGGTTCCTGGTGAGTTCCCTTAGATCCCTCTTAAAAGAATAAACACACCACAATCTTGTGTAAAGTATATAAAAGAAGTTTACTCACATTATCAGTTCACAGTTGGATCCCTGAAGGCAGACTTAGTTACAAAGTATTCACATGTGGATCTACCCCATATAGGGGGTTAATCCCAGTGACTGCAGACTGGCAGCCACTGCAGTTCACACGACAAAAGGAAGACGGAAAAGAGGGAGGTTTTGCTTTTGTTACCTGCACAGGTAAGGTCACACCTACCTCTAGTTATATGCAAAAGGAAGTATGTCCCAGCCCAGGAGGAAACAGGAAGTTCTGACTGGCTGGACCAAACATCCCCTTGCATGTCCACTCTAGGAAAACAAGGAATGTTGTACTTGACTGCTACGTATGTAGCACGTCCCACAAAGTCTGGTGGTGGCCGTGATGAGAGTGTCCATCTGCCTCCAGGCTGGGCTTGGTATCTGCCTCTGCTTGTGGGCCTGCAGATCCTGCCTTCAATCCCACCCACGCCCTGTTTCCTTTCTCTCTGTCCCCCCCATGGCAGAAGAACCTCGTGGCCGGCTGCTTCCACGACGGGCTCCTCCTCTACGCCATGGCCCTGAACGAGACGCTGCAAGAGGGCGGCACCAAGCGCAACACCAGCCGCATCCTGGAGAAGATGAAAGGGCGCAAGTTCCAGGGTAACTGGGCGCTGGAGGCCGGCGGGGTGGGGCGGGGGGCCTGTGGGAGGCAGCTGGCAGGTGGCCTGAGCCAGGATAAGGCAGGCAGGGGTGGGCTCTCATGCTCGGAATGGGTCCCCAGAGGATGATAATGTGGGAATGTTCAGGGTGGCAGGAGAGGATATATTGTTTATTAATATCCTTCCTAACTTGCGCTAGCAAGTTCCTTCACTTAGCAGAGTGCATTCCCCTTTACACAGCAAAAAGCTAGTTGCAAACTCGTGTGAGTTTCTTAAGACAATACGCAATTCAGTCTGGCTTGTCCAGATTGAAATGTCTCCTAATATTTTCCTGGTAAGACCCCTTGAATCCCTCCTGAAAGAATAAAGACACCACAGTCTTATTCATAAGCAACAAAAAGAAAGTTTACTCATGATCAGGCAGAGGACAGTGTGATCCCTGAAGACAAGCTTAAGGCTTAAAGTTACATACAAACAGGTTTACCCCATAAGGGAGATTTACCTAGTGACTGCAGGTAGCAGCCCAGCAGTTCACAGGACAAAAAGAGGAAACAGGGAGGTGTGCTGCGTGACTCGTCCTTTTGTTACCTGGACAGGTGAGGTCACGCCCACCTTTTATCACATGCAAGGAAGGATGCTCCAGCCAGGAGGAACAGGAAGTTTCAACTGGCTGGACCAAACATTCCCTTACATGTCTTCTCTAGCATTACAAGGAATGATGTACTTGACTGCTCCCAGTGGATTACATCCCACAGATGACAAGGCAGAAGGCCATCTCTTCCTCCTCCTCCTCCTCCTCGCCCTCCATGTGTCATGAGTAGCAATGGGGGTCAAGTAAGGCGACTCGGCTCTGCCTCCATGATCAGAGGCCGTCGTGCTTCTGAACACCAGTTCCTGGAAACCACAGGAATGGAAGCGTAGAAGGGTAGAGCTGGAGGGGACCCCAAGGGTCATTTAGTCTAACCCCATGCAATGCAGGGATCACAAAGGAAGCATCCTTGTCAGATGGCCATCCAGCCTCTGCCTAGAAACCTCCAAGAAAGGAGAGTCCCATGGGGCTGGCCATTGTGAGAACAGGATACTGGACAGGATGGGCCCCCTTTGCCTGATTCAGCAGGATCTCCTTATTGTGGTAAGAAAATAGATCACCGTGATCCATGTGTGTAGGGGAAATTTTAAAAAATCAGCTGGATACCTGGATTCAAAACACGGGGCTTTACACACTTTCCAGTGTGTTATTTACAAATTCCAAGGTCTGATTCGTGCATTATTCCAGGCAGCAACAAGAAGAACACAGGTAGAAAAGTTTTGGGTAAAAAATACAGATGGCTTCAAATACATGCTCTAAGCTTGGAGCACTAGGTTACATGGCGAGAAGAGAATGTGAGGAGCAGGAAGAGAAGGCTTCACTTCCTCTCTCTCCAGTGAAAAGGGGGCGTGCCCCACCTGAGTCTAGGAACACAGCTCTGTGATCTTAACCCTTTTCTGCACTAGCTAGCACTCGTGCATTGTTGTGTTTGACTGCCATTTCCCCCACATATAGCCTTCTCTCTTTCCTGCCCTCCTCCTGCCCACAGGGGTCACTGGGACAGTCAGCATGGATGACAACAATGACCGTGACACAGACTTCAACTTGTGGGCCATGGCGGACGTGGAGAGTGGCAAATTCCAGGTGTGAGCGGGAGCAAATAAGCAGTGTGGAGAGGGTGACCCTGGTGTGGGTCGGGGATGGAGGGTGAACCAAACAGGCGCCAGGGAGGAGTCCTCTGGGGAGAAGAAGGGCTGGATCCAGTCCTCGGTTTGGAATGCCTGCCCTTGGGGCAGGGCGAGAGGGGGCTGGGTGGCCCACACGGGTGTGTTGGAGCGAGGCAGGGACCCTCTGCCCTCGTGAGCCAAACTCTTCCCCCTCTCCCCACAGGTAGTGGGGCACTATGTGGGAGCAGAGAAGCAGATGAACTGGCTGGGAGCCATCCCCTGGGTGAAGGGGGCACCGCCGCTGGACAACCCCCCCTGCTTTGACATGGACGACCCCTCCTGTGACAAAAGTGGGTGCATCTGGTCCCCCAAGGGTTGGCCCTCCCACCTCATTGCACCCCAAGCCTGAGGGTGGGGGGCGGCCACCTCTCACCTTCCTTTGCTGCCCCTTTTGCCACCCCCCAGATCGGCAGCATTGCGCCTCCCCCCTATGTTTCAGCGAGTCCAGCTGGCCAAAGCAGATCTCCTCCTGAGGCGATTCTGGCCAGGTATGCCAGGATCTTCCCCCCTGGTGCCACTCTGCCACTGTCCTTGCAGGTCCCCTCAACACGCTGGCCATTGTGGCGTTGGGCGCGGGACTCACCTTCCTCATGTTTGGCGTCTCCAGCTTCCTGATCTTCAGGTGAGTGAGCCCCAGGTGAGAGTCTCCTGGGCCAGGCGCATGGGAAGGTGGGCGGTGGGAACGAGGGAGACCCAAGGTGCTGAGGCAGAGCGCAGTCTGCTGTCAAGGGGGGGCAAGGACCCCCCCCCACGACAGGTGGGGCTGAAACACCACGGCTTGGTTCTGTGCCCACCTGGCTTAGCTCAGATGCTTTGGCTCAGCCGAGTGTTTCCACTGCACTGCCCCCCCCCCCACATTCTGGAGCTGCCACAAGTGGGGAGGAGAATTAGAGCCCCAGAGTGATTCTGTGAATCGCACTCGAGCCCTTGCAGCTGCTCAGGACTCTAAACATTGCTTGGCTGATGCCAGCTGGCTCAGTAGCTCTGGACCTGCTCTGGGCAAGGGGTGCCCCCCCACGCCACCCCGTGACCTTCTCCAAGGACAAGCGGTCTCTCCTTCCCAGCCCTCAGTGTATGCCTGGCCTGACCGACTGGTCCACTCCAATGCCCTGCCAGTCCCAGAACATGTGAAAGGATGGCAGAGCACAGAGAGATTCGGAGCATGTACAGAGTGCTTTCAAAATGGCCACTGTGGAACCGCAGCCAGGCCTCAGAAACACACCTTTGTTTCTTCCGTGAGTCATCCCAACCCAGCCTCACAACTGGGACTCCAGAGCAGAAAGCAGGACTGTGGGAGACTGAGTGAGGATTAAATCTGTAGATTAAAATTTAAACCACCCGCCCCACGTGTGTGGGAGAAAGACAAAAAGCAGAAGCACTTCCATGTTTGGCAACTTATTGAATCTTAGGAATTGGAATTTTCATTGTGTTCTGCTGACCTTCCCCCCTTTTGCAGAGAATGAACCATGTTTCTAGTAAGATAAGCCAAAAAAGTTTACTTACGTTTCGACGCAGGCAGCAAATACAGCAATGTAGTAGGCAGAAAAATACTTCTAAGTTACAGTAAAGTAAAAGTTGGTAGTGTCAAAATAGGGTGTGTTTGTCTGGAGCTCCCAGACACACGTCTGCTCAGCTTGGAAGAATGGTGGGAAGACAGAGTCTCCTCAGAGGCAGAAGGAAGTGCAAGGGACTATCTCCTTTGTTCCAGTATTCCCGACCAGAGGAGGCAAAGGAAGCGGCCACACACACAGGGTAGTTTAGTAACTCTATGTGTACTAACCCTGTGCTTTAGCAAAACATGCATTTGTGATTTGGCTACAAAGCCTTTTAGCGCTTGTCAGCCAGGACGCCTGAGCAGAGCCTCCATGTTGAAAGGCAGTCTACCTGTGAGTAGTAGAGACAAGCCGTGTGTGCGGTGGCAGCCTGGTGGGCTTCCCGGAGGAGGCATTTTGGGGTGGGGTGAGGCTCCTTTGAGGGAAAAAGGGAGGCTGGATTTGCAGTGGGCGGGGCTCACCTTGGTCTGACTCCTCCCCCTTCCTCCCCAGGAAGCTGATGCTGGAGAAGGAGCTGGCCAGCATGCTGTGGCGGATCCGCTGGGATGAGCTCCAGTTCGGGAGCTCAGAGCGCTACTACAAGGGGGCTGGGAGCCGCCTCACTCTCTCCCTGGTGGGTCTCGTTGGAGCCCCATGGTCTTCCCAGAGACACCCCCCCATTGCCCTGGGGCTCTCCAAGGCCCCCCCTCCTCTGCTCTTCCTTCCTCTCCAGCAGCCATCTCCCCCCTCCCACCCTTCCGCTCTGGCCTGGGCAGCTGCCCAGCTGGCACACACAAAGACACAGCTGCCCAGCTTTTGCCATTCAGGCAGGTGACTCTCTGTCTTCTCTCCCCCCGTCCCAAGCGTGGCTCCAGTTACGGCTCCCTGATGACAGCACATGGCAAATACCAGATTTTTGCCAACACCGGGCTCTTCAAGGTGAGTGTCGTGCTTTTCGGCCTGCCTTCATATCTATTGGGGGCTCAAGTTGTGGGGAGCGGTGAAGTGGGGGTCCCACCCCTCCCCTTTCTCCCTCTGACCCCTCTTCTTCTCGGCCAGGGGAACGTCGTGGCCATCAAGCATGTCAACAAGAAGAGGATTGAGCTGACCCGCCAGGTCCTCTTTGAGCTGAAACACGTAGGTACCTGCCATGGGGTGGGGGTGGGGGGAGAAGCCAAGCTGGGGTGGGGGACAACTTGTGGGGCCTAGCCTGGCTCCAGCAGGTGTTGAGCCCAGAACCACACCGAGAGCATGTTTGTTGCCTGGGCTGCCGCTGCCGCTTTTGGACCATAAGAACAGAATCACAGAATCATAGCGTTAGAAGGGACCCAGGGGTCATCCATCCCAACCCCCTCCAGTGCAGGAATCTCAACTCAAGCATCCAAGACATATGGTTACCCAACCTCCACTTTAAAAGCTCCAATGAAGGAGAGGTCCACAACCTCCCGAGGGAGTCGTGCTGGATGAGGCCAATGGCCCACCTGGTTCAGCATCCTCTTCTCCCCCATATGGACCTAGCAACTGAGATAGACTGCCTCTGGGTCTGGAGGTTCCATAAGAGACCACAAAGAGCCAAAGGGGGCCCATCTGGTCCAGCCTCCCAGTGGCCAACCAGATCCCTCCAATGGGAAACCCTCAAGGAGGACCTGGGCACAAGAGCAGCCCTCTCCCTTCCCTTGGTTTCCAGCAACTGGAATTCAGAAACATTCCGAGGCAGACCACAGCCATCCTGGCTCAGAGCCACTGATCTCTCTCTCCCCTGAAGGAATTTGTCAAATCCCTCTTTAAAGCCCTCTTGGTTGGTAGTGCCAGATTGACGTATAAGCTAAACAAGCTATAGCTTAGGGCCCCACTCTCTTGGGGGCCCCAATTTTTTTTAAAGGAAAAAAACCTGGATGCACTTTGATAAAATACATATTTTGTTATATGCAAATGGTTTTAGATACTTATTGGGTCCATAAATTAGCATATAGTATATATATTCAACACAAAAACAGCAACAATTTGTTTTTGACAAAGGACACCTGGACATAGAAAGGGCCCCATTACGGACTTCCGGGGTGGCGCCATCGGTAATGGCGGACTCCCTCTGATCCGGAGGGACTGGCTCTATGGGAATCGGGTCTGTTCCGCTACGGCGAAGCGGGGACCCTTTAAAAAATCACAGGCGGGTGAAGCCTGTGACCGTGGGACTCGGCGGGCACCTTTTGCGCCCCCCCCCAATCTGCAAAGGAGCCCAATTACGGGCTCTGGAGTGAAGCGGGGAAGCGGCGCGGTGCTGAGAGTCAACTGCTTCTTCCGTGGAGCGAAGCCGCACAGCTGTTACCAGAGAGCGCTACCTTTTTCCTGTGACAATCTGGCAACAAAAACAACTACCCGTGAGTAGGTTAATTTTGGAAAATAAAGGAGAACAAAGACGTAATTTGACACCGAAGCGGGGAGGCATAAACAGGAAGTCTGCCTTCCGTTCTTTGTAAATAGAGCAAAGCAATGAACTTGTAAGCTAAAACCTTGAAAGACGCTTGAAAAGGACTATAATTCTAACATCAAAACAAGCAATCTCCCCCCTTGGCTGCAGGAGAGGAGGGGGGAAAGGTGTGAACTGTATTTCCCTGCAAAAAGAGAGAAAAGGAAGCTAAAATCCACCGCTTAAAACCTGGGAACGGGCTGCCATTGGACAACAAGAATGCCGTACTGTGAAATGCGCTGTTAGTGAATAGAGTACTTTTTGACAGCTAACTCTGCAAGTGAGATACAATGTTTCTGGCTGGCTTCCCCTGGTTTTAAAGTAACTAGAAAATAATTGAAATTGAAACTGTTGTCTATTTTGTGAATTGGGGGATTAAAAAAAAGGTTATTTATTTTAAGGCAACAACTTTTGACTGCTACTGTGTCCCCCTAGAGGAAGTTTGAAACTGTTACAATAACAACTGGGCCAGGGGAATTTTCCACTTCAAAACAAATTCTGGTCGTGGGATTGACCTTGGGCCTTATCTAGAGTGTTATGGCAAATGGAAAAGAAAAAATAGATTTGCTTCAGGAAAAAACAACGAGGTCTGGTAGATCATTTCGCCCAAACGTTGGGCTGCAGCAAAGAGCATCAACATCTGGCCCTTCTGGCTTACCAACAGGGGCTGCATTGGCACAATCTAAACCTAAAGGAATGGCATCCGAAGATGTTTTAGCTCAGGCACTAGGTAAAATTAATGAATCTCTGGAAAAACTAAGTAAACAAGTAGCTGACGCATCAATCAAAATTGATCAAAATACTACAAGTATCAACAATTTGGGACAGAAGGTAAATACTAATACAGAAACTATTGAGAAAGTGCTACAGGAATCTACTTTGACCCGAAAGACAGCTGAAGAAGCAAAGGAAATAGCAGTTTCTGTAGAAGAAAAGATACCACCGATACATAAGCAACTTGAAGACCACAGGTTGATATTGTCTATGATTGAATTGAAGGAGAAACAAACGAATTTGAGGATCAGGGCTGTACCTGAACTTGAGAAAGACAATCTGACTGACTTTCTTATGCAGGAATTTGCAGACTTTTGGAACCCAGATTTGGAGAAGGAAGACTTTAAGATAGTGAGTGCTTTCAGGCTGGGAAGAGGAGGGAAGAAGAACAGGGTGAGAGACTGTTTGATCACCCTCCGAACAAAAGAGGAGAGAGACAAAATCTTGAGTCTGCACTTCCAGAAGACTTTGGAAATACACCAGTCAAAAGTGGAGATATTTAAAGACATTCCGAAATATCTTTTGGACCTTAGGTCCAATTATGGAGATTTGGTTGCCCTGTTGAGAAGTAACAGAATCATCTTTAGGTGGGAATTTCCCCAAGGCCTATCTTTTAGCTTCAAAGGAAGAAAGATAAAAATAAGATCAGTGGACCATCTTCGCGCCACAAATTGCGTAACCAGTTTCTTGCTTCCCCATGCAGATGAGACACAATAAAACCCACTTTTTCCTCCTCATCTTTGAAGTCTTTTCGAAGCAAATGCAGCGCGTATACGACGTCTGCTCTGAAAGTGGGATAATGCTTCAGGTTCCCATCGAAGTGGGCTACTAAATTGCCCCCTCCGTCCGAGTCCGATTCCCTCTGATCTGGACCCAGGAACCCTCTCTGCACGCCCGATCCCACCTGGCTTGCAGATCCTGGCATCGCGCTTCTGCTTCGGCAACTGTCTTCTGAGAGACCACGACGGCAGTGGAGAGCTCGGTGACTGCATTTTGCAGGGACGCTATCTGCTCCTCAGTAGTCATCGCTGCCAAACTTCGTGAGCTGTGCAAAAAAAAATTTTGCGGTTTTTTTGTTTTGGAGAGGGGACTTACTGTCAAGGCTGCCTCAAGTCTCAGCTCACAAAAGACCAACGCCTATGTCTTCTTATATACAAAGGTGTTTATTGCAGTTCATGGTTTGCTTGACATCCTAGGCGCGCAGCCTTACGTCTCTTACGCTAGACCGCTGAAGTCCCCTCTGAGTCAGTCCCTCCCTGCACCAATTTAAGAGACTTGCGCTGCTCCACCTCTTTCTCTCCTTCCTTTTCCGCAGGGTCCTTCTGCCCGCTGGGGTTTCGCCCCTCCTGGATTCCTCTGACGCTGAATCCCCAGACTGCTCTTCCCCCTCCTGCGGGCTTTGGGACCTGGCCCCTCCTCCGGGCTCCCTGTACTTCCGCGCGCCTCTACATTTGAACTAGGCGCGCGCGCCAAACCTCTAACTTTCCTTTTGACAGTTACACTACTCCCTTCACTGCTCCCTCCCCTTCCGGAAGGGCGGCTTGCTCTGACCTCCCTCCTTTCTCTGCTCCCGGAGCTGCTTCCTCTGACACACTGGAAACTCCACACACTTCGCTGCACTCTGGTGGGGAGGCTGGTCCTGACGCCCAGCGGCCACTATGGGATCCTCCGCTCGCACCCTGCTCCTGACACGTCCCCCTGGGGCTCCCTGGCCTTAACCACCGGCGCCCCTTCTGGGAATCCTCTGATTCGCTGGAAAGACTCATGGAATCTCTTGAGTCATTGTCATCCTCTTCCTCGCTGGCTTGGAATTCCTCCCCATCGCTCTCCATCTCCTGCCTACCCTGTGCCTCTGTCCCTGAACCCCTGACAACATGTGATAAGGCTACATAGAAAAGTATTGATTAATAAAAGACTGGGCCAGGAATTTATCTCATCGGATAAAGTTAAAAAAAGAGGAGTAGTGATTTATGCAAAGGAGAGACTATCACTGAAATTTATCTTTAAAGATGACCAAGGAAGATTTGTGGCAATTGAAATTCAAATACAAGGAGAGAAATTCTTAATAGTAGGAGTTTACGCACCAAATGAGGGGAAATCTGAATTCTTTAAAAAGTTGCATGAGACCTTGATGGACTATTTGGACTATAATGTGATTTTGATGGGAGATATGAACGGAGTGGTATCTAAAAATATGGACAAGGCACAAAGACAGGTAGTCACTAAGGATGGTAGACTACCGAAAACCTTTTTTGAGATGACAGACAATTTGGATTTAGTTGATATCTGGAGAACAAAGAATCCCTTGGCTAGAGAGGGAACCTTCTTCTCTGAAGCCAAAATGACATGGACAAGAATTGACCAAATATGGGTAACTAGAGGAATGGCACCAAAGACAAGAAAAGTGGAAATTTGTCCAAAAACCTGCTCCGACCATAATGCTGTGAAGTTGGAGATGAAACTAACACCAACTGGCTCCTTCAGATGGAAGATGAATGACACCTTATTTAGAGATGAAGAAGTACTAAAGAAGGCCCAAAAAACCTTAAGAGACTATTTCGAGATAAATATGAGCACTAATGTTGAAAAAAGAGTAATCTGGGACGCAAGCAAAGCTGTTATGAGAGGGTTCTTGATACAACAGAATGCAATAAAGAAGAGAATTCAAAATGAGAAGAAGGATAAAATATTGGAGAAAATAAAGGAAAGTGAAAAGAAATTGAGAGCAAAACCAAAGTCGCAAGAGATCTTGAGAGAAATAAAGCTATATCAAGTACAATACATGAAAATGATGAATCAGGAGATAGAATGGAAAATTAAACAAATGAGACAAAAGACATTTGAGTCGGCTAATAAATGTGGGAAATTGTTGGCCTGGCAAATGAAAAAAGACAAAAACTAAACACTATTATAAATTTAGAAGTGGAAGGAAAGAACATACAGAACCCAGTCGAGATTAGAAACTGTTTCCAGAGGTATTTTAAACAACTATATACACAAGGGCCACAGAAAGAAATTGATCTAGACCGATTTTTGAAAATAAATGGATTACAAAAAATCTCTCAAGAAAATAAATTAATGCTGAACTATAAAATAACTGAACAGGAGGTAGAAGGTGCCATTCAGAATATGCAATTAGGTAAATCTCCAGGACCGGATGGACTGACTTCTAGATATTACAGATCCTTAAGTAAGAGAATGGTTAGTACAACCTTTAAAGGAAGTCTGTAATGAAAGAATGGATGGGAAAAGGGCACCAGAGTCGTGGAAGGAAGCGTATATCACACTTATACCGAAAACAGAGACTGAAAAGACGCAGCTTAAGAACTACTGCCCCATATCACTGCTTAATGTGGATTATAAAATTTTTGCAGACATTTTGGCTAAAAGACTAAAAAAAGTGTTAGTGGAAGAGATTCATAAAGATCAAGCAGGCTTTCTCCCGGGTAGACACTTGTCTGATAATATGAGAAACATAATTAATATTTTAGAAAAATTACAAGTGAATATTAATACCAAGGCAGTTTTGATATTTCTGGACGCGGAGAAAGCTTTTGACAATATTTCTTGGAGTTTTATGAAGAAGAATCTACAGGGGATGGGGGTAGGCCAAGGCTTTGGAAACGGTATAAGTGCAATTTATTCAGAACAAAAGGCTAAATTAATTGTTAATAACGTGGTGATGGAGGAATTTAAGATAGAAAAAGGGACACGACAAGGTTGCCCAATTTCCCCATTGCTTTTTATATCGGTCCTGGAGGTTTTGCTGAATATGATTAGAAGGGACCAATTGGTTAAAGGTATACAAGTCGGAGCTAAACAGTACAAATTGAGAGCATTTGCAGATGACTTAGTATTGACATTACAGGAGCCAGAATCTAGTACTAAAAGAGTTTTGGAACTGATTCAAGAATTTGGTCAGGTTGCAGGATTTAAACTGAATAAGCTAAAAACAAAGGTCTTAGAGAAAAATTTAACAGCGATTGAGAGAGAGAGGTTTCAGAATGAGACAGGTTTAACAGTGGTTAAGAAAGTGAAATACCTGGGGATTAACATGACAGCTAAAAATGGGAACCTATTTAAAGACAATTATGAAAAATGCTGGACTGAAGTGAAAAAAGATTTAGAAATCTGGTCAAATTTGAAGCTTTCACTGTTAGGCCGTATTGCTGCGATAAAAATGAATGTATTGCCTAGAATGTTGTTTCTGTTTCAAACATTGCAAATTTTGGATAAAATGGATTGCTTCAAGAAGTGGCAGAGAGGTATTTCTAGATTCGTCTGGCAGGGCAAGAAGCCTAGAATAAAATTTAAAATACTAACGGATGTAAAGGAAAGAGGTGGATTTGCCCTGCCAGACCTTAAACTTTATTATGAATCAGCAGCTTTTTGCTGGCTGAAAGATTGGCTGCTTCTTGAAAACACAGACATTTTGGATTTAGAAGGTTTTAATAATGTATTTGGATGGCATGCATATTTGTGGTATGATAAGGTCAAAGCACATAAAGCATTTAAAAATCATATTGTCAGGAAAGCATTGTTTAATGTCTGGATAAGATATAAGGACCTACTTGAAAATAAAACCCCAAGGTGGCTGTCACCGATGGAAGCGAAGGCTCAGAAAAAGCTCAATATGGAGGCCAAATGGCCGAAATATTGGGAAATCTTGGAACAAGAGGGAGACAGATTGAAATTGCAGAGTTTTGAAAAATTAAAAAATAAAGTGCGAGATTGGCTTCATTATTATCAGATAATGGAGGCATATAATTTGGACAAGAAAATTGGCTTCCATGTGGAAAAATCAAAATTGGAAACAGAACTGTTAGAACCCAAAACCAAGATTTTGTCAAAGATGTATAACTTGCTGTTGAAATGGAATACTCAGGATGAAACGGTGAAATCTGCTATGATTAAATGGGCACAAGATGTTGGACATAACATAATGATGGCTGACTGGGAACAGTTATGGACCACAGGTATGAAGTTTATGGCATGTAATGCTTTAAGAGAGAATATTATGAAAATGATTTACAGGTGGTACATGACACCAGTCAAGCTAGCAAAAATCTATCATTTGCCCGATAATAAATGTTGGAAATGTAAAGAAACTGAAGGTACTTTCTTTCACCTTTGGTGGACGTGCCCAAGGATTAAGGCTTTCTGGGAGATGATATATAATGAATTAAAAAAGGTATTTAAATATACCTTCTTGAAGAAACCAGAGGCCTTTCTCCTGGGCATAGTCGGCCAATCGGTGTTAAAGAAGGACAGAACTTTCTTCATGTATGCCACAACAGCAGCAAGAATACTTATTGCAAAGTATTGGAAGACACAAGATTTACCCACTGTGGAAGAATGGCAGATGAAGGTGATGGACTATATGGAACTGGCAGAAATGACTGGCAGAATCCGAGACCAGGGAGAAGAGTCGGTGGAAGAAGATTGGAAGAAATTCAAAGATTATCTACAGAAATACTGCAAAATTAATGAATGTTAAAATGATGTTGGATTGAAGTTAAGTGGTTTTTAGCAGCAATGTTAAAAGGAATATGTAAAAATGGATTGTTAACAGGTGATAATCTAAAGTTATTATATTTTAAGATAAGAGATTAAGATAAAATCAAAGAGGGAAAGGATTTGCTGAACTAACTAATTTGAACTGGAATACGAAAAGGGAGGTGTGAGGAGGTCGGGGAAACAAGCAAATGAAAGATAAGACATGGAAAGACTAATTTGTTTTTTAATTGTTTTTATCTTGTATTTTCATTTTTTTTCTTTATTTCTTCTTTCTTTTTTTGCTTATCTTTGTAATATGTTGAAACTTTAATAAATATCTTTAAAAGAAAGAAAGAAAGAAAGAAAGGGCCCCATTACCTTCAGCAGCTTAAAGGTAAAGGTAAAGGGACCCCTGACCATTTCCTGCTTGGCAGGGGGTTGGACTCGATGGCCCTTGTGGTCTCTTCCAACTCTATGATTCTATGATTCTATGATTCTAGGTCCAGTCGTGGCCGACTCTGGGGTTGCGGCGCTCATCTTGCTCTATAGGCCAAGGGAGCCGGTGTACAGCTTCTGGGTCATGCGGCCAGCAGGACTAAGCCGCTTCTGGCAAACCAGAGCAGCGCACAGAAATGCCGTTTACCTTCCCGCCAGAGCGGTACCTATTTATCTACTTGCACTTGGATGTGCTTTCAAACTGCTAGGTTGGCAGGAGCAGGGACCGAGCAACGGGAGCTCACCCTGTCGTGGGGATTCGAACTGCCAACCTTCTGATCGGCAAGCCCTAGGCTCTGTGGTTTATCCCACAGCGCCACCCGCGTCCCTCTTCAGCAGCTTAGGGCCTCATCAAACCTAAATCTGGCTCTGGTAGCCATCACTGCCTCCTGCAGGGGAGAGTTCCACAGTTTAGCAATGCAGCCCTCCTCTCCTTATATGTGTGCCTGTGGGCGGATGGAGAAGGGAAGGATGGCACCAGGAGACAGGATAAAGGCATGGGCCACATAAACCAGCCTTTGCCAACCTGGTGCCCTTCTTCGTGGCCATTCTGGGGGCTCCTGGCCGAAAGATTTCCTACCTGTCTCTGCCCATTTGCAGATGCGGGACGTGCAGTTCAACCACTTGACGCGCTTCCTCGGGGCCTGCATTGACCCACCCAACATCTGCATTGTGACTGAGTATTGCCCCCGGGGCAGCTTGCAGGTAAGGAAGCACCTGGGCACAGGTGTGTATCTGTTCCCTGCATGGCTGCAGCCGGGGAAGGAGAGGGAGGTCACGGTGAGCATCCTGGGGGGGCGGGTGTGCAGTGCCCTCCCCAACCCCCCAGTGCTGTGGGAGGGGCTGTTTTCATGTGGGGGCAACACCTAACTGCTGCTCTGCTTCATCTCCCCTCCCTCCGCCCCCCGACAGGACGTCCTGGAGAATGAGAGCATCAACCTGGACTGGATGTTCCGCTATTCGCTCATCAATGACATTGTCAAGGTGGGGGGCTCGGGAGGTGGCAAGAGGGAGCCCCACAACCAGGCTTGATGGGGGAAATGCAGCTGCCCTCTGAAAAGAGAGGAGCCCCCCAGAGCATGGAAAGGGACAGACTGGGCAAATAGCCTCTTTGCTGGGGGCTCCAGCCGCGGCCAGGATGGCACCCCACAGTGGGGCCTCTCTGCCCTCTAGCTGCATCCTGGCCAGCAATGCCAGTATCTTCCAAGCCTTTCCTTGGTTTGGGTCCCTCTGCTAAAACCTTCTCCTCTAAGTCCCGCCCCCACATGCTTGATCATTGCAGGAGCTGCCACTCACCCAATCACCTGTGTGGGTCATGGGGCCTGCCCTGGCCTTGCGCCTCCTGCCTTGGGAGGAGAGTGGGTGCCCCTTGTTGCTTCTGCTTCTCCTGCGGGTCCTTCTCAGCAGCCTCCCCCTCTCTGCCTGACACAGGGCATGGCTTTCCTGCACAACAGCATCATTGGCTACCACGGGAGTCTCAAGTCGTCCAACTGCGTGGTGGACAGTCGCTTCGTTCTCAAGATCACGGATTATGGCCTGGCTAGTTTCCGGCAGAGCAGTGAGAGCGAGGGCAACCATGCCCTGTATGCCAGTGAGTGTCCTTCCCACCCTGGCGGCAGGATGTGCCATCTCCTGTCTTTCCCCCTTTCCTCCAGACCAGCGAGGGCCTTCTCTGCTGCCCTCTCTGGGCTCAGCGAGTGCCCATGCTGCCAGGTTGAGGGGTCCCCATCTCCACTACTTGGGCTGGTCTTTGCCATTGGGAGCAGAGGTGGGAGCCCCTGGCCTCCTGACCCCCACCTCCTTTCCTTGATTTTCCCCCTACCCCCAGAGAAGCTGTGGACGGCCCCAGAGCTGCTGCAGAAGGGGCCTCTGGTCCTCTCCCCACTGGCCATGCAGAAGGCTGACGTCTACAGCTTTGGGATCATCCTTCAGGAGATTGCGCTGCGCAACGGAGCCTTCTACATCGAGGGCATGGACCTCAGCCCCAAGGGTGAGGGGAGAGGGAGAGGGCGAGCCCCACCCCTGGCCCCTTGGGGGGGGTGGCAGAGGTGGTGATGACAACCACCATGGGGTCCTCTCAGGAGACCCCCTCACAAAGTTGGCCACACTTGGACCACAGCCCATCCTGGGGGCTGGGGCAGGTGCTACCTGGGAGGGGTGCTTCACCTGCCACACCTCAGCACCCACCAGGTATCATGCGTGGCACTTGTCCCAGCAGCCGGGGAGAAAGCCTTCCTGATCTGGGTGGGGGGTCCTCCCCTCGCCCCACCAGGCCTTGTGTTTAGAGGGGACAATGCGCACAGCTCTGCCAATCACAGGGGAGACACGACTGGCGCTTATGCCGGAAGCACATGCGCGTTTCTGGGTGAGCAAAAGAGGATGGGGGCAAGCACTGGCGACCTCTTCTGGGTCTGTCCCGAGACCCCTGCAAAGCCCCCGTTGCTCCACCTGCCTGCTCTTCAGGTCTCCCCACAGGCTCCCTTGGGCTCTGCCCGCCTTTGCACCCCGGATCAGAGCCTTTGGCCTCGGGAGGAGGAAGGAGCGCGTTCAGCATCACTTGATGGTGATCACGTCTGTCGCCGCTGCTGCTGACCACCCAGGGTGACCCCTCCCCCATTTTGTCTCCCCCGCATCTCCCTCCGACACCCGCAGGGTGCTCATCACACCCACATCCTCATTGTCTCCGTGGCCCAGTCACCCATTCCGCCCCCCTCACCTGCCCCATAACAGCCTCCCACCGGCCAGCCGTGCCCCCCCTCCGCCCGGCCTGCGCGTTCACTCCCCCCACTCGCCCTCCCCACCCCGCAGAGATCGTGCAGAAGGTGCGCAACAGCCAGAGGCCCCACTTCCGCCCCACGGTGGACCTGCGGCTGCACAGCGAGGAGCTGGCCCTCCTGATGGAGCGCTGCTGGGCACAGGATCTGACCGAGCGGCCCGACTTCGCCCAGATCAAGATCTTCATCCGGAGGTTCAACAAGTGGGTGCTGGCTGCATTTTTACTATGGGGGGCAGGCCTTTTGTTGGGGGGGGGCAGAACCTCAGTTAGCTATGTACCGTACTTTTCCGTGTATAAGACTAGGATTTTTTTTTTTTCAAATAATTGTTATCAATTTTTCATGAATAACATTGCAATTAATAACATATCAAATCTTGCCACATCATATCCGGCCGGTCCGGAGAAAGTCTTTTATTTTTGTTCCTGCGTTTTCTCTGTTGTTTATTCCCAATATCATAGTTCCCCTTCTTATCGTCACAGTCACTGGTATGAGACTTTTCCATCGTGCTTAATGAATCCATATTATGTTGGCATGCAAGAGGAAATATTCTTTTTCTTGTTGTTATTCTTCCATTGTTTTTCTGCGCAATCCCCCACTGGAAGGATTTTTTTCTTAAAAAGTTATGTTAAAAATTGGGGGTCGTTTTATACACGGATAGTGTATCCCCCCTCCATTTTCTTAATTTGGAGTCCCCCCGAAAAGGGGGCGTCTTATACATGGAAAAATACGTTATTTTATTGATGGGGGTGTGTGAGAGCAAAACACGGGAAAGGGGGGCAGGTTCCCCACCCCGATGTCCCTGTGAAGCAGCCCCTGCCCCCCTCACCCGCACTTCCTGCCGCAGGGAAGGGAGTGCCAGTATCCTGGACAACCTGCTCTCTCGCATGGAGCAGTACGCCAACAACCTGGAGAAGCTGGTGGAGGAGCGCACCCAGGCCTACCTGGAAGAGAAGCGCAAGGCCGAGAACCTGCTCTACCAGATCCTCCCCCAGTGAGTCGCTGGGGAGGGTGGGGGGCCCTGGTGGGGGGGTGGAACGCGGACCCAGCCAGGCAGGCAGGCAGAGGGGGCGCCAGGCAAGTGCCAATTCATAGTTATAGGTGCTGGATTAGTAAGCCAAGCAGATCTCCATCCAAATCCCCCCAAATAAATCCCTGGGCTAATTGGCACCTTGCCCGCCCGCCCCACTTCCCTCTTCCGTTCACTCCCCCCCCCATATTAAATTTCCTGAATCAACTGAATTCCGCCAGGACACCGCCCCCCCTCAATCCGTTACCTTTCAAAGCAGGGGCCATCTTACACTATTTCTCCAAAATATCCTACCCGGTAACCCAGGCTAAAAGGGACACGGGTGGCACTGTGGGTTAAACCACAGAGCCTAAGGCTTACCGATCAGAAGGTCGGCGGTTTGAATCCCCTCGACGGGGTGAGCTCCCATTGCTCGGTCCCTGCTCCTGCCAACCTAGCAGTTCGAAAGCACGTCAAAGTGCAAGTAGATAAATAGGTACCGCTCTAGCGGGAAGGTAAACGGCGTTTCCGTGCGCTGCTCTGGTTCGCCAGAAGCAGCTTAGTCATGCTGGCCACATGACCCGGAAGCTGTACACCGGGCCCGTCGGCCAGTAAAGCGAGATGAGCGCTGCAACCCCAGAGTTGGCCACGACTGGACCTAACGGTCAGGGGTCCCTTGACCTTTACCTTTAACCCAGGCTGCCCCCCCACCCAATTCAGTGGCGAGAAGATCTGGGGCCACATTGAAGCTGGGTACTTGCCTTCGCACGCCTGCCTGCTGCACTGAGGGAGAGGCCCACCCTCACCTGCCTTCACAGTAATGGATGCGCAGGGGTTCGGGGTCAACCAGCGGCTCAGTGACTCACTTTACGTACCCCCCCCCCCACAGCTCAGTGGCCGAGCAGCTCAAGCGTGGTGAGACGGTCCAGGCCGAAGCTTTTGACTGCGTCACCATCTACTTCAGCGACATCGTGGGCTTCACCTCCCTGTCGGCCGAGAGCACCCCTATGCAGGTAGCGGGGGCGAAAGGGGCTTGGGTGGGGGCCCCTTGTCCCTGTCCCACTGGGCTGGCTGGGGGGGGTTAGCTTTACCCCGCCCACACACCACAGCCACGCCCCCTCCCAGCAGCAGAGGGAGGCGGTTGGTGTTAGGGGATTCTAGGGCTGGAAGGGGGCCCAAGGGTCATCCAGTCCACCCCCTGCAATGCCAGATGGCACACCTGGCTTTGACACCTTTGCAGTCCTGTCTTCAGCTTCAGTTAGGGTACCACACTGCTGCGGCAGGTGTCAGGAGTTCATCCTACACTCAGGTAGGATCCTGGCAGAGACACATGGCCGGCTGGCATGTTCTCTCCCTCCTGGTCTTTTGTTCGGGAGCTTCAAAAGCTTTCCTCTGCCTGAACATCACAGCGACCGATGCCAACCAACACCGGCACACTTAGGGATCCGCAGAGTTTGCGCATCATGCATGACAGACTCTCAGCAACTCAGCATTTTGGCTAATCTACTTTATTTACATATAAACCCACACGGAGCACTGCAACACGGCTCCCTCTCTCTCTATCATCAGACAGCAAAGAGCAAAGAACAAAGGACAATAGTCCCACTTCAAGAAACACAGGAACACAAACATCCTGTCTCTGTCACTTCCCACTCAGTGGAGTCAAAACATACACCGTCATGTGAAAGACAACAATCCCATGACTGCAATCACGGAGCAGGAATTCTAACAGCAGGAAGGAAAATGACATTTCCATGAGCTCTGGCTTCCGTCACGGTGTCTCGTTGAGCCAGAAGCGGTTTAGTCCTGCTGGCCACATGACCCAGAAAGTTGTCTGTGGCAAACACCAGCTCCCGGAAAAGCAAGATGAGTGCCGCAACCCGAGTCACCTTTGACTGAACTCAACCATCCAGGGGTCCTTTTCCTTTTCCCTTTACGACACGTTGCCTCCCTTGGATCAGGTGTAAAGGGAAAATGCCTCGGGAGGTGATAGACCCTCCTTCAAGAGTTTGGGTGGGCACCTGCCAGGGATTCTTCAGCTCTGAGTCCTGGGGGGTTAGGCTAGAGGACCTCTGGGGTCCCTTCCAGCCCTAAATTGATTTTTGAATTCTGAATGTATTATTATTCACATTTTATACTGTATTTTATGCTGTTTTTTGTTGCATCAATTAAGTGTTTTAAATTTGTTGTTAGCCGCCCTGAGCCCAGTTTTCTGAACCGGGAAGGGCGGGGTATAAATAAAAAAAAATATTTTATTTTAATTTTAATTTATTATTATTATTATTATTATTATTATTATTATTATTAATAATAATAATAATAATACAATTCTATGACTCTAAGCAAAGCACATTGGGGACTCGGTAGTGAAAATCCCCAGGTGGCCCTATAGCGATGTCTGTGTCCCCCTCCTGGTGCTTCCACTCAACCTCTTCTCTGTCTCCCCCTGAAAGCTCACCCCCCCAGGCTCCCTTGGCAACTCTGCCCCTTCTGCCCCCCATCTCTTCATTCTCCCCCAAAGATCCTCCTCTGCCCCGCTGCCTTGGCTCCCCCCAACTTACCTGAGCGTCTCCCTCCCCAGGTGGTGACCCTCCTCAACGACCTCTACACCTGCTTCGATGCCATCATTGACAACTTTGACGTCTACAAGGTGGGTGCGAAACATGCCTGTGGGTCCTGGCTGTTGGACCCAAAGCTGTGCCTCAGCCCCCAAACTAGAGCCAGGATTGGACCATATAGCTGTAGGGAAGAGGGCCCCCCTCCCCACTTCTGGCCTGACAGGTTCACCCCACAGGTGGAGACGATTGGCGACGCCTACATGGTGGTGTCGGGGCTGCCAGTCCGGAACGGGAAGCTGCACGCCCACGAGATTGTCCGCATGGCACTAGCTCTCCTCGAGGCCGTCAAGACCTTTCGCATCCGGCACCGGCCCAACGAGCAGCTGTGCCTTCGCGTTGGCATCCACTCGGGTGAGTCCTGGCACAGCGGGGGCACCAGCAGCAGGTCCTTCACCGGGGGATTTTGAGCAGAGGTCGGGGGGGGGGGGCTGTCTGTCAGGGACTCTTGCTGTTCCGGCGTTGAAGAGGGTTGGTCTAGATGACCCTCGGGGTCCCTTTGAACCCTACGATTCTAAGCCGCCACCTCCCTTTGCCTGCCTGCAGGGCCTGTGTGCGCAGGTGTGGTGGGCCTCAAGATGCCCCGCTACTGCCTCTTTGGGGACACCGTCAACACAGCATCGCGCATGGAGTCTAGCGGCGAGGGTGAGCCCCCTCTCCCCACCCCGCCCCCAACCTTGTTTAAGTTTCTGCTGCACAGCATTGCAGGGGGGGTGGACTAGAGGGCCTTTGGAAGCCCCCCAACTGCCGTTCTATGATTCCCCCACAACTCCCTCCCTCTGGCCCAATGTGGACGCTGGCTGTGCATCTTTCCCCAGGCCCATATCTGTCTCTTCTGGCCCTGTTTTGGGAAGGAGGGGAGGAAGGAGGGGGGTCCCGCTGGCCCTGACCCCCTGACTCCACACCCCACCCCTTGTGTCTTCCAGCCTTGAAGATCCACGTCTCCAGCACCACCAAGGAGAACCTGGACGAGTTTGGCTGCTTTGAGCTGGAGCTGAGGGGGGATGTGGAGATGAAGGTGGGGGTCTCTATCCTCCCTGGTTGGGTGGGTGGGAGGGAGGGAGGGGAAGCCGTGTGGCAGACCCCACCCCACCAGGCAGCCCCCGACCCATGGCTCCTCCACCAGGGAGGAAAAGGTCGCCGTTCCTGGTCCTCCTGCCCTGGACCTTTGGGAGAGTTGTGGCAAGATACTGGAAGCCATGACCCCCTCGGTTTCTGCTGGGTGAGGGGCACGGGTGGGGGGTTTTTTGGGGGGTGACCTGTCCCAGGGCTGAGCCTCTTCTTCTCCCCAGGGGAAGGGCAAGCTGCGCACCTATTGGCTGCTGGGCGAGAAGAAGAAGAATGTGGTCATCTGACGTGGCTCCTCCCCCTCCTGTGACTCCTCCCACTTACGGGTACCGGGCAGCAGGCTCCTCCCACCACCAAGAGCCACCGAAACTCCCCTTTGCCTTGGAGCAATAAGGCCCCCCCACCCCAGCCATGAGAGACAGGCGGGCGGACGAGAGAGAAGGAAGCACTTGGAGCCATAATGTCCCCCGCTATGAGAGGAAAGCGAGAGAGGAAGAAGACGGGGCAGGAGGGGCAGGATGAGAGCCCCCCCCCCCGGGAATGTGCCCAGGGCTGGGTCTTGCCACCTCCTCCATCCCTTGCCCCCGCCCAGACCAAGATGCGCCAGCAAGGAGGCCCCAGGAGCCCAGGGAGAGGCAGCGCACCTCTCAGAGCACGGATCATCCCAGGCTGCTTGTGCTCCCCACGCCCAGCCGGGGGGCTGGCTGGTTCCTGACCCCCCCCTTGCAGGTGGGATCCTGCACCACAACTCAGCTGGCTGAGCCAACCCAGAGCGCCGCTGTTCCTCCCCCCCTCCCTCCGGGTGTAAATATAGTGCAAAATATTTTGTCAAAATACAGACTTTTTAACCTGGGGCAGCCTTTCAGATTTGTCCGGGGCAGAGCAGGGGGCCGGTGGAGGTTGGAAGGTCCCTGGGGGGCGGCAGCCTGGGGGGGCAGCCCTCCCTGCTCTCCTTCTCCTGGCTTTGCTGCTAGATCCAAAATGGAGAGACACACTTTGCCTGTCCAGAAGCTCCTCAAATCCTGCGCCCCCCCCCCCAGCCAGGGGGCTTCAAGGGGGGAAAAAGACCCAAAGCAGCAACACCCCCAATCTACCAATAGCTGCCCCCCTTTATTTTGTTAGAGCTTGGGGTAGTTCTCTGGGCCGTAGGGCAGCGGCTGGTCGAGGTATTCGGTGGTGGGGGTCGTGAATGTCGCACACTTCTTGAAGGGGGTGTCACCAGTCCGGATATTGGAGACGCCCTACGGGGGGGGGGGGGAGAAACAGTGAGAAAGCAGCTGGGGGCCGGCAAATGCACCACCGTGGGCCACCCCTCCCTCTGCCTGTCAGGGAGCCAGCATTGTCTTGGTTTTTTTTGGGTGGGGGGGCAGCCTCGTCAAGTGAAAGCAACAGGTGCAAGGGGGGAGGAGAGAACCCAACTCCTGTTCCCCTTCCTTTTTCAGTGCCCTCCAGAGCCTCTTCAAAGTCAGGACCGGGGGGGGGGGGGAGAATGTAGGGCATTTGGGGTGGGGGTGGGGTGTTGGGGAGGGGGGGCCACTCACCGGCACCTGTCGGCAGTGCTCCAACCAGAAGGTCTGCGGCTGCTCCAGGCGGTAGTCGTGGGGCTGGCGGGGGGGGGGAAGAGCAAGAGTCACATGGCAGCCTCCTTTTGGGGGGGGGTTGGGGGGATGCCCCTGGGGGGGGGCGCTTTCCTGCCTCTATCTCACCTTGGTGGGGGCAGGGGCCACCGACACGAAGCCCTCTTTGCGAAAGTGGTCGTGCGTGGTGGAGATGGTATCCATGGGCCCACATGGGGGGCCGTCATCCTCCTCCTCCTTCAGCTCCTTGCTGCAGAGAAAGACAGGGGGGGTGGGAAGCAGCTTCTTGGAATGGGGGGGGGGCAATGTCCAGTTCCCTGCCACTGGGAGCCCCACTGAGGAGACCTCAGAGATTTCCCAGGAAGATCTGAGCTTGGGGTGCTGCGTCAACCCCAAAGGAGACGGAGCAAATTTCGGCAGAGAGCTCCATCTTCCCCCAAACCTGCCTCCCTTCTCTGGCCCTATGGGATCTGGGGGAAGGGAGGACCCCCCTCCATGAGGTTCAGCATTGAGATCTGGGGCACGGGGGCTGGAGGCTGCACCCCTGAGACCCTCCGCCTGCCTCTGAGGGAAGGGGTCTCCAATCTCCTTTTGTTCAGGGGTCCGCAAACTTTTTCAGCAGGGGGCCGGTCCACTCTCCCTCAGACCTTGTGGGGGGCCAGACTATATTTTGAAAGAAAAGGGGAAAAAAAATGAATTCCTATGCCCCACAAATAACCCAGAGATGCATTTTAAATAAAAGGACACATTCTACTCATGTAAAAACACACAGATCGATTGAGAAGGCGATGGGGCTGGATCTGGCTCCCGGGCCTTAGTTTGGCTACCCATGCTTTTGTTATTCCCCACGCACAGATTCCTGTCCTGCTTTCTTTTCCATCCCTTGGCTGGAGTTACCAGGAAAGGATTGATGCAACTGGTCTTTTCTTGAATTCTTCAAACACCTTCTTCAATTCGGGAAAAGTCTCCCACGCTGGTCTCCTCACGGCGCCTGACCTGCCACGCTGAAGGATCCCTTCGCCTAACCCCCTGCAATGGCTCCTTCGAAAAAGGAGCAAACTGGCCTTCGGCGCCAGGCCCTTTCCATGCCACTCTCAAAGTGGGCAGCTTAACAGTCCGTGCCCCAGTCCCATTCCTCAGAGAGCCCCTTTGCTTCCACCTCTCCACTGTGCCCAGTCCCCACTTGCTCCCAGGGTCATTCCACATCAAATCAACACACAAAACAAGGGTTTTGCCACCCACTGTCTCAGATTTTGATGAAACTTGGTGTTCACCTTTCCCTTATGGTTGAAAGAAACCCCCTTAAGTTTTTTCCCTCTATCTTAAACGGTTTAAATTTTATAGCACTTCAAAGTTTCGTGAAATCAGTGTTTCTGTCCCTCTTGAGATCCTCGGCCTTGTGTGCATTTTATTTTTTTCCTCCATAGCCAATGATCAGACATAAGAGACCCATAAATTTTATTCTTTGTTGAGAAAGAACACGTCTTTACAATAATTTTCACCATCAAAAACTTTTGATTGCAGTGTGCCCTAATGCTGAAAATTTAGGTTTTCTAAACCTAGTTTTTCCACCAAAAAAGCTACATTTATACATTTTTTAAGGCATTTATAAAATCTTTTGAGTGCTGGTGTATTTTTCCCTGAGATCCTCATCATGTTATTGATGTTGGTGTAAAATTTCAAAGAGATCTGATCATTGGTTATTGTGATGGGAAGATGAGCTGCTTGTGCGTAAAATCGTATTCCCTCAGAGTTTGTTCAAGTCCACAAACCTCTGTCTGTGACTGAGCCCCTCTGACATGGCTCCTCTAGTCACTAGAAGATTC